TAATCATCATATTAAAAAAATCATTTACAAAAATGAATAACTAAACGTGTTGTTCTTTTAACTTTATTTTCATTACGTATCAACAAATGATTACAAATTTAATATCATGAAAAAATAATAAAAACAACATCGTTTTGGATAAATTGATAATATAAATTTTTGGCAACATGATTATACATGAATAGAATAAAAAAATGAGAAGAAAAAAAATTGCATAATAAAATATATTAAGAAACTAAAATGATATAATAATTTATCATGAAGATTAGACTTTCTCCCATGTATGGTTCAGCGGAGTTTCCTTAGAAATTTTACTTTTAGATGTTTCCCTCTCCACCATGAAGAAATGATTTCTCAAATCATAGTTTATATAATATTATTCACAGAAATAACTGATAATATTTTTTTATTGTTCAAGATACTTATAATTTAAGAAAACTCTCTTTCATCAAGTTATATATGAAACACAAATGATATAAAGAAACTAAGACTAGAGGGTATAGTTTTTTCCTTTGGCAATTTCATAATCAAATCATACCATCATTGGAAAATCCATAAATATATTTGTAACATCTTACAAACGATTATATAATATTAATCAATGCCTTCACCAAATAGCACCTTACCCAAGTCAGTTTATGAGCTTTTTGATTTAATCTTTAAATTAGTTTAGATTGTGCTTTAAAAATACTAATCCTTTCAAATGGAACATTAAAAGTGTTACAAGAACCAACATATATTTTACTCTAAAAAAAATACTAATATGATTGAAGACATGACATTAATTATATAATCCTAGGTATTGTAAGATGAAAATTTGAAGATATATTTATATAAAGTTGAACTTAGGCATCATCTGCAAGAGACACAGAGAACCTTTTGCCCTATAAAATAAGGTCATTCTCCTGAACAAATAGAAGCAGCATATGATGTTGTATGCATGAAATGGTTTAGAAGAAAGGTTTAGGGACTCCAGTCGTAGGAGAGATGACGCCTTCTGTTTGTCAGGAAAACATCAAGAAATTAGCAGTAGTTGTCATCTTTCCTCGGCTGAAGCCCCTCCTCAGTTTTCTCTGCACCTTCTGGTTCGTCTCAGCCACAACCACGGTATATATATGTTATCTATACAAGAATCTCTTCCGCTTTCCTTGTGTTTTTCTTGTCATAGTTTCACTCAATTCACACACTAAACTATATTGATGTCATGAATTAATTGATTCATTGCAAGCATAAAAGATCATGTTTGAAGTTTTGGTGATCACATGCAGGTTCATTTTGATGGCACTAGCAGTTTGATTTATCAGTTATCTTTACTACTCATGAATAACAAGAAGTTAATGTGGAGTGTTGATATATATATATATATATATATATATATATATATATATATATATATACCTTGACATATTATATATGAAGCAAAATAAGAGGAGGGCTTGGTTTAGAATTAACAACTAATTTGAAGATTATTCCATCCATTTTGTCTGAGCTTCATCCAAGGTAAGAATCTCTTCAACTTTTTGTGTTTTTTTGAGTTATTCAAGCAGAAGGTTTTATGGTTCATAATAATCATATTCCATTTCAACAATTTATTCAATAGATGAGCTTTCAAAACATAGATCCTCCATAAACACATGAAAAACTTTATGTAAGTATTTATTGGACTTCAAAATTTGACAGTCATAGTTTATGAATCCATACACGTTTTTCCTCCTTAAAGTTTACCACCACACCTTAATATATTGTATGCATATGAGGCACCATAAGTTTCAGGTTTGTTGAATTTCAAACACTTTACTGGCATGATAACATATTTTAAACTCATATTAGTTTTTTTTTTTTAATAATAGTTTCAAAATCATGTTGAACAATCAAGCTTTTAATTAACTCATAATTGTCTTTAAATCAGACCCATGACAGTTGTTTAAGAATAATGATTTATTTTCTCTAAGTTGGTGTGACCTATGCAAGTCCTCCCCAAAGTTTAGATCTGCATAATATATATATATATTAACTGAATTAAGAATCTTTCACAAGCTGAGCTGTATCTTGTGGGGCAAATGATCATTAGGGCTAGTTGATTATTATATTAGATGGTGATTAATAATCTCTACAAAATGCTTGTGAATGAAAAACTAATGGATAGTGATCAATTTGCAAAGATTCGTATCAAAATTTGTATTTTTCTTATCCTTTAATTAGCTTCTAATAATCAAAGAGTTGCCATCATGAACAGTGTATATATTAGTAATAGTAGGTGGGAGAAGAGTTTGCAAATATATATATTTATTTTTCAGAGATAAATTGGACTCTGAATTATCACCAGGATCATAACATATCTCACTTTCACAGTAAAATAAAAAGTGCAAAAAGTATATTTATTTGGTTGTATACAAAAAAAAGAAGAAGAAGAAAGATATATCAGAGAGATATTTTTATTAAAATAAGGCATAATCAACCTAAATCTTGATAACAAAAGCAGATGGGCCAAGCCCAATATCATAGTCAATAGCAAAGGGACAAAAAAACAAAAAAAAGCGAAGTAAAGTTTCAGTACTTTCTGGTGGTTTTTCTAGTCCATTATGGGCCTTAAACACAATGCTAGGGCTATTTCTTCCTGCACCATAGGAATTTCTCCTTAGCTGAACAAAAAAGGTGAAATGACCAACTGCCCCTAAGTGTTCTTTAAACTTATGCTCCCAATAAATGTTCTTTAAACTTTTGCCTAAGATCATCCTGAGACGAATTAAATAGCTTATGAAAAGACTATTTTAATATTAATTATATACTCTATTATAATACTAAATGTTTTTTTTTTTAATTTAACACTCTTCTAGAAAGACCGTTTTGTGAGAATTATCACTCTAATGATATTTTTAAAAGAATATAAAAAAAAAAATACCTTTATGAAAATACAATTAAACTATATAAAAAATAAAAACTCATTTCACAATGATAAATTTGGGATAAAACTTTTGAGATGTGAAGAAGTTTTTAAAAAATATTTAAGAATCATTTTGTAATTTCATAATTTAAAAAAAAAAGATTAGTATAATGTAAAAATATAAAATATAAAGACACTCTATTTTTATATATTTTTTATATTAAAAACTCAATTTTTTACACTCTATTTTTTAATATTTTCAATTTTTTTATATTAACCTTAGACACTGGTGCTATTTATTTTCCATGTTCTTTGTTTTGAAGATTATTGAATTTGTAATGCTATTTTAAATTTGGTATATAAGAGTTCTTCTGAAAGATAACTTTTTTTAGCAATATTTATTTCATGTCATACTTTCAAAATATTTACTAATATATTAAAAAAAAAAACGAATATGAAAAGACATATTCTAAAACACATTATGAATAAGTGTTTTTCCTTTTTTTAATGTACATCTTGAAACCAAACTATCATCATGTGATTCAAAGTAAATAATGAGGAATATTTTGATATTCACACATAAATGGGTAAATATTGCATAATTTAGTATGATACAAATTTTCCCTTTGCAATAGGTGTAAATAGTCCTTTAAAGTTTGACATTGCATGAATAGTGTCCTTAAAATTTAACCATAAAAGAAACAAATTTTAAGATACCCTCTTTTGTTGGCCATAAACATAAAGAATCACTAGAAAGACCCCCACTAAGGTTTCTTCCTATTTTCAAATCTTGTACTTTCTAATATAAATATTTAATTCACCCTTCATGGAATCAACTCTTTTTTTTTTTTTCAAACACTACAAATGCTTTTCACGATCTTAGATTTGTTGTTCATCCATTGAGGGTAATGTGTGATTCAATGTAGAAGGCCCCACCATGCCTCTGATAGATTAATTTTGTTTAGTTTATAATTAAAGTAGTTGAATTCTGTTTTAATTTAGTGTTGTTATTTTGATCGAGTTTTCTCTTTTGTAAGCTTCATTAAAATTAATCGACTATTATTATTAAATTTTGTATTTTGACAAAAAAAATCCTTTGTATTACCTTATAAAGGTTGACATTGCATGAATCGTGTCCTTGGAATTTTTTATCTTACTCACCATTATAATGAAAAAAAATAAAAATCAGTAGGATTTGTGATTATTACAACTTCATTAAGATTTGATTACGATTTGATCTTTATCAATAGTTTTTATTCGAAAAGGTAATGTGTAATTGAGAAAACGCATCTATTTTTTTTCGCTCTTATTACAAAACTCGGTTTTAAATTTTCTTGGAAAAATATCAGTTGTTCTTTTACTATGCTTTCAGGCTAAATATTCAACATAACTAAATCTTAATAGATCGTATTTTACAAGAATTGAAACCATTTTGAAAGAAATGAACCATTTATAGTGTCATACTTGCAAATAGATAGTGTAGTTTTGACATCTGTCCAATTGGTAATTTTTATATTTTCTTCCTCTCAAAACAAGAAAAGAAATGAACCAAGTTGGGAAGATGTCAATTATAGAACTAGACAATCCATAAGTGTTTGGTACCAAAGCATACGTAGAGATGCATTGACTTCAAGACAAAGGAAAAGTTGGTCGTATAACAACATCAATTGGAAAAAAACATGAAAAAGTATTTCCATTCCATTTCACAACATAGTTTTTTTGTTTTCTTATGTTCCCCCCACTTACCCTATGTCACCTTCTTTATCCCTTTTCTTTCTTGCTCCACAAAAAAGCTAGGGAAACCTTCAATGCTGGTCACTACTTGATGGATGTCAAAAGGGGGGAAGAGGTGACCTGGGACAACAGAATGAACTGTCATATATACCATACTATTACAGTGGATGATCCAACTCTGCAGTAAACCTCATTTCACCAGAATTGTCTCACTTTTTTTTCCTCTCAATATCAAAGACTGTGTATACTTCTTGCTATTTCTTCTCCTATTGGAAAGAAACCCTACTTACTGATCAGCTAACTAACTAACAGTGGACAAGTAAACTAAAGCCAGTGGAAAATAATCTTGTAGAAGACCACCATAGCCGGTTGGTCCTTTGCCTCACACGCATTGTCTTGGCCGGAACTTTTCAGTCGACAACAATGAGCTGATTAATGTTTCAAGCCTCTTGGAACCTTGGCCAGGTCTCAGGACTGTAGTATCACCGATTTCAGAGCAGGGATCGGTGCCGTTCTCCTTCTTTCCTATGCACCAACCTCCGGGAACAGTCATTCCGGGACCTCTGGATAATAGTTCAGCATCAATTTTATCCAACACGGGATCATCTCTGTGGAACTTCCTTGCGAATGGAGCATTGCTGTCAACCATTCCTTTCATGTCGTCAAGGGTAAGGTAGTGAGGATGCTGCTTGGGAGGATTGTCCCAAGAAATGAAATGCAGATCACTGTTCACAGTTGTGTTCCTGAACTCTTGAGCATTGCAGATAACTGTGTGGAAGTATCCTTCAGGGGAAGATATGAAATTTGAATAGTACATGAGTACGGTTCGAGGTAGGTTGTCCCATCCCCATATGCAGTAATCAATGAAAGATTTTGACAGTGCCATCCAAGCCGAACCTAACATAAAGAGGTTTTTATCAAACAAGATGAGTTCAAATACCATCCGCACATCAAGTCCATGAAGGGAAGATGAGTCACAGTGCAGAACATTATCATACAAAATCAGTCCAACCACAATCAACAAAAGAATCTCAAAGAACCAATTGGATCTATGGTGCAACCAAAATGAAGAAGTTAGATTTGGCTGTTGCTAGTAGATTTGATTCAATATAGGACACTGAGAGGACTGTTGTACTACAACAGTTATATTCATTAGAACCTAATATAAAGATGTGAATCTCAGTGCAATATTTGGTGTTTAGCAAAATATCATTAATCCAGTAGGATATTACTCTCCCATTTAGTTCCCTTATTTTGGGGGGAAACGTGATGAGCTGTACCAAAGGCGACCAAAAGTGATATAATAGCAATGTGCAAGAAGACATAACCGATAAACCCACTCAATATGTTGCTGAATTATATACCCATCTCACTTGCAGAGAGACACCGTCTTCCTATTACAGAAACCCTAATATGTCCTTCCAAAAAAGTTGTTTTCTTTTCTTTTATTAAAGTGGAAACAAATCCTCTGAAGTGAGTTTGTCCCTGAAGGTGCAAATAAAACTATAAAATTGCATTTGTCAATAATTTATCCATGCTATATTATTGTCAAGCCAAATTGAAACAAACATCAAATTGTTTTATCTAGTCCAAATGATAGAAATGGAAAATCTGCAAACGTTACCAAGATACCTGAATCAGGAAAGAAAATAATCTAATTTTTCAAAAAGGTGCTTATAGGCAAAGTTGTTCAGGAGATATGTTTTATCGACCCACCTGAGATGGATTAAGCTTCTTGACCATTTTGCTTTAAACTTTTAATGCATGTAAATGTGTCCAACAAGTCACAAAAAAACAACTTTCGTTTACAAGTCCAGGGACAATACACAATCACAAATGATGCTTTCTGCCATGCATACAAACCCAATAACAAAACTGATAATGCCACACAAAACGTTTCTTAACCTTCAAAACCTTAATTGCCCCACTTTCTATTCACACAAAGCTTCCTTTTAATGCATAAAGCCACTTGCAAACCAGGACTCATTCCTTCTCAAAATTAACAAAAACCTCTGCAAAAAATAGAACAACTATCCACTAGACAAATCCAAAAGCAAAAACATGAAATAAACAATATTTCTTTCCCAAAAAAAGAAACAAACCCAAAAAAGCATAATTAATAGACAAGAAAAGGATCTTCACCTGTAAAAAGCTTGAAAGCCGTTGGCCTACTCCTCTTCTGTGTAACCCAAAACACATCTTGCTTCTTATTCATATACAAACCCGGATCAACGATTATTGGCCTCGCGCGCTGATGACTAACACACATCACAAAATACCAATCACATAAATTCCCAAAACAAAACAAATAAAACCCCACACAGAACGAAAAACTTAAAATCAAATCAACAGCAGCACCAAAAAATTAAAAAGACTCACTCTTTCCATCCAATGTCACTCGTATGATCAATGAAATTCAGATCCCGTGGCAAGTATGAAAACGTGTGCAGCAGATCTAACCATCACAAAACAAACATAAAAAATAAGAAAAAAATACAAACATAAGCAAAAAAAAAAACATTTTTTTACGGACATCACAGATATTCTCCATAGGATTAGAAACCATACTATCTCCGACAATTAAACCCAACAGCATGACCCAGAATTCAAATTCTAGACAACTGGTTAAACTATAACATATCTCGTACAAGTCGATCCAGGTTAAACTAGAACAACCTTGCGCCAGTTGATCCCCTGTTAAACTGGAACAACTCCATACCAATTGATCCCAAGTTAAACTAGAACAATCTTGTACCAGTTGAGCCAGGTTAAACTAGAACAATCTCGTAGTAGTTGATCCAAGTTAAACTAGAACAATCCCATGTTAGTTTATCCAAGTTAAACTGAAACAACCAGGTGCCAGATGATATAATTAGACCAGAATAATCTGGTGTCAGTTGATCCACGCGCTTTCAAACGAAACATCAGGAAAAGTGAAGCAGATTATCTACCAAACTAACCAACTAATTAACAGACTAACTAACTCACCATCTTGTGTAACAAGAGGGTAATCGGAGGCGCTGAGGTTGATGAACCAGTCCCAATCGCCGAGCTCCCGCAGCAGAATCGCGGCGGCATGAAGCGTGTTGGCCACCATTGTGGGCCCCCTGTAGGTCACGAGGTTTGCCTTCTTGATCACCCTAACGTTCCCGAACCGCCGGAACAGCGGGTGCTCCTCCACGAACCTCGCCAGATCCGCACGCTCCTCCGCCGAGGCCTCCAGGTCCAGGTGCACCACGTACCGGTTCCCGGGGTGGTACAGCGCCAGCAAAACGCGCCTCACAGCGCCGCCGTCGCCGGCGGAGCCCGACACCAGGTACGCCAAGCGCGGCGGCGGTGGGAGCGCAGAGACCGGGAGCGGGCGGAGCTTGGACTCGACGAAGACAGAGTACGACGCGGTGGTGATTGAGCGGTAGAAGGGGAGAATTGGTGTGCCCTCCGGTGAGGTTAGCGTGGCGACGAAGAGGAGGAATAGCGAGAGGAGAGAACCCACCGCGAGTGGGAATACCCACCTACGCTCCGCGTGGTGGTGGTGATGGCGCAAATGCATATAATAGTTCTTCAACTTCTTCATGAATTGTAAATAACAACTTCAACTTCAAGTTCTTCTTTTTGTGTTGGGTGGTTTTGGTTTTGGTTGGTGTGGGAATGAATGCAACGAAACGGATTATGTGAATGAAATTTGAAACCCCTCTTTTTCAAAAACCGTTTTTAAGGTTGTTTTTGATCCCCAAGAGTGGGGAGAGTGAGGTTTTAGGTGTGGCTGTTTGGAAATTTCGTGTTTCTGTCTGAGAAAAGAATGGGGTGTGTTTGTTAAGTTCTTTAAAGAGTGTGAGATGGAGGAAAGAGGGAAGAACACTACATATGCAAGAGCTTCTTCTTCAATCTTCCATTCTTCCTTAAGCTTTTGCGTGTTTTCAAATTATATTTTTTTTATAACTATCTTGGTATTTAATCCAAATATTATTAATAACAACCTTACCAATTTGATTTTTTTTTATGAAAATAATATTCTAAATGTTATATCTTTTAAAACCATGATTCTAATCTGACATAAATTTTATTATTAAATTAAAAAAAATGAAATATAACTTAACAATAAAGAACATTAAAAGACTGTGGTGGAAAGTATGTTATTATAACCACCTTCTATTAATTAATTATAATAATTATGATTATGTGTTTGTAATGATGCCGCAACTGAAGGATAATTTGTTGTGAAGGCTTTGAACTCACTCTTTCCATTGAATTTTGCTGCTTTTTTTGGGTTGATATGAACGGTGAGAAAAAAGAAAAGAACCATGACGTTGATGTAGGACTAATTAAAGACAACGTTTGAGTCTTGAAGAGGGTAAATTTGGTGTGTGTTTTCCCCTAAACTATGCTGTCTTTGTTCATAGGAAGAGAGAAAAACAAAACAGGTTAGGCAAGTTATCACTCTTACCACGTTATGAGTCCAAAAATTCTAAAAAACTATTCTCAAATTTGTCCAAAACAGAAAAAAAATAATAAGAAGAATAAGCTTAAATATGTTTTAATCTATGTGTAAAACGTATCTGTTTTTTTCTTTTTTTGTCTTTATAATTTTTTTATGAGTTAAATTTGAAGTCAAGTGAAGTTTTCAAATGGTATCTATTAGTATTATGATATAGAGTAATAAGTAACATATTTAGAACAAATTAAGATATTATCTATTTTTCAAAATTTTAAATCAAAACTCGTATATTTTATACAAGTTAAAAACAATAATTTTAAATTTTAGAAAAATTAAAAATATTTTTGTCTGAACTAAAATAGTAACATTTTTTCAACTGGATAAAAAGTCATGCGTTTATCTATATAGGATTTAGGGTTTAACTTTATATAGGCAGAATAATCTACATTGACTTTTTTTTTTATATAACTGTTCTGTTTTTTTGTCATTTAGATTAGTTATTTTTTATTAAATAAAAATAACTGGTTTTAGATAAAATAAGAGAAAAATAATTATTTTGATATTATAATGAGGAAAAAAATTACAGATAAAAGAGTGTGATATATGATAGTGAATTACATCTGAAGAGTGAAAAATAAAATGTAACACTTTTTTTCAATGATAAATTAGTAACAGTGATAAATAGAAGAGTTTGAAAAGTGATATGTTTTAAAATGAGTTTATTGTTAAAAAGTTTCAATAAATTAATAATTTTGAGCTCATTATTATTAATATTTTTTTCAATTTTATTATCAGATTTTATAAAATACGTAAATTTTGTCAAATTCTTATATTTTCATACATTAAGTCTTTTATAATTTAATAAATTAAATTATTTATTGATGTATGTATACTATAATAATATATAAAATATAATTTTTTTTATTTTTTTCATAGTTTAATATATTATTTATCTTGTTTTTATATTTTCTCATTCATTCCTTTACTCATTTTTCTCTCAAATAAATTTAATAAATAAAAATAATAAAAAATTATCATTTTTCTATATCCTTTACAGACATTTTCTTGTAATTCTTTCCTATATTTCTTTATATCCAATAATGCATAATTTTAAAACAAATATCCTTCTTTTTTTTCTTTTAATTTTTTTTCCTAAATAAAATTAATAAATAAAAGTAATAACAAAAATATAATTTTTCTCTTTACTTTTTAAATATTCTTAATTATATGCTATATGTCTTTTCCATTCTTAGAGGAAACTATTTTACATGCATAAAAGAAAAATGTTATGCTAGTCTTGATAAAAATATTAGATTTAAGGTTTATCAAAATCAAAATTAAAAAAAAAAAGTGTTTGTCATGAATTTGTGTAAGGCACAGTTAGAAAAAAAAAAAAAAACTAAATGTGTGTCATGCATTTGTTGAGAGGGTTAAAGGTGTTTTCTTTTCGTGTCAAAATCAACTTTTTTTTTTCTTAATTTATTGTGAACATTTAAAGCAGTTTTCATCACTGATTGATAAGTAATTGCAAAATTGTGTCAAACAACACTTATGAAAAACAATTTAGGTCAAATTAATTACCTCATCATAGGTTCTATTATGGAAATATAACCAGATATGCACGCTACATTAGGATTTGGCCTATCCATAGGATAATAAAGGGTTCAAAGAAACCCTAAAATTATGAAAACTCCATCAAAATATATCAAAACATAATCTAAATTGTTTCTATTAAAAATATTTAATGATATGTTATTCTTTTTTTTTCACAAAATAAAAATCAACCTAAAATGCTTTTAATTTAAATATGACAATATATTTTATTTTAGTTTGTAATTATATGATATTATATTATATATATATATATATATATATATTATTTATATTATTTATCATGTAAGAGAGTTATTTGAGTGAGATTCAATTTAAAAATTTCATGCATAAAAAAAATTCAATTAGAATTAACATTAAATAAGTCAATGTTGAAAAAATTCTTTTCAAAATCCGAATAAGATGGAAAGTCGAAAAATAAAATAAAAATAAAGGTAACCTCGAATTATTTTTAAATAATTTATTTGATTGTTTTATTTATTTTGTTCTACGAAGTTATAAGTATTTTCTATTATAAGAAAACAATTGTTTCAATTTTTGTTTATTTTTTTTAACATTGAATATATTTGTTATAATATTATGTTTATTAAATATATTATTACAAATATTTCATTTTAAAATAAGATATTGTTAGAATTAATTTTTATATTTAAAATATTATCAGTTTTAAAATCTTAATTTATCATAATTTTATCGTTTTAATGATTTTAGTAATATATATATATATATATATATATATAAATTATCTTTATTTTTATTTTTTAAGTGATGAAGATTTATTAAGTAATTATTTTTAATTTTTAAGTAATGAAGATTTATTAAGTAATTTTATAAATTATATATATATATATATATTAAAATTTTATTATGTTTGAATTTAATAAAAAATATATAGATATTTTTCTTTTTAAATTCAGTACTTGTGTATATTTAAAATTTGAACTCAAAATTATTAATTTAATTGGAACAATTTCACATTATTTTTAGGTCTTCTTATTTTGTAATTTTGGTTATACTTGTCAAAGATACTTGTATGTAAGTCCTACGTTTATATTGGAAAGTAAACATTCTTGTTATGTGTTTAACCCGCGTTTATGTATCATATTAATCTCCATAAACAAGTCAATTAATATGCATAATCAACTTTAAAAAATTACAACTTTGTGTAACCACAATTTAAGTAAGGGCTTCACTTCTCAAAGAAGCATTAATATCATAATTAAAGAAAATCACTTGTTACAAAAATTTGGTCAATTTTTTTTTATAATAACAATATAAATATACTCCACATCAATACTTATGAATCTTTAATAAAATTGAGTTACACTTATTTGTTTTCTAAATTGATATGGGATTTTATCATAAAACTATTTGTCAGGTATATTATACTTATTATTAGATCATTAATAAACTAATTATTTATTCTATTTGAAAAAAATATGTTGAAAATCACTCTTATCTACTTTGTAATATTATAAGTTTGTAAATTAGTAAATAAGCTAAAAAAAATTGAATAATAAATAAAAAAAACCTTTTACAAATTATATACTACTAATTTCAAATATTTTTATAAAAGATTATTTAAATTTGCAGAAAATATATTTTTACAATTTTCATAAAAAAATTATACAAATATTCTCATAAAATATGAGAATTTCTGACAGATAATATTTTTTATGAATTTGTGATAATAATTTTAATATTTTATTTACTTTTTGTGTGATAATATTATAATTTATTTTTATTTTAGTTTTCAAGTGAAAAAAATAATAAAAAATATACACTTGAGAGAAAAGTAATACAAAAATAACCAAAAAATAAATAAATAAATAAAATATTAATACAATTATAAAATTAAGAAAATAGTATCTATTTTGATATATATTCATAAAACATTTTTTTGTCATAAATTATATATATTTTTAAATATTTGAGTTTAAATTGATAAAATAATATATGATAATAAGTAATACTTTGTAAAAAAAATTATACAAAATAATATTTCTTTTATGTTATTTTTTCTAAAGTTGAAGTCAGTTATTTTTTCTTAAATAAATTTAAATTAATGTTTATTTCCTTGTAATTTGAAAATTTAACTATTATACTCCCTTTAATTTTAAATACCATTAAAATTTCCGTTTACATTACTAATAAATATAAGCCGTTCAGTATTTAATTTTGCATTGTACTCTCAAGTAACAAATATATTATTTTTCTTTTAAAATATTAAATTTAACAATATTTAGATACAAGACCTTTAGTAAACAAACTAAAAAACTTTTTTTTTCAAGAGACTTAATATACAAAATTTTAATTTGTAGAATAAAAACAATTATCTTAAATTTAATAAACCAAAACGATATTTAACAAAAAAAAAGTTGTTATCTTGAGTTTAATTAATTAGTTAAATTATGGGATGTGAATTATTATTAAACCTCTTTTTAAGAAACATAAAATAAAAACTATTCTCAACTAAATTTCATGTACAAGGCTACTTGCCCACCCTAACATGCATGAATCTTTATTTATTTTTTTTAAGTAATTTTACGTGAAAAGAACTTCATAGCATAATAAATTAATATTTATTAACGTAGAAAATATAATCAAACGTTTACTTTGACTCTCATGTATATAATATTTTTAAATCACGAGAATAGAGAAAATAAAATAAAATGTTTTATCTTATAAATTAAAAGAGGACTTCAATATGTAGAATTTGAGTTTTAAAACACGATATTTTTTATTTATTTTAGCTTTTATATATTTTTAAATATGTTTCATTTTATAAATTAAAATATAAACTGCAACATAATGGTAAAAGCCACAATTTATTTTACAAATAAACCCTCTATATTATTTTGAAAATAAGCCACGTATTTTACTTATATTCATACCAATTATTAAGATATTGTTGATTTGAGGCCACAAATTTATTGCAAATAAGTCTCTATAATGTGTTTGGTCAACTTATATTCATATGTCAAATTATAGTATTAATTATTAAGATTTTGTTGATTCGAGTCATATTATATTTCGATTTATGAAGTTTTGTATTCGATTTTTTCAGATAAAATAACAAATTCAACTAATAATAATTAAATAATATTTTAATTAATAGAAATTAGTTATTTATAAAATTTATATTAACATTATGATTATGAAATTATAGTATTTTTTTAATTATGCAATATTTCCTTCCTTATAAATGTTAATAGTAAAACTAATAAATGAGGTTATTTAAATGACACCCAATCATACTGTAAAAGGAAAAAAAAAGTCTAACCTTCAATATTATAAAATAAAAATTCTTAAATGCAATAATTTTTTGTTTTAAAAAAAAAATCCAATGCATTTAATTTTGTTGTCCACTGTATATTCAAGTAGTGGACTAATTAATGTGTGATTTCTTTAATCTTATTTTTATTTAGTTGAGAGATATGGTTGATGCACAATCTCATTTTATTTGATAAATTATGTTCGTAAATAGAAAATTGCAATATTTGATGTTAGTTATATTAAATATTATATATATATATATATATATATATATATATATATATATTATTTTATACATAAAATGTCAATATGCATATAAAGATAAGAAAATAAATATCGAGAATGTCTAGTTGAAAAGGTTGAAAATGACTATTTCTCTTAATTGTATATTTTAATTTATAGTTAAAAAAATGATAAAAAAATATATGAAATAAAATAAATAATTTTACAGAGGAAAAAAATAAAAATAACGTTACCTTATATAGACCATTGTTGTATCACAAGGAAGAAGAGATAACAATTGTTATAAATGTATAATAAATTGTTTCAAAATTCTCATAGACAAATAAAAAATAATGTGATTTAAATTAAACTAAAATATTTTTTTTATAAAGATCTAATTTGTAGAGTAATAAATTTTTTCAAATAATATTTATTTTAATCAATTTTTTGCTGTATTTTTTCTTGCTGGAGATAGAAATTGTACAACATTCGTCGTATTAAAATAAATTATAATTTAATATTATTTTTTATTAATTTATTTCAATATCTCAATTTCAAAATTTAGGACTAATTTTAATATTTTAGATATTTTTCGCTTGTCATAATTTTATTTAAAAAATATATTTTGATAGATTGAAAGATGAAAGTTTCGACTTCTAGCTCTTGAACGAAGTAAATATATTTATATAATAAAATTATAATGCATAAAAAATATTACTAATTTATAATTAGTTTGAATAGGATAGGAATACTGTAGCAGATTGAGAAGTGGAACTGAATTATATCCACGTGGCCTATTGCATTCAAAGTTTGGTGAATGTGGACCCCATTACAGAAACCATCCTCCCACTAACTCCTTACTTATAATCAATTAATTTATCTTTTAAATGCAAAAAAAAATAAAAAATGGTCAACTTCAATCATTTTCAGTCTCTTTCATAATTTTGATGGAAACAATTTGGATTAATTAATAGATATAAAAAAAATCTGATATTTTCTTTTATTGTATTTTTTTTACTCATTTAGTTATTATATTTTTAGTTAAAAATATAATTATATATTAAAAAAAAAGTATCATTTAGACAAACAAAATACATAGAATCCAAAAACAAAAAAGAGGAGCTAATTTGCTACCTAAGATTGTTTAAATATTTTTCTTGTATTTTTTGTCATATATATTTTATATTTATCATTGAATTAGTTATAAGCCTATTTTAATAAAATCAGTATAATTTAAAGACATAATAATAATAATAATAAGATTTTTTTATAAAAAATAAAATAAAATTATCAGAATTAAAAAAAAGATAAGGTATAATTATATTAGTAAAATTCTCTTTTATAACATTTTTTGGTAGGAAAGAAAAAAGTAGGAATGTTATAGTTTTAAAGAAAAAAATTATTATAATTTATATTAAAATAGTAAATATATGTGAGAGAAAAAGGTACGCTACATAATTATATATATATATATATATATATATATATATATATATTTAAGAAGCGAAAAAATATTTTTTTTGAAAAATTAATTATACAAGAATTATAAACATATTTTATATCTATATTTTAATTAATATATAATAATAAAAATTAAAAAGTAAAACTAAATTAACATAATATCACATTATGAATCAAGTTATAAGGAAAATTGATAAAAAAAACTTTATATGATAGTATCTATATATATATATATATATATATATATAATTTAATATTTTTATAAATTTGATAAAAATATTAAATTTATGCATAACATGTGATTTGATTTTTATTTTCATTTTTATGTTTTAATGTAATATTTTGTATAAATAATTTTAAAAAATATAATTAGAAATAATACTTTGATTTTATTTTTTTCTGACTATATTCAAATTCCTGTTTGATTACACTATTTTCAGTTAAAAATAAAATGAAATGTTATGATTTATAGTGCCATGAGCCTCACACCATACAACAAAATCAGTACCCATCTATTAGATTGCCAATTAACTACTCTAAAATTAAAAAATTAGTCACGTCTTAATGTTAAGATAATCATTTTTTAATATAAATACTAAAAATAATTTTAAAGAAATACAAAAAATAAAAATATATTTAATCGTAAAAGAATGTACTATACTAAGAAGTGCATTATAGAAGACGTAAACTCTAAATTAATTGTAAGTCTAAATAAGGTGGTGTTGCTAATAATAACAACGACAAGCCCATAGCACAACGTAATTTAGGCAATTACTTCTTATATTCTCCTTATTTCTAACTGCACCTCCACAATTTTAAAAAATCACTATTAAACAATTATTATGATCTGGAGAAAAAATAAAAGGAAAAATAAAATAAAATTTAAATAATATTCATATTCATATATATGAAATACTTAATTTTAATAATATTATCTTATTGAAACATTTAAAAAAATTTCATATTCTTTCATACTAATCTTTCAAATCTTTTTTATTAGTATTACCAACAAATTTATATATATAAACTTTTTTTATGTAATTTTATTATATTTTTAATTTACATAAAATTTTAATATATATTTTTTATTTTAAAAATATAGATATTCAATCTAATAAAGGATATATTTCAATAATCATTATCTAATGATATCTCTAAAATGCAAAAATAGATCACCTATTAAATTATATACGTCCCCAATATGATAAATTAAATTGAATTATTTACCTATTAAATATATCCACGTATGAATGGTTTGTCCAAATTTTAGTTAATTAATGCATCTCAAAATATTACAAGAAACTAGGTCACAATTAGTAACAACCTTTGCATAATTTTAGAATCTCATTTGCTGCAATTCCGCGTCCTTACCCTAATTAGACAATTATGGCTCCATTTCACGTAATTGAATATATATATCACCCTTCTTCCTTCTCGTCCTTGTTGCCTCCAATTCTTTGCATCACATCCTCCCCGTTCTTTGTTCATCCAAAACTTCTGGGATGGAATTCTTCCAAAAGGCCAAAGTGGTGCGGTTGAGGAGCTACCACGACAAGTACATGTTGGCTGATGAGAATCAAGAGAACGTGTACCAAGATCGCAATGGTTGCTACAACAACGCCAAATGGAACGTGGAGATTTTGGAGAATTCTAATTTCATAAGGCTGAGGAGTTGCTATGGGAAATACTTAACAGCCTCAAACATGCCCCTTATAGTGAGGGGAACGGGGAAAAAGGTGTTGCAAACTTTGCCTTCAAGGTTGAACTCCTCTCTGGAATGGGAACCCATTAGAGAAGGGGTTCAAGTGAGACTAAGAACTCGTTATGGACAATACTTGCGTGCCAATGGAGGGTTACCACCTTGGAGGAACACCATCACCCATGATGTCCCCCATCGAACCTCAAAGGCCAATTGGGTTCTCTGGGACGTTGATATAGTCGAGCTTCGACCTCAGCCTCAGGTTCCTAGACCTAGACCACGACCAACACCTATTACACCACCCATCAGTCGTTCCTTGAATCCAACACCAACGGATCTTTCACCTTCTTCTTCTCCATTGATGGTGATGTCAGACACGGATTTGGTTAAGATTGATCTCCGCTCCCCCACAGCAATCGAGGTTCGTCACATGAAACTTGGGTTCATTCTTTCTATCAGATTGAAAAATGAAACAAATTGAACTGTTGTGTCATTTCATGGCTTGAAAAGTTTATCAGAAGAACTTTAACAACAAGTTCTTGAGAAAATTATCCAGTTCCTATACACCTTTTGTTTTAGTTTTGTGCATGCATGCATGCATAACATCTCAAATCTTTTAAAAACTGTTTTAAAATAAGCTGCGTGTTTGAGAAAGTGATTGAGATTTGCAATTTTTTTGAAAGATAATTTGTATCCTGCGATTATTTTTCAACTATTTTTTTTATTTTTCTGTGTGCAGCCTGAAGATTCGCCAGAGTGTTTATCACCGGTGAAAGAAGGAAGGATTATATTTTATGATGTGGGTAACGAAAATGGTGATGTTGATGATGCAAAGAAAGAGGCATTTTTTACCTTTAAAGGAAGTTGTTTGAATGAGTTAGCAGATAAATTGAAAGAAGAAACGGGGCTTGATGATATTCTTGTGTGTTGCCGCAATCCATTAACTGCAAAACTTTATCCACTTCGTTTACAGTTACCTCCCAATTCCTGTGACATGCATGTGGTTGTAGTTCCTTCTTCATGCCAAGGTCAGTTTTCCTTAACCTATTTCTTTTGGATTCAAGAGTGCTAACCCTTTATTAAAACTATAAAACTCACGAGAAAGATTCATTAAGCAAGATGCAAAACTCAATTTTTTTTTATAGTTATAAATTTCAGCAAATTAAAAAGTATATTATTTCTCTTTGATTTCTGATTCCAACTCTCCCAAATCTTGATTTCAGTTTCAAAGTTTCATATTTGTTATCTTTCTGCACTTCTGAACTTCAACATATATTTTTATTATATTATAATGAATTTTGTTCTTTGTGGTATTGTTTATTCTAACAATATTCTTGTGTGACTAAAATCAACCACACCAGTGCAATGATGCAAGGAGGTCAGATTTGTTTTAGCAGTTGAATGCACCAATAGTTGTGAATATGCATATTTATTGAATTGAGCCTACAAGCGTGAGTGAGGAAAGTAATCATTCAAACCGGCAACAAACCAACCAAGAAAAGAAGTGAAATTTTCAATTTTTTTCCAAGTTGCTTATGGACTTAGTTATATGAAATGTAATGCAAAGTGCCAGTTAATGCCTTTTGCTCTATAATTCTTAATTAGGATTTCCATTGCCTCTTAGAAGATCTAATTATTTTACTTAACTTGGTATGAAGTTGTAATTTTTCTAGAGATAGATTTCTCACATCTTATATATATATATATATATATATATATATATATATATATATATATATATATATATATATATATATATATATTCCCATTATTCAAAATATGTGTAGCCTAAAAGGGCATGTTAACCTTTGTAGAGAAACTTTTACCACAAGCAATATTGAAGAATAAGACCTAGCAACACTTAAAGTTGTCCAACCTGTTTGTCCGTTATGAGTAAAAGAAAAAAAAATTAATAACTTTTTAGTTTAATCTGATCTAATTTTGTCCTTATTAATTTTTTTAAAAAAATATTAACATATTTATATAAAATTAATTAATTAAAAAAATTAAATAAAAATATAATTTAAAAAATTAAATTTTATTAGTAAAATTAATTTTTATTTAAGATATAATAATTTAATATATTAATTATAAACTAATATATTTATTTAATCTTAAAATAAGAATTAAAATTTATTCTTTATTATCATTATTTATTTTTAATTTATTAATTTAAAATAGTAATTAATCTTAATAATTAAATATTAAAATAAAAATAAGTATAATAACTACATATTTATAATAAAATAATATTATTTTTATTTAAAAAATTATTATTATTAATAATTTTATAAGTCCATAAGATAATTTAGTTTAAGTTTATATAAGTTATAACCTAAATAAGTCTAATCAAATAAACCTAATTTAATTTAGATTATAAATTTTATGGTATAACTTAATCTAAACCTTTCAATCGGTCATCAAATTAAACCTATTTTACCTTTAACAATACTTTCATATATTTAAGCAGGTGAAAACTATATTTATTATAAATTAGACGCGTGTATAAAAAAATCACATTCCATCTAACAATTCCTTATAATAGCTAAACATCACTAAATCCTTTAATAATATTTTCATAGAACTTTTGGTTTAAATAATTTTTTTTTCAATTCAAACAACTTAGATATATCTATTGCAAATTGTAGGAATTTGTATACATACGATTGAAAGTATAATTACTATGAATAGAAAGGGAGCAGTACTTACCATTTACTTGTAAAATAAATCTTATGTTGGTTGTAGGAGAATTTTTTTTCTTAACTTCTACATAAATGTATTGATTTTGTTTTTTCAATCTAATAAAGTTTTTATCTCAATAATCAAATAATAATTAATTATATAAATACTACTAGAAAATATCAAATAATAATTGATATAATAACTAAATTTTCATTCAAAGAAAATCGAGTTACTTATTTCGATCATTGTATTATTTAATTAGTTTTTAAATTCATTTAAGAAGTAAAAAAATTATATTTTATTAATTATTATCCTCCCAATTTTCATCTTTACTTTATCAAATTTTAGAACATGCATAACCACATTTAACTTGAGACCTTGTTATATTTTACCTATACGCTTCATCTCTCCAACCCCAATCCTCAACCCTTTGAACACTAACTTGGAAGTGAATCTCTAACCTTAACAACAACCTGAAACGTCAATCTCGACAACCTAAACCTGACCCCCCAACGATCTCGAATCCCAACCTCAACCCTACCCCAAACCTCAGTGAACTTGAATTCAACTCCGACGACCTCAAATCCCAACCCAAAACCAGGAAACCTCAAACTAGAATCTTAACCCTAATGAAGTTAATCTTGTCGCCTAGATTTCATCAAACAATTTGTAATTAAAATAATGTAATACTAGGGCTTGACCTAGGTCGAATGCTAATGATAATTGTTTGGTTTTGTTTCAAATCTTAATTTTCTCTATCAAAAGCTAGGAGATAGGGGATTTTTGGATTTTTAAGTGCAAAAATTAAATTAAAAATAATAAACATATTATATGAAAGCAATTAAGCAGTAAATGAAAGCTTTTAAATATGATCTAAGAAAGTTTTAAATGCAAAGGACATTGTAAACTAAGTTTGAAAGTAAAGCTGAATCAATGTGAAAGTTGATGGAGAATAGTGAAAGAATTGTGTTGATTCTCCAATCATAAACTTGTTTTTATGATTATCATTGATTTTATGAAATTGTCTTACAATCACAATAACAAATCCACAATAGTTCCAATCAAATACAATCCATTTGAAATTTGAATTCACAACTCAATTCCTAAATTAAGCAATTACTTAAATATAGAAGTTGAACTGTGATGTAAAAGAAACATTTAATCAAATAACCTCATTCACATTGTTTGTAATGAATTATAATCGATTAAAATTATTAGGAATCAAATCTAAACTAAACCATAGAAAATAAGTTTTAATTGGTGAATCAATAACAAAAATGAATTAGAATATGATTATCAAATGGAAAAACAAAAAATAGTAAAGGAATGAATAAAAATGGAGAAGAAGATGAAACCGAAAGTAAAAACAAAGAAGTAAAGACAGAAAGAGACAAATTTGATGAAGGAGAACTTGAATTGATTAACTTCGTTGAATTATTTATACAAGAAAACTCCATGAACAAACTTGGAAGCTAAGCATCACTACTGAAAAACTAAAGAAATCAAGGGCTTAACTTAGAGAGAATCTACGAATGAATTATGATTCAAACTTAACTTATAATTTATACACATTCGAATGTCTATTTACACAACAACAAAGGTATACGAAGCGTTCAAGGTCCTTTCGAGGCCCATAATTACAAAATAGAACTCAATACAATATTATGCAAAACTGATATTTGACTAATCCGCTCATCAAATTTGAAGTTAAATTAGTTACATGAGTTCTCTGGAAGAATTTCACTCAGCGGATCCACATCTGCTCAACTGATTTAAAAGTGCTCAGCAGATTGTTAATTTTCAGATGAAGAGCTCTTAGGATTCTGCTCAACAGTTTGTCATCTGTTGAGCAGTTGTCTCGAAGTTGATTTTGTCGAGCGGATTTAGAAGTGCTAAGTGGATTTACACTCGTTTAAGCTTTTATAATTTTTTTAATTTATCATTTCGCAAAGGAAAATAAATAATTAGTAAAAATGTGCATTTTAAGCAATAATTTATATTAAGATATTTTTTATTTCCTTTTTACAAAAATATATTAATTATTAATAATTAATTAAGAAATTATATTAAATATTTATAAATTATATTAATAATAATATTGACAAAATGTGTTTATCAAACCCCGCTAAACTCAAATCCTAACCCGAAAACCTCAAATCCCAACCCAACACTAGGAAACCTCGAACTAGAACCTTAACCTTGAAAAATACTAACCTGACAACCTCAAATCTCATCCCAAAACCTCACAACCTCTAACCCGAACATAGAACATCACGAACATCATATCTAGCACTCCCATATGCCTGTGTTAATCTAGTTTTACATGGTAATGCTTTTTCTTTGTGTTGTTTATGACAATGGATGCAAGACTGGTGCAATGGAAGCAAATTTGTTATCCTAGTTTCTTTGTTACTAGATTATAATTTAAAATCTTGAGTAATAGCTTCTTTAGGTTGGTATTAACTTCTTCTTTATTGTTTCAGTTGCTTATCATTCAGCTTAATTATTTATGTTAACTAAAAGCTAATATGCTTCACAATATGTTATAATTTAAAAAACTAAAGTAAATGATTTCTAAGTGGGTGAGGGACTAAACAAATAGAGGGATTAAACAAATAGTTTTAATATTTAAATATAACTAAGGCCTTAATGATTAATTTTTTTCTTCCTTAAAATATGAAGTAAAGAGGTTTAGTGACTTGAATGGACCTTATTCAACTTTTGTAAGTGAATTACTATAATTGTCTTATGCTAATATTTTTGTTGGAGCTAGTGTCTCATTATAGGTACTAATTTGAGAAGTACAAAATGTATATGATCAGTGGAGAATCTTGACCATTGATTTTGGAGAGCCAAATAATATATTATTAAAAAATAATAAATAAATATGAAAAGGTGAAAGAAGATAAAAAAGTAAGAGGATAAAATTCTAAATATATAAGTAAATATATTAAATGATAATTAAGATTGGGGGAGACAAAATCATAAATTATATGAGAATTAGGAAAAACATGATACAATTATAAATATATAAATAAATATATTAAATGATTATTAAATTTGAGGAAGCCAAAATCATAAATTATATAGTAGTTTCAAAACTTTGGGGAGGTCACAACCCCTCTTCGTTGTTGAAAAGATCAGTCATTATATATAATGAGATATTAATAATGTGTTATTGTAGAATTAATATATTTGATTGTTTACTAGGATATTAAGGAGTTGCAATATCAATTATACATTGCCTCACTATTTTGCAGACTGGTAGAATTTTTAAAGTTCTGTAAGTGATAATTTATTGTCTATTCTTAATATTCTATACTAATAGTAAAATTTTCTGGTATTAAATTTATCTATTTTTAAAATCATTTAAGAATGTCTAACCAATTATAATATTGGGTTTGTGTCTAACCAATTATAATATTGGGTTTGTTTGGAGTTAACTTCTCCATATGTATTTCTATAAAAGAAAAATAAGAAGTAAAAATGAAATTAGTTTCTCCTGTACAAAATTAACTTATGTATGAGTAAAAAATCGGATTTTGGAGAAATTAGTAGAAAATATTTTTCAAATTAGTTTATACATAGAAGTGTTTATGGAATCTCTAAACAGATCCAACGAATGTACTTGTGTCAGGTGTTTTGCATGTTGAACTGTGTCAAATTAAATTGTTTTGTTTATTGTACACTAATCTTTGTGATGGGTATAATAACATGCTTCCTGTGGTTACGAAACATAGAAAATAGATATTTTAATGTTTATTCTCTCTAGTACTTTTTGACATATTTCTGAATAGAATTTTTTTTTCAGAGACCTAAGCTATAAAATCTTTAATTTGTATAATACATTACTTATATCAATTTAAGGTCTAATTTCTGTGGTTATTCAGTGCAACAAGAATCTAATGGCAACATGTTTCTTAATCATAACAATTCCCTCTTGGTAATCAATTAATTAACGGGTTCAAATCCTATAAGCTCTTTATTTTATTTAAAGTTGGAGAAGTCTCCAGAAACAAATGAACACTTTTTTTTTATTCAAGTTATATGCCAATAATAACATGTTTGAGAATTTTTATTTTTTCAAGTTACACCTACAATTCTTACTTTTTTTTTCACCACTGTAAGTATAATGTTTTGAAAATTCAAAGAATGCGAAAATAAGTGATGATGTAATGTTTAAAAAAAGAGTTGTGTAGAATTTAAAAAAAATTATGATCTCGATTTAATTTGGAAAAATATGAGGGAGTGTTAATATAATTCACTCACAATAAAAGAAAAAAAAAAAAGTATAGTGAAGACATAATTTATAAGTAATTCCACGTGAAAAACTGCGCAACCTATGAAGAAATAACTTAAAGTGATTTCTAAATATAAAATTACACAATTTTAGCTTCTTATTAAACCTATAGAAAGTGGCTTTGTATTTGATTATATATATATATATATATATATATATATATATATATATATTCATAAATAACTAGTTATTTTCGTTATTCATTAAAATTAACATATAATAAATAATATTTAATATTCCATTTTCTAATTTTTCATTGCTTATTATGATTTTTTAAATTTCAAATATTATAAATATTTTAATTAAGTATAAATCAATAATTTAACAAAATTTATGTATTATTTTAATTAATAATAAAATTTGTTATATAATTTTTACAAATTTTAACTATTCCTTAAATTAATAATATTTTTCTACTCATTAATTTAAAATACTAAACTAGCTTATTAATTAATTTGTTAATTATTAAATATAATAGAATGAATAATATTTAATATTTACTTTTTAAATTTTTCCATTGTTAATTATAGTTTTAATTAAAAATTTATACATACTTTTAAATTTATATAGTTAATTTTACAACTAGAAGATTATTTTATAATTAAGTATTAATTAATAATTTAACAAAATTTATGTATTGATTAAATTAAAAATAAATTTTTGTTGTTAAAATTTTTACAAATCTAAACTATTACTTCAAATAATAATAATAATAATAATAATATTTTATCAATCAATTTAAAATATTAATAACTAGTTTTATTATTATTTTTATATTAAATAACAAATAACATTTTTTTAAATTTTATTCGTATTTTATTCTTATTTAAACAGCTACCAGAATTATATATTCTGGAGACGAATTCTAGCTAGAAACAATGAATACGTCTAATTTTGTAAACAAACTTGACACTTGTTTTATTAGTTTTTTTTTTTTTCGAAAGATAATTTATTTGAGAAAAATATTGGCACAATTATCGAACTTGGTTAGTATGCAGCATTACGCTGTTTAATGGATGTGAGATAAATGTTGATATCATTTTACAGCTTTTTAAAACTAATTTAATCTTACAAAATAAATTTTAAAAATAAAGTTTACATTCACTTGTACTTACAGTTTTACAATCATTTAATTTTTAAGATTTTTGCGGTGTAAGGTTGAACTCTGTATTCTCAAATAGTTTCTTTGCAGACCAGAAAAATGCAGCAGCAATATATATCTATTGCTTCCTTTTTCGATTTGTGAAGTTCTTGCTGTGTAATATTAAGAAACCTGAAAAGTTCTGGCTCCTTTTTATATACATTTTTCTTTTGTTTTTCCTTAATCTTGGTCTTGCCACTTTCATTAGTAAAGCTTTTCGGTATAAGCATGCTTATCTACCTCTTCATCTCTCTTTGTTTGGCAGCAACAGAAAGGGGTCTGAGGAAGATCTAAGGATACTTCTGAAGCAGGAAACGACGAACGCTTCTTCTAAAACAAGAAGAAGGACTTTGGTGTAAGCTCCCATCGAATTACTAGCCCTTTTATTGCAATGTAATTTTCTGTTTTAAAATTGAAAAAAAAAATGTTATTTAGTATAATCTCGTGTGTTATCGTAATATTTGTATTTATATAAAGTGGATATTTGTTTTTCTTTTCAAGAGTGGAATTTGGACTGGGACCCAAAATTTGAGAGCGGTGTCGAGGAGCATTTCCGATGGCAAGTTTTGCAATAGCCGTGGGTCAGACTCTGCATGTTATGGCAACGAGACAGTGCTTCTCAGGTTCTAGACAAGCAAGCCGCTCTGTCTTATCTCTCGGGTTTTCCTCAATACTTCCTACCTTTCACTTCAAATATACCAGATTCAGGGAAAGGAGTTGTACAACCCATGCCATTTACCATACTACAGAGGTAGGTACGATGTTTCTCTTCAATCCTCAGTTCCAGTTATTTTGATGAAAAAAATATTATGTTGGTCAACAAGAGTGTACACTGAATCCTTGAACCAAAGAGTTTCAAAACAAGTTCATCAGATGTCAAAACGTGTCTCTAAATTTTGTCATTTTAATTTTTAATATATGTAAATGTTATTGCTTTAAGTCACTCAATTTTTTAAATTTTGACTGAAGTAATTGACAGATTGTACTTTCAGGATTCGTTTTTAAAATTTTCTTGTCTTCAGAGACTAAGTTACGAAATTATACCCTTTCGGACCCAACTGATGTTTTCCCCTTGTTTCAAAGACAACTTACAACGGTGATATGGATGTTTTTATTGGTTTTTTTCAATCTTATTTTGGTGAACAGTGTAAAGTAGAGAAGCATGAGAAATGCTGCATGGACACCATGTGATGGTAGTAGGCACGAAGAGAGAGTAAGAGATGCAAGAGAGAATAATGTAGATATAATAGGTGATATGATTAAACAACATAAAGTATAGAAGTGTGAAAATGATGCATGGACGACCGACGCTTCAAAGAGAGAAAGCGCATAGAAGAGCAAATAGGGTAGGGTATGATTGATGATATGACGGGATTAGAAGAAAGAAATAGAGAAAGAACTGAGTGTTGAACAATATAAAATAGAATAGTATGAAATATGATGCATGGATACGGATACACAAGTAGGCAGTATGAGAGAGAAAGAGACATAAGAGAGAATATCTAAGATATGATTGGTTATTTGATGTGATATGAAGAAAAAAGTTGAGAAGAATGACAGGTGTTAATGAAGTGTTTGATCTTTTGAGGTATCCAAATATAATTACTCTAGATTTGTTTATGATACTGTACTAAGTTTTGGCTTTATTATAATCAACTATGCTTCTGAGCGCCAGTTCTTTGCTGTGAAGTCAAAGGAGGAGCTGTTGGTGGTTGTTGGGGGTGGAGCAGCTGGGATGTATGGAGCGATTCATGCTAAGACTGTGGCACCCCATCTCAGTGTCGTAGTTATAGAGAAGGGAAAGCCTCTCTCCAAGGTTTGTGTCATAATGCCATTATGCTATTCAAATTTTGTGCAACGTTTTCATTCTCTTTTGTTCTTATCATGGTACTGTCTGCAGGTGAAAGTTTCTGGAGGAGGACGGTGCAATGTGACTAATGGGCATTGTGTTGACAATATGGTAGTCCTCCTCTCGTTGTGAAGTTCAACATATATGTTTTCTTGTGGCATAGTCTGTTAACTGCCTTGCACTTGTATAGCATATCACTTTGCCCTTCTAGGAGCATTAAGAGAAATAGATTAACAAAACTTAGTTTGATGTTTGTAATCTACTGGAGGTGAGCAGCAGGTCATTTCCTTCCTTTGAGGAATTAATAAATTGTCAAATTTATCTGTGTTGATTTTGGTCTTGGATATTTGTTTTGTTGTGTCTTGCATCTAATTACTTTATTGGATTACTGTCATGGTTGCTTTAATGTCTTGAATATGATTTGTTTGTAGATTTTGGCAGAAAACTATCCCAGAGGTCACAAGGAACTGAGAGGATATTTTTTTAATATACATGGTCCGGTGGATACAATGTCGTGGTTTTCCTCTCATGGAGTGGAGCTGAAGGTTATCCTTTGAAAAACTGCTCATTACTTTTTTATGTTTCCACTTTCAAATGTACATTTATGATTCATGATTAACCGCTCTTAGGTTGAGGATGATGGCAGGGTATTTCCTGTCAGTAACAACTCTTCTTCTATAATTGATTGTCTCATGTCTGAAGTGAAGCAAAGGGGAGGTATGTTGTCCTAGTAAGTTATGCTTTTGGCTGTTTGTTTAATGAAGATTGAGTTAAGGAAACCTCTATATTAAAAAACTACTGAGCTTTCTGTTATCCTATGGGTCCAAAAAACCCATTCTGTCACTGATACAGTGTCTCTTCTCTGAAGTTAAATCCTGGTCTCCAGTTAAAACTTTTTGATGGTTGGTAAATCATGCCTCTATGTATTTTAGTTTTCTCTTTAAATTTGAAGACTAGTTCAAGGTTCATAAGTCAAAATGTTACTATATGGTTATAGATTTTAATTTGACAATTACTAGCTGCTACCGTTCTTCCCGCATGGGTATTACATTTACAATTGTCCTAAGCGTTTTAAGGATTTTCTCTGTTTTTTGTTCCATTTTATTTGAAATTGGATTTAGGATCTAGCTCAATATCACAAAATCAGCTTGTAAGGTGAGTACTATTTAAGCTTAAAAAGCTCTATATATTTTAATCATATATCTAATCCTTTGAAACTAAACTACCACCCTTGAGACTGAATTTAAGATAGTTCCCAAAGAGGTTGCAACTAAAGTGGACTAGGGGTAACCACAATTAAGGTGGCTTTCCATCACATTTCATAACTACTAGGTGCAAGAAAATTTATTATCTCAAAAGCAGTGAAAGTTACTAAAAGTTAATTTTACCTAAAATACAATATATAATACAGAAAATTATGGTATAAGATTTTTCTTACCTGTAGTTTGATTTCTTTCTCCTTGGGCATCAGGCTGGCTTTGCTTTATGTTACCAACTGATTGACCTTCGGAAAATATATCAAAAGTAGTACATCTTTTCACTCCTATATCTTTTCTCATATAAAACAATAATATATTTTTAGTTTAATTTTGTTGTTAGTCCCTGAAATTTAAGGAGATTCTGGGTTTTGTCCCCTCATATTTAAAAAGGTTTAATTTTAGTCTCTCAAAATTTAGAAAATATGATTTTAATCCCTAAACATAAGTTCCTAGGACTAAAATAAGTTTTTAAAGATGTTTTAGTCCTTCAATTTCAGTGTTTAGGGACTAAAACCATATTTTACTAAATATGACGGATTAAAATGAACTTTTTTTTTCCCTAATTTGGAGGACTAAAAAGGATTTACCCCAAATTTACTTTTTCTAATTAAACCTATATTACTTGTATGAAACACTATACTATTAGAAATTCTTAGAAAGTGGATTTTAAACCTAAGTCAATCCCACAAAATTGACTTGTAAGATGAGGATAGCCTCCACAACTATTGGACTTTGATATCATCTTACAAAGTGGTTTAGGTTTAACTCAACTCTACAAAACCAACTTTTAAGGTGAAGTTTTATACCCACTTATAACTATAATTTTGCCATATCTTTAGTGGGTGTGAGGAGACTTGAGTTTTTTCCAATAAAAATCATAACTATCCACTTCTTCTGTTTTACAATCATTTGATTTCAAGTCTGTGATGTATATTCAATTTGTCAACGAGCTGAACTCTCAAATAGTTTCTCTGCAGACCAGGAAAACTGTAGCAGCAGTATCTATTTTATCTAGTGGCAAATTCCTTCTTGAGGTTCAGCAACACACATCTATTCATGCTGAACGTGTTGAAGCTGATTATCTATTGATTGCTAGTGGTAGTAGCCGGCAGGTTGTGGTGGATAATTGATTTATTTGAATTAAGAGGCATGAATCGTGTCATTTTTTTAAAGCCAGTTTCTTTCTGTCATAGGGTTATACTCTTGCATCTCAGCTTGGTCATTCAATTGTAGATCCAGTGCCGAGCTTGTTTACTTTCAAAATAGAAGATTCACATTTGCGGGAGTTGTCTGGGGTAAAGTATCAATTTGTGAAGTTCGTGCTGTATAATATTAAGGAATTTAAGGAACCATAAGTTCTGGTCCTTTTATCAAGCTTTCTCTTTTTATTTTGTTAATAATGGTATTTGCTATCATTCATTTGTGAGCTATAGATTGAGAGAGGAGAAAACCTTGAATGATGTAGAGTATTACTAAAGCTACTTGCACCATTATAATGAATGGTTACCAGGTTTACTTACTGAGATAAAATCTGATACAATTCTGTAACATTTGTGGAGGAGTATGCATGTGGGTAGCTGAAATCAGTATGTCCACTAAGCAAAGCTGTGCCTAGTGTGACTGGATGGTTTACAATATGCCTTGGCTGCTCATAAGTGGATAGTATTAGAAATGGAAATGGTTTGCTCGATCTGTTTCAGTTAGGTTGTGAGGATCATGATTGGGTTTCACTACAAATATAGAGGAGAAACTGACAGTAATGGCACCTTTTCAAGTTGGAGCAACCGAAACAAAAATGGAAATATACCCTTTCTAAACTAGGGGAAGGTGTGATGGAGGCTGGGGCTGGAAATTAAGGGTAGTCAACCCTAGGTGCCGATGAATACTGTTGAAATTCTGATATGGATTTGGAATTTATAGGAATTAATGCCAATGTATGAAAATGTGGGAATGTGGGTAAGATGAGGCAGAGGCAGAGACTTAAAGGACGTTTTTAAGTGAATTATGATGTGAACAGGCATGTACAATGTATCACATGGTACATGTTTGAATTATATAGATAAATATACTCACTTTATTCACCGAGTAGTAACTGTGAGTAAATAGTATCTGACTGATGCCCATCTTTCATTCTCTCTTCCAATCTCACTGCCACAGTGCCACCATTCACTATGGTGCTACTGCCCAACCTGTTGCCACTCCCACTTCAATGTCTCTATCACTATATTGAGGAAGGCAAAGTTGTTAACTATGGTTGAAGGGGTGGTAAGGCAAGAGTAGTGGCATGTTGGCTATTATCAGATGCTGAAGATGCTTGTGTTATTGGGTGACATTTCCAATGTAACAGTTTGGTGGCCGAAATCTGTTTTATATGGTAAGCTGTTGTGAAATTTTTTGGAGTTGTTTGGATTTTACAGAATTGATTATGATTCCTTGTGGAAATAACTCTTCTATGTAACATCAAGTTTGGTGCTTGTTTGAGGCAGAAAATCTCTTCCACTGACACATCTGCTGCTCTCATTCAAGGTTGTCTCTTCTCATTTTATTTACATGTGTCCTTTTTGGGCACTTGTTTGCAACTTTCAGAGGATCTACTGGTGAGTGCCATGGGAATAAAAGAATGGAAAGAAAGCCTTCTGAAAAGTACACATGCAATTGTCTATTGTTTCAGACTGAAATTAGGTGTGTTATGAGGATGGAATTAGATAGAAGTGACAATGTCCATACTGTGTAAAAGAAATTACAGGTTGCATCCAATTTTCCAACTGAGGAAAGATTGCCTTATATGTGAGTTTGGTCTTGAAGTGTGATTTGAGTGTGGTTAGGTAATATTCTTCACGTCTTTTCTCAAGGAACGGACTTTTTGCATGTGATTCCATCTACCCCTTCGATTTCACCTACTGGCAGAGATCTTCAGGACAGGGATTAGAGTGGACTTATTGACGTTATAGATTACTCAGATATTTTTAAGGATATATAATGAAGGAAATAAAAGTTGGCATTGAATTGAACCAATCCCCATTCAGAGTGGATAGGATGTTACATGTTACTTTAGAAATAGTCATGGTGAAAAATGTTCCTATTAACTAATGAGGAACATGGTAGAAATCTTCTGGTCAGGAAGCATGAAAGGTTTGGAAGGTTTCATCTGGTGGAGCCTTTTCCATTGTTCATGGTCTGTACCCTGTAAGTTTGGAAGATCCATATTTTGAATGTGTCTATTGGCCTCAGAAATCAATATCTCTCTCAGATGATGAGCTTGACCATATATATCATCTAGATCTGTTTCATGATTCAGAAATGCTTGCTTAGAATGGTGTTCCAATGATTTGAGAAGCATGCTTGTGAGTTTTGGTTCATTGCATTACCTTCGTCAAGGAAGCTGCAGCCATTGGTTTTTGTCTAGCAAAGATTGGCAACATGATGAGTAGGGAATTTCTGGGACTTTATATTGAGCCTGGTAAGCTTGAGCTAGCTTTTGGGATTAAATTAAGCCTAGCCCATTTCTAACATTATTTTAGAGCTTTCTATTGTTTACATGGTGCGTGGAGGTAGTTTCCACCATGTATTTCCATCTGTGGAGGAGGAATTGGAAACTCTTATATCTCTTGTTTCAATTATTACTTGGGTACAACTTATATACTTGTTAGACAACTTCAGCTTATGCCAACTGGTTTTAAAATGGAATCGATAATATAAGATAGGAGAACAGGAAGTGTGGGGGGAGTTTACCCCTCCATCTATTACACATAGTCCTTGCTTGGTACTTGATATGAATTATAAGGGGTAATTTAGGAGTTTTAAGGTTAGAACCTTAGAGGAAATTTAAGAATTTAGTGATAAGGTGGAAGGAAAGAATCACTCTTTCCAAAGAAGGCAACACACAAAGGATGTGAAAGTCCTTTGATACAGCCAAGGGTTCTTGAATCACTCAAGAACTTAGGAGAATCACTCTCAGTAAGGTAAAAGAGATAAACTCTAATATTTCTAAAAATAAAACTTAACTTGTTATTTCTGATAAAAATGGTTCAACTTATAAAGAAACTTTGCCATCAGAGTTACAAATATTCATTAAAGGAAATAAATGCTAATAATGATTTATTAACCTAGGAATTGAAAACTACTTAATGATTTATTGTAACTGAAATTATGACATCCAAAAGTCAATCAACTATGCATCCTCTTGGTCTTCCAAAGACTGATAACTAAATTTTCAATTGGACCCTTATTACAACTTAAAACAAAATCAAACTAAAACCCATTAATTGATTAATCCAAAACATAATTTGGTCAACCAACAACTTGTTGAAGAGCTTCATTTGCTTTCCTTGCTCTAGCCCTTATCATAGGTCACGTTCACATCAGTACTTCCCCATTCAAGGTTTTGGCTCCAATTGATCACTACATGGAGTCATTTACTTTCTGTCGAATCTGCATTTGGTCATCATGTTATCTATATCAAGTAGAGGATTCAAACGTGTTGAATATAGTGAAAACTAGGTATAGGATTAATTCCCTTTTTGTCTAAAATACAATACATTTTTAATTAAGAGTCATACAAATAAATATGGTAAATGCATATATTGTGACTAATAATATTTAAAATATCTAACACTCCCCCTTAAGATGATGCATATAAATCTTGTATACCAAGCTTGTTACAAATATAATCAATTATAGGTCATCGAAAAATATTTGTTAACTGTTCACTTGAGTTAACAATTGCGATTTTAATATTTCCAGATACAATCTTTTCTCAATAAAATGACAGTCAACTTTAATGTACTTGGTCCTTTCATGAAAGACATGATTAAAACTAATATGAAGAACAACCTGATTGTCACATATAAGTGTCATTTGAGTGATATCTCCAAATTGCAATTCTTTAAATAATTGTTTAAGCCAAACAAGTTCACAAGTGGTTGGGGCCATAACTTTATATTCTGTTTCTGCACTAAATCTTGTTACAACACTTTGTTTTTTACTCTTCCAAGAGATAAAGTTACCTCCAATAGAAACACATAATCCAGAAGTAGATCTTCTATCAGGATCTGCATCTGAATAATAGACAACTTTAGCTTGGTTATTTTGATTATATAACAAACCTTTTCCAGGAGATCCTTTAATGTACTTTAAATACGAATGATTGTACTCCAATGATTTACGCATGGGAAATTAAGAAATTGACTCACTACACTAATTATAAAGGAAATGTCAGGACGAATAATAATAAAATAATTTAATTTTTCAACTAATCTTCTTTACTTCTTAGGATTTTGGGAGAGGCTCCTCCTGATAAGATAGGAGTTTGGTATTGGGATCTATGGGTGTGTTAACAGATTTTGAGTTCATCAACCCAGTTTCTTCTAAAATATCCAATGCATACTTTCTATGAGATATAACAATGCCACTATTGGATTGTGCTACCTCAATCTCCAAGAAATATCTAAATTTGCCAAGATCTTTGGTCTGAAAGTGGTGACAAAGGTGTTCCTTCATCTGGGAGATGTCATGGTGATCACTCCTTGTAAGAATAATATATCAACATATACTATTAAATAGATACACCCAACACTTGAGTGACGGTAAAATACTGAATGATTTGCCTTACTGTGAGTCATACCAAACTATTCAACAACACTGTTAAATTTTCCAAACCAGGCCTTAAGAGATTGTTTTAGGCCATATAAAGATTTATGAAGACGACATACCAATCTAGAAGACTCCCCCTAAGCAACAAAGGTTTGAGGTTGCTCCATATAAATTTCTTCCTGCCAATCTTTGTTAAGAAAAACATTTTTGACATCCAGTTGGTAAAGAGACAATTGTTGAAGAGTAGCCATAGCTATGAATAAACGAACAGAAGTTATCTTTGCCACTGGAAAAAAGGTGTCACCATAGTCCAAACAAAAAAATTTGTGTGTAATCTTTGACCACAAGATGAACTTTGAGATGGTTAATAGTACTATCAGGACCAACTTGGATAGCAAAAATCGACCTCCAACTAACAACAGATTTTCTAGATAGTAATGGGACGAGTTCCCAAGTTTCATTATTCTGAAGAGTACTGATTTCATTAAGCTGACCTGATGCCAACTAGGATGGGTTAAGGCATCGCCAACGGATTTGGGAATTGACACAGAAGAAATGGATGAAAGGCAGATATAAAAAGGTGGAGATAATCTATGAAAGGCAGATATAAAAAGGTGGAGATAATCTATGGTAACTCAAAACAGGACAATGAGGAGAGGGATTATGAGTAGAATATATACCTTTATGAAGGGTAATTAGAAGGTTAAACTTAGTTGTCATAGTCAAATGAGACAAAGGAGATGACACTAGACGTGAGTCATTTGGTGGTTGTTGGGATTATTGTTTTTGATTATAATCCTGAAGTGGTGGTGGCGGAGGAGGATCTGAAGGTGGGGGCTAACAGGAGAATCACACACAATAGGAATATTGACAGTAGCAAACGGCGACACACACGGAGAAGAAGGATATTTAAAGTAAAAGGAAAACTCATTAAAGGTGACATTTGTAGAAATAAAATAAAGGTTAAGAGAAGGAGAGAGACATTTATATCCTTTTTGTCATCGAGTAAATCCTAAAAAAACACATTTGTGTGATTTAAGAGATAACTTATTAAGATTAGGACTAAAGTTATGAACAAAATATGTAGACCCAAAAACTTTAAGAGGTAAGGAATATAGAGGTTCATGAGGAAATAAAAGAGAATGAAGAATTTTATTATTTAGAACCGAAGATGACATGCGATTGATAAGATAATATGCAGTAAGAACAACATTACCCAAAAAATGTTTAAGAATCTCACCATCAATTAAAAGCGTGCGAGTTGTTTCAACAGGATGTCTATTCTTGTGCTCAATCATCTCATTTTGTTGAGGCGTATAAGTACATGAAGTTTGATAAAGAATGTCATGAGAAGCCATAAAATGTTTAAAAGAATGAGAAAGGTATTCACGACCATTATCACTTCACAACATTCAAATAGAAATCCCAAATTGAGTTTTAATTTCATTAAAAAAAGATTGGAATATAGAAAACAACTTAGAATAATTTTTCATTGAAAACAACTAAGTACTTCTGGAATAATCTTCAATAAAGGTAACAAAATACTAAAAGCCTAAATTAGACTTAACACAACTGGGTTCCCAAATGTCAGGGTGAACTAATGCAAAAAAGGACGAAGAACGTTGTGAGACACTACGAGAAAATGAACTACGATTATGTTTCCCTAATTGACATGACTCACATAACAAATTAGATAAATTGGACAAACTGGGAAGAAACTGCTACAATTTGGCAAGACTGGGGTGACTTAGCTGAGCATGGAGGACAGATGGAGGCTCTATAACTATGTCAACATGTGTTGAAGGGTGGAGATGATAAAGACCATGAGACTCACATCCAGTGCTAATCATCTGTCTCGAACTCCGGTCCTATAAACAAACAGAATCTTTGGTAAAAGAAATAACACAATCAAGAGAACGAGTTAGATGACTAATGGATAATAAGTTAAAGGGAGACCTATGGACATAAAGAACATTATCAATGGATAAAGATGGAAAAAGTTTAACAGTACCAACACCATGAGACAAAACCTTAGACTCATCAGCCATTGTAATGAAAGGTAAATTATGCGGAGAGGATAGAGAAAAAAACAAGGATTTATTCCCAGTAATATGATCTTTGGCGCCTGAGTCAAGAACCATAAGTCCAAGAGAAGGAGATTGAGTTAGGCCAACAAAAGATGTACCTGTGCATACAACAGAAGTAGTGGAACTAGAGTTCTGACGATCCTCATATCATTTGAAAAATTAATTGAAAATAGTAGATTTGTCTGCAGTACAAGAGGAATTAGGATCCCCAGTAGATGATTGTGAGGGAGGATCAATTTGGACAATTGCAGTAGGTCTAGGAGGATGACCATGTAATGCATAATATCTATCAATCTTGTGGCCTAGCTTGTGACAATGATCGCACTTGTGACGCCCTTTTCTTGGCTTGCGATTATCACGTTGAGATGCCAAAACAGATGAATCATCAGCAGAAGCATATACATTACTGATGTGTTTACTTGGCACACGTAAAAGGGTGAAACAAGTAGAAGTGAAATTGGGCACAATAGGGGAACCCAAAATCTGATCACGGACCTAGGAATATTTGTCAGTAAGCCCATGTAATGCCAACAACATGAAGAACTTTGACCGTTGCTCTAGTTCTTGGGCAAGAGTAGTGCGGCTCCGGCTTCGGCGACGATGGCGGTTTCGGTGACAGTGACGGTTCCAATGGCAAAAAGAGAAAAAGAGAACCTCTAGATACCATGTTGAATATAGTGAAAGTTAGGTATAGGGTTAATTTGTTTTTTGTCTAAAATACATGTAGGGTAATATATTTATAATTAAGAGTCATACAAGTAAATATGGCAAATGCATATATTGTGACTAATAATATCTAAAATATATAACAAAACTTATTATTCATGATTAGTACTTACAGAGTTGTTTCTGCATAAATTAAGCTTCTTTTCTGTTTTTTGTTTCTTTCGTACTCCTTTACATTTGTTTTCCTTAATTGTCAGGTTACATTCCCCAAAGTTAAAGTGAGGCTAAAATTGGATAGTGTTCAAAGGAATATACCTAAGCTTACACAGGTATGCTTTGTTATTACCACAGATCAAAACTAGTTTACCTTGGTGCAGTTATTACCACAGATTAAAAAGTGAAAAACGTATATACATGATATTTTCAAATTTTAGGTTGGTCCCATGCTAGTTACACACTGGGGGCTCAGTGGACCAGTTATTCTTCGGTTATCTGCTTGGGGTGCTCGTTTTCTGTTCAGTTCAAGTTACAAAGGTAAGGAAAATCTTTCCCCATATTCTGTGATTGGGAATGTTTAAAATTATTATATATTTGAATCAATTCTTGTATGAAACTAATTGAGATAATAGTTTAGGATTTCAATTCATTTACAAATCATTTTGTCTGTTATATTAATGTTTGTAACTTTTGGCAAGATTTGCAACTCATTTTCAGTCAAGTAAATTCTTTTCTATTCTGCAGTTTTCCAATATTTCCATTTTCCTTTTACAGATATTGTTATAATTTGGATGCAGGCAAACTTTTTGTTGATTTTATCCCTGATCTGCATGTGGAAAGTTTGAAGTCAATTCTTTCCCATCACAAGCTTGAATATGCGGTAAATTATGGTTCTACTTCTCTCTACAAAATTCTACGAACCTATATTCTGTTGTATTCAGTTGGAAGTGGAAGGTGATTTGATTATATGATTTTGTTAACGAGTTTCTTTTCTTAGTCAGTTAATTATTTTAGCATAAATCCATTTATCTTGCTCGACATTTTCTGGAAATTATGTGGTTTTAGATAAGAAAAATTGGTTTGGTTTCATAATTGGAAATTGGAATGTCTAATATGAGTCTGCAAAATGGGTTTGCATGTATAGATATGCACTATCTAATATCTTTTGTTGATTTAGTATGAAGTTGTATCAAGACAGCCACAATCATGCTATAGTTTTCTTCTTTCCACAAATTTTCTTTTGCTTGCGTTAAGAAACTAGCATTAATTCAATGTAAGCTGTTAGATCAAAGACTACTGCGTGTAAATTTCAACTATCATTTCCTTAACTAAAAAATTGTAACCAAAATGGTTCCACTAAGTTGTTTTGCTTGTGCCTTTGCAGAAACAAAAGGTACTCAATTCCTGTCCTCCTGAATTTGGCATAACAAGAAGATTTTGGAGCTATGTATTGGAACGACAGGTTTCGTGGCAGTCCCTAAATTTGTAGTGGAAAAAAATGTATTTTTAATCCCTATACTTCCATTAAGTTTGGTTTTGGTAACCGAACTTTTAAACTGATGAATTTAGTCTTGTAATTTTAAAAAATATATGACTTAACTCCCTCAACATGCTTAAACTTAGCATTTGATTTTGGTATTTTATTACCACAAGTTGAAAGAGAGTAATTCACATGTTTTCTAGAATTGGAGGACTATATACATCAATATAAAGTACAGATATTAAAATAAATTTGGATGAAGATATAGGGTGCAAAATACACCTTTCTTTCTTTTCTTTTTTATTAATATAGAGTTGTAGCTAAAAATTAAATTCTTGACAAATTATATATATAATTTCCATATGTAGGGTTTAAGTGGAGATGCCTTATGGGCTTCAATTTCAAATAGTTCATTGATGTCCATAGGTTCTTTGTTGAAGCACTGCATATTTGAAGTGACGGGCAAGGTAAGTAGGTTTCTTATCCTTCTTGAGTTACTTAATTTTGTTCATATATTCTTGATCTAACATTTCTTTTGCCCTAACAAAGGGTCAATTTAAGGATGAATTTGTTACTGCGGGTGGTGTTCCCTTGTCAGAGGTTCTCTTGCTTCACTTATTTCGTTCTTCCTCTCTACCCTAGCTTCCATAATTAGAAATATTATTCAATTTAATTACTTTTATTTTTTTCAAGATTTCACTTAATACAATGGAAAGCAAAATTTGCTCAAGACTATTCTTTGCTGGCGAGGTAGATCAAATTTAAAAATTGTCTTTTATTTGAATTTTTGAAGAAGTACAATTAAAGAAATGTTATTATATGTGGTACAACCATTCATACAACATTTTTTTTTGTCTATCTCTTATGTGCGGTATTTATTACTTATGATATTGGTAGAGAAAGATAAACACAAAAATGTTGTTCTATAAAACATTAGGTCTTGCTAACAGAAGCCCTTAGATACTGGTCAAGAAATTAAAAGGAGAAAGTTTTCATTGGAAATCATATAGGAGTGTATCAAAATGTCATAGGGGAATGCATTTCTCTGCATCCCAATAAAAAAATTCTCCTTTAATTCCTTAACTAGGGTTAAAGAATTGCCAAAACTATAAATTGTTGTATGTGTGTTATATCTCAACTATACAGTATGATAATGCACTGTTAATGTTTATTTTGTAGATACTAAATGTTGATGGGGTAACTGGTGGTTTCAATTTCCAGGTAAATAAATACATCTGACTATAGTAATGAAGGCTTAATTGACATGATTTAATAATAAAATCTTGTGTTTGTATTACAAGTTGAACTGTTAAATTCTTACCATGCATAACATTTTTTGTCTTGAGGTATATTTTTGTCTGAAATTTTACTTCAACTTCAATTGTCATTGGATATTCTTGTGCTTTTGTGTTGGTCCACATTTGATGTATTCTTAAAATAGCATAAGCCCTATGGTTTTTCCTCTAAGTATTAGAAGCATAAACTATATACTATTTAACAATATATAAAAAAAAGAGCTCATCAACCTATCATGACTTAGCTAGTAAAGTAAATATCTCATGATATGGATTGTTATTTCTAGCAGAATTTCTCTATAAAAACACTTTTTTGTGGGTGGAGGGGCAGGATTTTGGTACAGTAATTTTATTTACTTTATTTTAAAGAGATTTTCCAAAACTATGTTTGACTTACTTTTCCAAAAGCTAGGTAAACAGTTACTTTAAAAGGTCTATACATTGATGGCATAAATGTATTGTATTCAGCATTATAAGTGTAGCATAATTTGAGGGTCCAGTTTTCCCTAGAACCATTGAATCATTCACCTTTGCATAAAAAAAGGGAGAACAACATTATGACTAATTGATTGATGGTATATTCAAGAGTCAAGACTCAGCATCTTTCTCCATTTTCCTTTGTTCTGTGTGCAGAATGCTTGGTCAGGAGGATTTATTGCAGGAACCACCATTGGTGGATTAGCTCTTGGATCTTGTTTAGGTTTAAAGTAAAGGCAGATTTGCAAAGTTGCATGCTTTTGTGTAGGCAACTTGACTTTTCTTTTTTGGTGTCAACGAGGTCAAGTAATTTAGCTCATTCTTTTTTTATGCACTTTTCCTTTTTTAGCATAAGGCTAGTTTAGTGGAGGAGATTTGATACGAAAAGTTCTGGTAAGCTGGGATGCTTGTAGCAAAAAAAATACTTTCAACCATCTTAATCATATCTAATAATAGAAAGGAGAAAACACCAATGTAGCATGCCCTTAATGTGCTGTTCTTTGACGTTAAAACATATGTATTAAAATAGTGAAATTACAATTTGGGATTGTATAGTGGTAAAACATTTTTATAAAATAAAAAGTGCGCATAGTTTATGTTTGATGTAACAAAAATGGTTTGGTTTGTGTTGACCCACACTTATCCCCACCTCTCAAAGTCGACACAAAAAGGAACTAGACATGTGTCATATTGGCTCAACACACGAGGGATTAGATATGTCCACTTGGAAAAAAAAAAATTCCACATTTATTTTAAAAACTTCTTTGGATTAGCATTACAAGTAAATTTTAGATTTGAGTAAAAATTTATTTAAAGATTTCTTTTTTTTAATTCTAATAAGATATTGTTCGAGTGAATATGATTAGAATATATTATATTAGGTTGTATTCACTCATAATTAGATTAAGTTAGGCTCAATCAAGTTAAAACAGGAAGAATTTGATATCATTAGAATAATAATACAAAAAAGATTTAATCAAGTTAATGAAATTTCAAGTGGATTTGATTTATTATGATATAATTAAAGTTAATCAAATTTCGATCAGATTTGATTTATTACGATGAAATTAAAATAACGTATGAGTAAACAAAATTTAACGTATTTAAGTTGTATTATATTATTGTTATTCTTATTAGGTTTTTCAAGTTTATTTAATCCACTCTTAAAAAAAAATTAACAAAATATATGCATTTTAAAATGGTAAGAAAATAAAAAATAAATAAAAATTGATCGAAAGTAATAAAAACTTATAAACGGAGAGATAAAGATGTCACTTGTGGGACCTCTGGTACCAGACAAATTCAAGAGCATTCTCCAATATTATAACTATATATTATTTTCGTCATGTGTATCAAAATTTATAAATGAATGACAATAAAATAATAATAAAATTATATAAAAAGCGCATTTCAAATAATTTTGGATCGTTACCAAAAATTTGAAAACATGGCATATGAAACTAAAGATGATGAAATTGTGTATAAATTAAATTATCTAAATAAAAGTTATTAAATAGTGTAATAGTTAATGTAAATTACATAAATGTCAATTAATCTTTCTATGATTTTGATCAAACGTTTGGTTTATTATATATTCATGTTAAAAATAGTTTCTTAAATTGTTGGAAGAAGTCCGAGTCTAGGATTGTGACTTAGAAAGCAGCTTTAAGAAAAAACGTAAAAGCTGGGTTCACTTTGATGCTTTGGAATCAGAAAATCCCAAAATCCAATTCAACTTGCTTTTGCAAACATCCATCGCCAAGTCCATTTCCTGGAAAAGGTTTGCCACCCTCCTTTCCATTGCATATTCCAGCATCCAAAATTTGTTTCTGGATTTTTCAAATTAATGACATTTATTATAATAAAAATATTTTCTATATTAACATAGTAATAATCTACAATTAGTTATTAATATCTTTATTTAAACGTAATTTTAATAAATTAATTCTATTTACTAATTTTTTTAATCAGTCTTCGTAAAACATTCCTTGTCTAAAGGAACTTAATTCGCTACAGTTAACCGAACGTGCCAGTGATACAGTGCTTAAAACATTCTTTTTAACAGTTTTTTTTCTCTCTCCGTTTCTCTTTGTGCTTCCTTTTCAGGCTCAGTTTTCCTCTGTCTGAGCGAGTTTTCATTCACTTCATTCATTCGTATTCATACATTTTCTGAGTCGCGCTCTTATCTAACACTCAAAGCAGTTTCCGCCATTTTCCTCGGTTCTCAGGTGAGCATTTTCTCTCGCGGAATGCGCGGGGATTCCGTTACGACGACACCGTTTCGTTGACCATCTATCGCCATTGGTTCCGAAGACGCAACCGAGGCTGAACCGATCGCGAAGATGGCAGTGGAGCTCGCGGAGAAGGTCAAGATCGGCGTCTGCGTGATGGAAAAGAAGGTGAAATGTCACTCCGAGGTTCTCTCTTTCATTACACTAGATAAATCGAGTTTCTCCGACTTTTTCTTTCTGTTTTCTTTTGTGCTTTGGTGATTTGGTACTTCGATGGAGAAGTTTCGGATTTCGCGGTGAGTTTGAACTTGGAAGAATGCTCGCGTGTTCTGTGCCTCTGTTTTTCTGTCCTCATTGCTGGGTTGGATTTTGCAGGTCTTCTCCGCGCCTATGGGACAGATTTTTGATAGGCTACAGGCGTTTGGTGAATTCGAGGTAAGTGAATGCGTTCACGATTGCAATGTTTTTTTTTTTTTTGTGTGTGTATTAAATGTGGACTTTGGCTTGTTCTTAAATCAACTGAATTGATTGACTGAGTCAACTGGCTCGTTCGCATTTTTGGCTTGTTCTTCATAACATAACAGAGTTTGAATATTTTTTTAATGCTAATAAAAAGCATATGAATGAATAACGGTATTTCTTTTCACGATTTTACATTTTCAACCAATAAAAAGTTACAGTTGATATTGACATGACTTTTACTATTATGAAAATTTCACAAATTTATTAAGATGTTGATGATTGGATGACAGTACTTATACTGCATACTCGAAATTTATAATATATTTTTATGAGTTTAATATTTATGCATGGTTAGTGTAAAATATTAAGTATTATGGATCAATATATAATCCTTAACTTTTAACGAAATCATAGTAAAAGTCAACAAACTTATCTGAACTGCTAGTTTGTGACTAGACGATGTTATATTGTCAAAGCTCAGTGCAATACTGCATAGACTATTTATCCTGTTTCTATTATATATATTATTTTTGTTTATTAAAGAAACGGCTGACATGGTAGTTGTGTTTTTCCATTTTTTTTTTCCAATGTGCTTTCTGTTTTTTTTTTCTTAGTTGATATTTTGTATTGTTTGTAGGTCATACATTTTGGGGACAAGGTGATTCTTGAAGATCCAATAGAGAGGTATTATAGTCTTATTCGTATAGCTGAAAACTAGTTTGAACTCTAAATTTTGGTGAGCAATATTTGTCCTGTTTGAGAAAAAAAAGTCCCACGTATATATTCAACCGACTGCTTTTATTATAATGCATTCAACCTAGGAAATAAGGATGTAACAGTTGTGCGGACAGAAAGTCGGAATGAAAGCAAGGTGAAACTTTTGTAATTATGAGGGTATCAATGAAAACCAAAAAGGAAATAAACTAAATATTTCCTTAGTTTTAGTTTTCATGAGCAAATGACGGAATATTTTTAGCATGTGGAAAGTTTCATTCACATGTATCGGTAAAGCATTTCTTGCAACGTGTTGTATGTTTGTGATAACATGATGACGTGGCAGCATTAATTGTATTTGCACTTGAAACATTTAAGTTATAGCTGAACTGTTTTATTTTCGTTGACCTTTTGGACATGCTGTTTCAGTAATTTTTAAATATTGTGTTATTTCAGCTGGCCAATATGTGATTGTTTGATTGCTTTCTATTCCTCGGGATATCCCCTTGATAAGGCAGAGGCATATGCTGCTTTAAGGAAGTAAGTTTGTTTATTAACCAACTTCATTTGATTTGAATGTTTTACATATTTGTTACTCATCAGCCTGTATAATCTAGTGTAAGATCGTCAAAAGTTGGGTTATGAAACATCCAAATGTTCTAGAATTACATATAGGCCCATGAACAGTTACAGCCATAATGGTCAAATTCTTGTCTAAATATAATATGGCAATTAATATGTGCTAGCTTATTGACAATCATCTTCTAAAAAAAGAAATCTTAATTTTCTGGTGTATTTAGTTTATATGATCTTTATATTACTGTTACTTGAAGGAACTCTGTATGCTAGTGTTGCACTATTTTGTAGCCTGTAAGAGGCTTTTTAGTCTAGTGGAACTGTAAGGCCTTTGTGCTGGTCGTTCCACGTGATGTGTTGAAAATTAGGCAGCACCACTAACCATGAAATTCTCAGCTAAGTTTGGTATGAGTGTAAAATGTCTTATTCCAGACTTTGCATGCAGAAGAAGACATGTGAAGTATACCATTGTAAGAATCTCGGCATTCTTCTGTGTAAAATTTTATTAGTTTGAGAGAGAAACCAGGAGAATGTATTGTAATTAGAGAACTACTTACACACTTTATTATCGGTTGAAATTGATTAGAACTTACAAATTTGGAAGATCCCACTCATTAAATGAATTTCTCTTGATTTTTTTAGTTTTCAATAAATTTCAACCAATTGTAGAGTGTGTTAGAGACAGCATTGGAAGAATGATGAAAGAACAAAGATGATGAGTTACTGACTAACAACCCTACTTAGTCAAGACTGAGTTTATTATAACTGTATGACAATGACAACTGTAACTAACTATGCTAAACTACAATGGTCAGCTATACAATATCCAGGGAGATACTCAAGAAGAGTATTCTTTTGCAACTTTTTGGTTGTTTCTTAATCTTAAGAATAATTGAAACTGATTGTCGCTGGAGTTAGATCTAAGTTTAGGAAGATTTGAAATCTCCACAGGGTAATATTGAGCCACGATTGGTTTGACTTGCACCTCTTTTTCATGTGGGAGGTTCCTACAATTTTGAATCTAATATCATGAAATGGTTTTCTTTTCCTGGAGAAGCATATGATAGAGAATTCAATTAACTGCACTGAATCATTCTTGTTTAATTAGTGTAACTGTAGAATCTGTGGGCTATTGCTCATATTTGCAGCATATATTACCTGTTGCAATGGTTTCTGATTTTCAGTCACGTAACATGTGCATTCATGCAATGATTCCTTAAAATTGATAAACGTAGACATTCAAGAAAAGGAGAACAAGAGTGAGAAAGCTATAGAAAACAGAGAGAGAAATCTGAACTAGTATTCTGTAATTAAAACCTTATCTCTGAAATCTGAACTGAGAAGAATTACAGTATATAAATTTGACTGACAAGAGCTAACTGCATTAAGTTAGATTGTTAGGGTAAATTTGCAAAGTATGAAGCATGAGTCTTACATAGGAAGTGTCGGATTCTTGTGTGGGGTTTGTAAGGCTTTGAATTTGTTGAATATAGAGGAAATATGGTTTGAGATTAATCTCCCTTGTGTATAAACCACACATAGGGTAATCTATAATAGAGAGGTACAACTAAAAGAGTAACTGAAAGTAAACAGAATAAACAGAAGATATTGTTTGATATTGTGGTTAACAATATCTAACAATATCAAACAATATCTAACACTCCCCCTCGAACTGGAGCATACAAATCGTATGTGCCAAGCTTGTTACAAATATAATCAATTCTATGCTCCCGTAAAGACTTAGTAAAAATATCTACTAACTGATCACTTGAGTTAACAAACTCTTTTCTCGAATGAAATGACAATCAATCTCAATGTGTTTGGTCCTCTCATGAAAGACAGGATTAGAGCTATGAAAAACAGTCTGATTGTCACACACAAGTGTCATTTGAGTGATATATCCAAATTGTAACTCTCTAAGCAATTGCTTGAGCCAAACAAGTTCACAGGCAGCTGATACCATAACTCTATATTATGCTTCTGTACTGAATCTTGCCACAACACTCTGTTTCTTACTTTTCCACGAGATCAAGTTACCACCAATGGAGACACAATATCCAGATGTAGATCTTCTATCCGAAAGAGATCCTGCCCAATCAGCATTTGAGTAGCAAATAACTCTTGTATGGTTATTAGAACCATATAACAATCCTTTTCCAGGAAATATACTTCAAGATACGAATGACTGCATTCCAATGATCTTCACATGGGGAATTAAGCAATTGACTTACTAGGAAATGTCAGGACGAGTAACTGTAAGATAATTTAATTTTCCAACCAATCTTCTATACTGCTCAGGATTAGATATAGGCTCCCCCTGATTTGGTAGTAGTTTAGTATTGGGATCCATGGGTGTATCAATAGACTTTGAACTCATCAACCCAGTTTCCTCCAAAATATCCTCTAAGATATAACAATACCATCATTGGACTGTGCCACCTCAATACCTAAGAAATATCTAAGTTTGTCAAGATCTTTGGTCTGAAAATGGTGACAAATATGTTGTTTCAATTGAGAGATGCCATGGTTGTCATTACCTGTAAGAACGATGTCATCAACATAAACTATAAAGTAAACACATCCAGCACTCGAGTGTCGATAAAAGATAGAATGATCTGCTTCACATCGAGTCATACCAAATTATTGAAGAACCTCGCTAAACTTTTCAAACCAGGTCCTAGGAGACTGCTTTAGGCCATATAGAAATTTGCGAATATGACATACCATCCCAGAAGACTCCCCCTGAGCAACAAACCCAGGAGGTTGCTCCATATAGATTTCTTCTTGCAAATCACCATTAAGGAAAACATTTTTAACATCCAGTTGATAAAGACACCATTGTTGAAGAGCAGCCATGACGATAAATAAACGAACAGAAGCCATCTTTACCACCGGGGAAAAGGTATCTCCATAATCCAACCCAAAAATTTGAGTATAACCTTGGGCCACAAGACGAGCTTTGATGCGATCAATAGTACCATCATATCCAACTTTGATAACAAACACCCACTTGCAACCAACAACAGATTTCCCAGACGGTAACGGGATCTATTACAAGTTCCACTATTATGAAGAACACTTAGTTCATCTGTCATGGCCTGACGCCAACCAGGATGGACTAAAGCTTCACGGACAATTTTTGGAATGATCACAGAAGAAATAGAGGAAAGACATGTATAAAAAGGTAATGACAATCGATGATAACTCAAAGCAATATAATGGGGAGAGGGATTACGGTAGAATGGATACCTTTCGGAGGGTAATGAGAATGTCAGACTCAGGTGTCAGATCCGGAGGAGACAGAGTAGTTGGCACTTGAGTGGAGTCACATGGTGGTGGTTGTGATTGGTTTCGGTGACTATAAATCTGAAGAGGCGGTGAAGAAAAAACTGACTACGGAGCAAAAACTAATGGTGAAGAAGACACAGTTAGAGGATCATAAACAACAGGAACATTAAATGTACTAGGAGTGTTGATAAGATTGGATGGAGATAAAGGTAAAGATTGACTTTTAAAATAAAGAGAGAACTCATCAAAGGTGACATCTGCAGACACAATAACGGTTAAGAGAAGAGGAAAAGCATTTGTATCCTTTTTGTGATCTTGTAAACCCTAAGAAAACACATTTATGTGATCTAGGAGAAAGCTTGTCAAGACCAGGACTTAAATTATGAATAAAACATGTAGATCCGAAAACTCTTAGAGGTAAGGGATAAAGAGGTTCATGAGGGAATAAAATGGAATGAGGTATTTTATTATCTAAAATCGAAGAAGACATGCAATTAACGAGATAACATGCAGTAAGAAGAGCATCACCCCAAAAATATTAAGGAACCTCTCCATGAATTAAAAAAGCGCGAGTTGTTTCAATAAGATGTTTATTTTACGTTCAGCTACACCATTTTGTTGGGGTGTATAAGCATAAGAAGTTTGATGCAAAATACCGTGAGAAGTCATGAATTGTTTAAAACAATGAGAAAGATATTCACGACCATTATCACTGCGTAAAACTCTAATAGAAACACCGAACTGAGTTTGAATTTCATTAAAAAAAGTTTGAAAGATATGAAATAATTCAGAACGATTTTTCATCAAAAATAACCAAGTGCATCTGGAATAATCATCAATGAAAGTAACAAAGTATAGAAAACCTAAAGTAGACTTAACGCAGCTAGGTCCCCAAATGTTAGAGTGAACCACGACAAAAGGGGACGAAACTCCACTGTGACATTATGAGGAAAGAAAGTATAACTATGTTTGCCTAATTGACACGACTCACGCCAAACTAGACAAGTTGGCCAAGGCAGGGACAAACTTTTGTAACTTGGCAAGACTTGGATGACCTAACTGAGCATGAAGAAGAGAGGGAGACTCCATAACTGCACCAACATGTATGGAGGGACGGAGATGATAAAGACCATGAGACTCACATCCTGTGCCAATCACCTGTTTCGAACTCCGGTCTTGTAAACACACAGAATTGTTGGTAAAAGAAACAACACAATCAAGAGAACGAGTTAGACGACTGATGGACAAAAGGTTAAAAGGAGACCCAGGGACATAAAGAACATTATCAATGGTTAAAGAAAGAAAAATTTTAACCGTTCAAACACTATGAGATGATACGCTAGAGCCATCAGTCAGTGTAACAAAAGGTAAATGATTGGGAGAGGATAAAGAGGTGAACAAATATTTGTTACCAGTAATATGATCAGTGGCTTCTGAATAAAAAATCCAAGGACCAAGAGAAGAGGATTGGGTCACACCAGCAAAATATGTACCTGTGTGTGCGACAGACGTAGTGAAATTAGAAGACTGTTGATCCTTATACCATTTAAGGAATTCATTGAACATAGTAGGTGTGTCAGATGCAACAGAAGAAGAAGGATCCCCAACAGATAAAAGTAGGGAAAGATCGGTCTGAACAACTAATGCAGATCGAGGAGGACGACCATGTAATGCATAACACTTGTTAATCTTGTGACCTAGCTTGCCACAATGTTCACATTTAGGACGTCATTTTCCCCATTTGCAAGGGCGAGTCCGGTCATCACGGTGAGATGCCAATGCAGAAGAATCATTAACAGAATTGGAAGTAGTAGAAGGAGTGGAAGAAGTCATGCAGGACGGGAGAACAAACCCTAAAAAATCCAAAGTAATCCAATCAACCCATGAAGCACAGATCCAAAACGAGAAGACCAAAACAAGTCCGTTTAGACTAAACGGTGCAGAAGATAACGGACGACCAACTCCGATAGTGGTGATCTCAATGACACGGTGGTCGCCTGACCAAGACGAACAAAACTGTATGTCGTCGGTAAAAAATGAAACTTTGACGGTGGCGGAGGCGGCGACAGTGACAACGACGTGAACCAGTACATTAAGTAAGTTCTCAGGAAAGAGAGGTGGGTCACTAATGGACACTTAAATACTAAGTCTTTCCTTGTCAGAACCTTCCTAGACATGCACTTTCACACTATCAAATAATATCCAGTAACAAAGATAACTCTAAGGCTCCGGAGCGTTGTAGAATGTTAGTATCCAAAAGGTATGCGATGTCAGTCTCACATTGGGAGTATGGGATTCTGGTGTAAGGTTTAGACTCTCCAACTACAACAATTAGCCTTTTATGGTGCGGTTCGTCCAAGGTTTCAATCATAGCGTAAGTTTTATCCAATTTTAACTGAATTTAACGGTTGACAAAACTACTAATCAACCGAAAGATTATCTTCTCTAGTAATTATTATCTCCTTTTCTTAATATATTTCTTTTTTTTGTTACATTTTTACTTTGAATGTGCTGCAATGTTTGTTTTATCTTTGTTGTATAGCTTCATTAAATTGTTTTTATGTACCCAACTTTAGGATTTGGGTAGAGGCTAAACCCTTTTCTTTTGTTATGTGTCTTTTGTCACCAAGCTTGGTTTGATATGCAAACTAGAACGAAGGCAAAAAGATTATTTAGTGTTTTAATGTCATACTTCCCCTCCGACATGTGATTATCTAATGCTCTTGTTGATAATATAGTTATTATATGATATGAATGTCCCCATCATTATTGGAAATGATACCTCTAGGATTTCTAAACTAAAAGAGCACTTACTCCACCAATTTTAGAAAAAAAACCTTGGCTATATGAAATACTTTCTTGGTATTGAAGTGATTTAGTCAAAGGAAGGGGTTATAATTTCACAAATATAATATGCTCTTGATATTCTGGAGGAGATAGGTTTGGAAAATTGCTAGCTCATTGATAGTCCTATGGACCCAATTCAGAAGGTAATGGTACCAAGGTATAACATTTTTCAGATCTAGAGAGATATAGGGGGCTAGTGGGAAAGCTCATTTCTCTCACTATTGCAAGGCCTAATATTTTTTATGTAGTTGGAGTTATTAGCGAATTCATGCATAATCCTCATATTGACCACTGAAGTGTTGTGATTTGCATTCTTAGATATGTCCAAAAGGATCCAAGACATGGAGTTTTGTATGAGGATAAGGAAATACTCTAATCTTAGGGTATTGTGATGGACTTTGGGTTAACTGTCCCATTGATAAGAGATCCACCACAAGATAGAGTATATTCATTGGAGGGAATATTATCTCTTAGAAGAGTAGAAAACAAAGCGATGTTGTGTTGTCTAAGATGTTGAATATGGATATATGGCTTTGGTCGCTTGTGAACTTGCGGATTAAAGAACACCTTCAAGACTTGAAATTTTGTTTAAACAAATGAAGTTGTACTCTGATAATTAGGCAACCCTTTATATTGCTTGTAATTAAGTGTTTCATGAGAGAACCAAATATGATTGTCATTTTGTCATGGAGAAGCTATTGTCCAAGGATCTTAGTACTGAATTTATCATTTTTAATGATCAACTTGCAGATATTTTAACCAATATTTTAAGAGGACTTAAAATTCAATTTATGTGTTCCAACTTGAAGAGGAGTGTTAAAATATTTGTTTTATCTTTTGTTGTACATCTTATAGAGCTGTTTCTGGATGTAATTAGCTATAGAGTTAGGGTTAGAGGCTGAATCCTTTTCTTTTCTCACCTTTCTAATATATATATATATATATATATATATATATATATATCAGCTGAGGATTACTCACTGATTTTAGCCATTATTTAAATTCAAGTGAATGTTTGGATGAGAAAGTTTGCTGGTCTAATAACGGCTCATGCACTGCGATGCAGGCCTTTTGTAGTAAATGAACTGGAGCCCCAACACCTTCTTCATGACCGAAGCAAAGTATATGAGGTACATGGATGGAATCAATCTCTTTCTCTCTCTTTTTTTTTTTTTTTTTTTTTTTTTTTTCTGTTAGCTTTTGCTCTAAATTCTTTGTAATGTTCATGTATGATCAAACCTTGTTCTTGTGGCTTGGAATGCCTTGCAAATGTGCTATCTGATTGAATGCTGATCACTCTGCTCCCCATGCAGTATTGTCTTTTCCTTCAGTGGTTTGGCTTGGTGTTCAAACTATGGCCTTAACCTTTTGTCTTTGTTTTTTTAACGTCTGATCTTTATATGTAGATTGTTAGCATGAAGCCAAGCCAAACCAAGGACTGAACTCTGAACACTGAGTTTGTGTTAATTCGAGTGTTGCTAAGGAAGGAAATAGGGCAAAAGAAAAAAAAAAAAATTCACTCATTAAAGTTATATTGATTTTGCTGTCCCCTCTTCCACTGGGACAATCATTTAAACTTAGTGAAGATAATATTTGTGTTTATTCTTGTTAGTTATGAATATATGACTAATTACAGTCAAAATGCTTTATGCTATTTCTTGTATGATATATATAATTTGTTTTTAATAATGTTCAATTTTGGGCTTCAAGCGTCTTGAAATGTTTGGAATACCTGTTCCAAGATATGCCCTTGTAATTAGGGAAGTCCCATACCAGCAACTGGATTACTTTACTGAGGAAGAAGATTTTGTTGAGGTTCGTGGCAAGCGGTTTTTTAAGCCATTTGTGGAGAAGCCTGTTGATGGTAAGCTTGTTTCTTGTGTGGGTGAAATTTACTTTGCTTCCGTTTCTTTTATTTGTTATTTTTTTTTCTTACAAAGTTACATATGAATGATATGTACGTTGTATTGCCTCGTTTTATCATGAGTTTGGGGCTTGTTTATTTTGTTCCTTTTTTTGCCTACGAAGCCCTGATATATGTAGTGTAAATTGGCTTGTTTTATCATGATAATGATTTTGGGGTTTTTTCTTGTTGTCCCTTCTTTTATTAGGAACACTGATATATGTAATGTACATTGGCTTGTTTTATAAAGAGAAAGATTTTAAGGGGCGTTATTTTTGTCTCATTTTCTTTTACTAGGCAGCACAAGTGTTGATTCATAATATATGGAGTGGGATCAGTGTTCTCTGCGATTGAATTTTCAACTGCATGAATCCCAATCATTAACAATAAATTTTACCCCATTGATTCAAAACTACATGACCGAGCTTTTTTTGGGACTATAAGTGATCCTATCCTGTGCAGTACAAGCACAAAAAGTACTCAGAAAATAAAAAAAATTCGATATTACTACACAACTTAATTTGGACATTTACACAGATGAAAAATCAAGTAACATGCTTTAAATAAGTGATATTCAACATTTTAAGCGGAAACAATAGGGAGTAGTATTCACTCACACTATAAAGCACTGACATGTTAATTTGCTTCATGTATCCATATCCGATACGTATCGTGTCGGATATTTCACTGATACTTTACTGATACATATCAATGATGTATCCAAACCTATGAAGCATCAATATTTTTATTTGTTTTATAAATAATAATTTTAGATAGTTGACCGATGTGTATATTAGTTAAATATCAAACTTATATTCAATAAAAGTTTAAGAAACATATATCTATCTATAAAATAGAAACATATAAATATTATTTTTCATAAACCAAAGAAAAAAATTGTTCTTATGAAGTATTTTAAGAAATGAACGAGAATGATAGTCTTATTTCTATATGTAAATAACAAAAAATATTTTATAATAATAATTATTTATATTTTTTATTTCCACAAAATCTAAGAAATGTGATTTGAAATTTAGATATGCATGCATATTGTAGTTTTATAGTTATTATGTTTCATGAATTTTTTTACACTTTTAAATACGTATACGTATCTTTTAAATACGTATCTTATATGTAAAATATGTATCATCGTCATATCTGATACTCGTATAGTATCTATGCATCATAGCTCACACACTATGGCTTACAAGTTGTGTGAAATGTAAATAGTTGATCATCATTGTGTTTTTAATATGCAAGATGTTCAAAAGGGATTACATCTTCAAATAACAACTAAACTTCTGAAATTGGTTATTGTATCTGTATGTTACTCCTTTCATGAAATGATGGAACTCAACTACTGTCGTCATTGAATATTTGATAGAAGTAATAGAATACATATGATAATAATGTGTATAAACCCTATTGCATTTATGATATGCCAAACTTGCAGAGCTCATGAGCCCTATGCAGCTGTTCCTTTTCAGAGACATGGGCTGGTCTTACAAGGCTCATGGAAAATATGTAACTTTTGATGCAATTTGTTACATTGCATTCATAATATTTTGAATTTATTAAATAATGATCCAGACTGTCAGTGTTTATAAAGTAGGAAGCTTCTTATTTGGTGGAATGTTTGTTCTCAAATCTGAACTATAAACGGATGATTTCTATAATTTATTCGTAATTCTGTCTTTTTTTGGGTTAGCCCAACGACAAACACTTTTGTTGTTGGTAAAATGAAAATTTCATATTTCTTTTCCTTGTTCTCTTACTTATTTATTTGTCATGACTTTGGGACTGGACATAAGGTGATGTACACTGAGAATCTTAGATCCATACTTGAATACTATCTGTGTGTTTACTTATTAAAGTACTATCAATTTTGTGGCTTTTGCCATTGCAAGTCATCTAACATGATTTTCTTGTTGTATTAGATACTAAATGAATGGAAATTATAATCTCCTAAATGGCTTAATTACAGTCGTTATTGAATTATACACAAACATAGTCACGATTGGAGATATATTTCTCAAATGTGATAATAACTGTTATTTTTGTGCTTTTTGAAGCTGATAACCACGGTATAATGATATATTATCCCAGTTCAGCAGGTGGAGGTATGAAGGAATTATTTAGGAAGGTGAGCTTTAGGCACTCTCCATAGGTAGGTGGGTCATGGGTGTAATATTCTATTATTAACATGATATGATCTATAGAAGACATTCTTTTACCAGTAGACTGGTTCAAATTGTGACAACTGTTTTGATTTGTTTATCAGTCTAACTATAACCCAGGACTGAGGTTTTACTAGTTCTCATCTTAATGAACATCAACCTATTCTGTCATTTATTTTTAAATGGAAGATTAAATTGGTTGGGATGTGGATATGCTATCTCCAACAATTATATTGCAATACAATCTTTAGAAAACTTATATGATTAGTTGTAAATATAAATCTATAAAACTTTTTATGCCTTCGTACAACTTGAGCTTTGACATCGTTTGTTTTTCAATAACATGCTTTTATGATAATTTCTTGTGCTTCCTTTCACTTTTCTATAAGTTATATTACTGATAGTCTGATGTATAACATTATCTTAGGTTGGAAATAGGTCCAGTGAGTTTCACCCAGACGTGAGAAGAGTAAGGCGTGAAGGATCCTATATTTATGAGGAATTTATGCCAACTGGAGGGACAGATGTTAAGGTTTGGCAATTTCGAGATTGATTTTGCTTTCCATTTTTTTTCTCTTAAATGTATTTCAAATGTTTCTCCACATCTTTTAGCATATGACAATGGTCTCTTAGAATTTTGATAAATGACTGTAGGTGTATACAGTAGGTCCTGAATATGCTCATGCTGAGGCAAGGAAGTCACCTGTTGTTGATGGTGTTGTTATGAGAAATCCTGATGGGAAGGAAGTAAGTAGAGTTCATCTCTAATCTCAGATATTCTGTCTCTTTTTTCATGATATACATTTTTCCTATCCTTGCCTATCCATTTAGCATTACAAGATAGTCATTTTGTAGTCAATTCTGAGGAAAAACTTACTCCTACGTCGGTTTCATCATGTTATTTTCTGTCAATCCCTTGGTTTCCAGTTACGCAGCTTGAAAGTATTATATGTGTGGTGTATTTGTTTGGGTTTCATCTTGTTGGGATACATTTTGGCTAATGTAAGGACAATAATCCATTTTGGTTGGCCAATTATTATGCTTAGAATTTTTTTCATACATTAAGTCAATGAAACCATGCTTGTATTTCTGTTTACGATTACCAATAGAATGCTTTAATAATAGCATTAGGCCAAAATATGTTTATAGTTCTTCAACTTTTAGCTAAGTTTTTTTTCTTTTTCTTTTTTCAAATTGATATTTATCTCTTTAGTCCTTGTAATTTGTGAATAAAATTAATTTGTTCCCTCTGTCTAGGGCTATCAAATGAATTGGGTCTAGGGGGTCAAACTGAGTCAATCTGGCTCACATAGGTTGGCTGATCACGGTTGAGCTGAAAATAAGCAATTTCAACTCGAACCGCCAGTCAATAATTTTATAATTCGGCTTAACCCACTACAAATTGGTGGGTTAGATGGGTTGACTTACTAATCCATTACAAACGCAACAAATACAGTAAATGTGGTGGATGTAGCATATGCATGATTGTAGTGGACATTGCGGAGGTGGTGGATGCAATGGAGGCTAGAGACGCAATAAAGGTGGTGGATGCAAGGGAAGCGAGAAACGTAGCGGAGGCAAGCAAACACAGGCGGATGTGGTAGACATGGTGGTGGACGCAAGGGATGCAACGGATTAGGCGAACATAGTGAACGACGAGCGGGGTAGGTACAATAATCTTGAGTGAATGTGAGTTTGATGGCTTGTAGCGGTGCGAACACTGGATAATGTAAATGAATGGAAGTAGATTTTTATTAAATTATTAATTATTTTTAAAATTTAAAATGTGTTGTGTGTTGTGGGTCAATCCATCCTAACCCGGCTCGAGCCCCTTTACTTTTACTCTTAAATGTTTTTATGAGTAAATAGCCCATGCACTAAACTGGAAAGGTTTTTTACAGTTTTATCTTATCACATCGCAGTGCATGGTAAATCTGCTAACTTTTACAGTATCTATTTCGAAAGTCGTATTTTTCATGATTCTAATTGGTTAACATTGTAAAACTTTACTAATAGCACATAGAAAGTAAATTACATTATCATTATTAGTGCTTAATGGTGATGCACTGATAATGTGAAACTGATTTACACTGTCATTCAATCACAAAAACAGTGTCTTTTAAAAAAATTATCATTGTTACTGTTAAAAAGCTTACCATACATGATGGTTTGTGATTAAATGATAAGGTAAAACTATTTTACACTATTGGTGCATTGACTTTTTTCCTCTTATTATTTGTATAAAAGATGGAATTTCATTAATAGAAAGAAAAGATTATTACTTAGAATTAAGAGGACAAGAGATCCTTGTTAAAAGAAAAATATACAGAGAATAAAGAAACATCGATGAAGGAAAGCTTTCCAATCTAGTTCAATATTGCCATTTGGTTCATTCTTTACGGTATAACACAACCAACAATAATCTTCACATGAGGTAATGGGACTAGCTAACAGGTGGCACTAGTTCGGTAAAGCGGTCATTTTCATCTAATATTGCCTGTCTCTGACGAGAATTAGTCATGGCTTCAGCTATACCCTTAAGCATAAATAGAAAATATGGAGAGGAAATAACAGAAATATGAAGGAGATAGTTGATCATAATGAGGAATACATACGTATAAAGGACTAGGATTTTCTGTGGACCAAGACCTTTATGTAGGACAATGAGGAGCTCATGTGTAGGAGACATTGTTGTTGTTGTTGTTGGTGGGCTAGAACAGAAGACGGTGCTGGGGTTAGCAACTGCATTGGTTTGTGGTAGTGCAGAATGGGAAGTTGGAAAGTTATTATGTGAGTCAAAGTTGTGTGACATGTGATCTGAGAAGAATGTTAGATTGTTTCTCTTCAATCTTGGTTAGAGCACACTAGGATTTATGTATATTTGTGAGTGTTAATTACAGACATAGTTACATGAGTATTGCTTCTCTTTCATAGTACTAATTGACCAAAATATTTTAGAGTGGAATGCAAAGATTTTGATTTCTACTTTGTTTTGCATGGTGAAGGATAACAAATAACTTTGAACTAACTTTTATGATATAAGAATGGACAAACATTAGAGTACTAAGGTGTTGCATAAGTGAGTTGCAATCTTAATTGTTGAACATTTGCATCTGTACCAAGAAAGTGTGATCATGTACTTTCTATTCTAAATTATCTACTTCCTCAAACAAGCACAACCAAACCTTGTGTTTAGATAAGGACTTTTACAATTTCCAATAAATTCAAATACACTGAATTTGAATTGGTCATTTCAAATTGTTTGATTTTTCATTTTTTTTTTGTTAGGATAAAAAGATTCCAATTGATTGAATTTTAATTTTCTTGTTTGGATAGAGTTTGTCAATTTACCCAATACAAAAATATCAAATATAAAGACCATCACTAGACCCATCAATTTAACCCAATTCACACGACTTGACCTTCACCCACATGGACTAGGCTAGACCAAGGTGGGTCATGAAAGGTTGGGATGAGTCGGTCATGTCAGTTCAGATCAAACCTAACGAGGTTGGTGGGTGGAGCTAGGCTAGGGTGGGTGGAGCTAGACTATGTTGTTCAGGGCAGGTTGGGTCAGGCCGTGTTGGGCTTAGTCGGACCAAGTCGGGCTTATTTGAGTTGATCGTGGCTTATTTGGTCCAAGCCGGATTCAATTGGGTTAGGCCAATGGCGTCTTAGCCTCGATTGAGTTGACGACATGTTGAGCGAATCCAAGCCAAAAATATCCTGTTTGAGATTGAGTCCAAGAAAGAATATAAAGAGAAAGACATAAATTTGAAAAAGGAGAAAGTATGGAGAATTTCATACTCTTGCTTTTTTGGTGGAATTTAGAATTATTTACTCCTAATTAATCAAATTATCATCATAAATCCCTTGAACTTATATTTCTTTTGTAATCCCTATCCAAACAACATATTTCGTTATAAAGTATTTCAAAAGTTCTCTATAAAATGATTTTACCTTTTCAAATTTCCAATTCAAATACATGGTAATCCTTCAACTATTTTAAAAAATTTACCATACATTGTCTACTTCTTTGGTCTTTTGAGTCATTCTGGTTGCCTAAATTGGTTTTTCTTTTTTGCTGGTAATTGTTAAAGTATGTTTGCTCACTAATAGTGCAAACATCTCATGGTTGTCATAATTGAGAAGGAACTAACATGTACCATTACAAAGCAGGTCAGAATTTCTTTCTTGCTTAACTTTCGTGTTGAAGCATTTTTATCAATCATTTCATTTGGCAGGTTAGGTATCCAGTGTTACTGTCTCCTGCTGAGAAGGAAATGGCAAGAGAAGTTTGCATTGCATTCAGTCAAGCGGTATGTTGTATTAATGGCTCCTTATTTGTAAAGCTAGATTTATTTGTGTACAGTGTCTGAACTGATCAGTAATCCTATTGTCGTGTTGAATTGTAGTATTTTTAAAACCGTTATTGAATCATGTCAATCACCATATTTCTCTGTCTCTTTTGTTCTTTTATTTTGTAGCTTCTTTGCCTGTGTGTTAAGTTTGATTTATAGAAATTATGTTCTAAGTCCTTTTGCTGAGAGTTAATCCTCTTGACAAGTTCTATCATCGAATACCTCACTGTTTTGGGGAATTAACCTCTTGAAGTAAATTCTATTTCTTCGCTTTATCTAACTTCCTAAGTTATGCAGCTGTAAATCTGTGAGCTAATTGTTATGGTTGGTAAAATGTGGCCGAGCCAATGAAGTTTGCAAAATATTTTATGAATTTTACTTTAATGCGTGTGATTCTCTCTTTAGAATATTGATTAAATGAAATCTTTCTATGAATAAAGAAAATAATTTGTCCCATCCTCTCATGCCCTACTATAAATTTGTGTTGCTTGCAGGTTTGTGGGTTTGATCTCTTGAGAAGTGAGGGACGGTCATATGTTTGTGATGTGAATGGGTGGAGCTTTGTTAAAAATTCATACAAGTAAATTTTGTAATAATAATATATATATATATATATATATATATATATTATTTATTTTGATGAATGGTTTAAAATACTTGAATAGTTACTCACTTTCTTTATGTATATATTAACAGAAAATCATAGGACCAGTTCTTCCCAATTTAATATATATATATATATATATATGATTTGGAGATATTATATTATGCCCTTGTTAGGAATTGAGATTTTTCAATAAATTTTAAGACCATATTTGATATTTTCAGTGTTGCTTTATCTGGTTAGGTTGAAATTAGTGATAATTTTAATTTTATGCGAGAGTCGGTTGTCTGGTCTGTGGTTAGGTAGAATTTGATCCCTATTTTGTGAAGATTTACATCTCTTTTGTGTACCAATTATTTAGACAAATTTTCGTGGTCTATCTTTTTGTAATATGCTGCACTCATTAATGAACATGGCAACACTTTTCTCCCTTCTTCCTGTTAGTACCTACTGCACTCATTAATGAACATGATAACACTTTTTTGTGGTTTGCTTTCTGGTTTTATAGCTTCTTTTACCGTCTCTGGCTTTATAACAACCCTTCTATCCTTAGTAAATATTGGAAAGTAGAGATTCGAATACTGAAAAAATTATAAATATTTCACTAAGTGATTTGTGAGAAATTCTATTTTCGTAACCAATGTGAATAGGGTGTTGAATTTTGATCCCATCCAATAAACCCTCTTTTGGTAAAAGTAAAATTTTGCATAGTTTCCATTGGGACCTGATCTATGGAAAAGAATTTTGCAAATTAGAAATCTTATTTGTTTTAGGGAATCACTTCTCATTGTGAATAGTAGGCCAGATTTGTCCACCTTTTTAGAGTTCTATATTTATAACAAATAATAATTTTATCTAAAGGGTACATATTGTCAATTTATAGAAAATGAATAATTAAGGAAAGATTAATGAAATATTTCTATTCAAACGTTAAAGCATTATTGAACTTTCCCTCTTTTGAAAGGTGGTTTCAAGCTCTAGTTAAAGCTTTAGCATGCCTTGGCTTTAAAAGGCTAAAAATTTTGTCAGACCAAAGTTAAAAAATCCCAGAGAAGAGAGTATGAAGAGTAGTCTTAGGGGATAAAACTTTTATATTTGTCTCTTTGCCTCTTTTACACTCTGCTTACAAATCTCACAGACTCACATGCTTTATATTACCCCGTAATGATTACATATACAATGTAGATATTCTCTCTAACGTACATTTTTATTATGTAATTTTCTTATGTCATAGTCATTACTAAGTGATGAAATTAGTTCAAGTAAACAAAACTCCCCTTTTCAATATGTACTCTTGCACAGATTAGAAATTTGGAACTCTTCTAAAACTTTCATTACAATGCTAAGAAAATAAAACATTTACTTGATTCGTGGAAATTTTGCTCCATGTATTGCAAATTATCCATTCTTCTAATATTTTATTTTATCGTATACATTGTTTCTCAACTTCTTGTATGGTGAAAATCACTTACTTTTCCTTTTGCTACTGAAGGTATTATGATGATTCTGCATGTGTATTGCGGAAGATGTTGTTAGACGCAAAAGCACCTCATCTTTCTTCAGTGATTCCACCAACTTTACCATGGAAAGTAAATGAATTAGTCCAACCTAATGAGACACTAACCCGTCAAGGTAGCGGTATTAACGGCACTTTTGGACAATCTGAGGAATTGCGATGTGTAATTGCTGTTATTCGTCAGTATGTACTATTCCTTTCTTTATTTGATTAATTAAATTTGTTGTTTCTTATATATTCCTCACTTTTGACAGTATGTACTATTCCTTTCTTTACTTGATTAGTCAAATGTGTTGTTTCTTATATATTCCTCACTTTTGACAGTGGTGATAGAACTCCAAAACAGAAGGTGAAGCTAAAGGTTACTGAGGAAAAACTGTTGAACCTAATGTTGAAATACAATGGTGGCCGGCCCAAATCTGAGGTAATACTATTTTTGGTTCTTTAGTTGTGATTATTAAGTTTTATTCGAGTTTCTGAATTCTTAGTCTTCTGTGGTTGATCTATTGGTCTAATGTTTACAGACAACTTAAAAGTCCTTTAGTAATTTTTATTAAGTTTTATTGAGCTATTGAGTTCTTAATCTTCAGTGGTTAATCTATCGGTCTTATGTTTACAGACAAAACTTAAAAGTGCTGTTCAGCTCCAAGATCTGTTAGATGCCACAAGGATGCTAGTGCCACGCACTAGGTATGTCACCTATATAAAAGTTGATCACATTAGTGTGTCATGCAACTCATTGTCAGCTTCACACTGAAGATTATTGAAATCTCAAACATAGTGATAAGTCTACATTCTTAAAACCTTTCATATTGAGATTTCCTTTGCTTTACACTAGAACATGGCTTGCCAATTTTTGTATATTCACTTGAATGTTATTGTGCAGACTTTTAACTAATGAATTTCTAAGAGAAAAAGAAAATAAAAATAAAATTTTCATATTTTTCCCTTTTGGAAGAAGAATTTTATCATAAATGAGGAGAAACATAGGGGTAGCAAATAAGTTATTCTCTTCAAAGGAGGCATAAATTGTATTAAATGTAGTTAATATGGGCTCTTTTGACTCTTTATCATATATCTTAACATGGTATCAAGAGCATAACTCGGATTCTCGCCTTCTTGCAAGACCCTCTATAGCTTTAGTTCACTTTGATATTTTAGGATTTCAGTATTTTGTAACTTATATTAATGATTCTTCTCAATTCACTTGGTTGTTTTTAATGAAAAATCATTATCAATTTTTTTTTTCCATTTTTAAATCATTTTGTATTGAAATTAAAACCGAATTTGATGTTTTGATTCATACTTTCCATGGTGATAATACTTGTGAGTATCTTCTCATTCTTTTGAAATATTCTAAACGTCCCACAATATTCTTCACCAGACTCATGTGCATATACCCTCAATAAAATGGGATGATTGACCGTAAGAATTAATATCTTATTGAAACAATTTGAACCCTTTTACTTCATGGTCAAGTTCCTCAAGAATTTTAGGGTGATGTTGTTCTCATAGCATGCTATCTCATCAATTGGATGCCATGTTCGGTTTTAGAAATATCTCATTCTATTTTATTCCTCATTAACATCCTCACCCCTTACTCCCTTGAGTTTTTGAATCTACCTGCTTTATTTACATCCTTAGTCCTGGTCTTGATAAAATGGGATGAGTATCTTCTCATTCTTTTGAAATATTCTAAACGTCCCACGATATTCTTCACCAGACTCATGTGCATATACCCTCAATAAAATGGGATGATTGACCGTAAGAATTAATATCTTATTAACACAATTCGAACTCTTTTACTTCATGGTCAAGTTCCTCAAGAATTTTAGGGTGATGTTGTTCTCATAGCATGCTATCTCATCAATTGGATGCCATGTTCGGTTTTAGAAATATCTCATTCTATTTTATTCCTCATCAACATCTCTACCCCTTACTCCCTAGAGTTTTTGAATCTACATGCTTTATTTACATCCTTAGTCCTGGTCTTGATAGCATGGGATGAGTATCTTCTCATTCTTTTGAAATATTCTAAATGTCCCACGGTATTCTTCACCAGACTCATGTGCATATACCCTCAATAAAATGGGATGATTGACCGTAAGAGTTAATATCTTATTGAAATAATTCAAACCCTTTTACTTCATGGTCAAGTTCCTCAAGAATTTTAGGGTGATGTTGTTCTCATAGCATGCTATCTCATCAATTGGATGCCATGTTCGGTTTTAGAAATATCTCATTCTATTTTATTCCTCATTAACATCTCCACTCCTTACTTCCTTGAGTTTTTGAATCTACATGCTTTATTTACATCCTTAGTCCTGGTCTTGATAACTAGTCAACTTGTTCTAACAAATGTGTCTTTTTTAGTCTTTTCTCGATCAAAAAATTGGTATTAGCGCTTCTCACTCTTCTTTCATTTTTATTTGATTTTAGATGATGTCACCTTCCTTGAGTTTTCTCTCTACTTTGTGTTTAATTCTTTCCCTTTTGAACCTATCTCCACCCCACCACCACCCCTCTTGTCTTTGAAACCATCATCATCTGGTGTGCCAGTTGATCTACCACCTCTGCCACCTCTTCGAGTGTACCATCATCGGTAGCATCCACGCCTTTCAATTGGGCCATCTATTGACTTTTCCTTGATGCCACCACCTCCGGCCCTATCATGTGAGCATGTATGTGTGCATTGATTGCCCATATCATATGATGCCACCACCTCCAGCTCTTTTACTAATTATTGCATTATAATGTTGCTAGGAATTATGCTGTATCTATCAAAACATTTTTAAGGACTTGCTGAACAGTTTAAGATGCACACTGGTCATGTTCTTGTTCATGCTGCTAGAGTTTGATCAACTAATCCTCACCTCCAGTATTATGGTTAAGTGTTCCTTATAATTTAGTATATATCTTCTGTAAGAGGTAGTTCTTATACCCTGTTCATATTTCACTTTTTTCTGGGTGGAGGTCTGATACGCTTCTAGACATGCAGAGGAGTAGAAAAGCTCTTTCCCACTGATGATTTATTTGCTTTCCTTTTATCACTTTTGTCGCTTTCTCAAGGATCAAGGAGCTGTTATTCTAAAAGCTGAAGATTTTGGGCTGATTTGGACTTTTTCATGGTATTAGAGCTTTTGTGGTCTATCTATCAGGATTCCTAAATCTTACTTCCCCATTATTTAATAACAATAACAACCAACCATATCCCCAAAATTGGGTCCAGCCACACACATCTTTCCTTCCAAATGAAATATCCTCATATTTTTTATATAAAATTTCCATAGTCAATTTTTTAAATGTTCAAGGTAGAATAATGTATCTTCAATTTCATTAGCTATGTTCAGAAGCAGACTCCTTTTCTGTTGCATATATACATTGCCATTTATACGTACTAGTAAGAGTTTCCACCAGTTTTTTAGTCAATACATGTGTATGCTAAGTCAAAGTTTTGAATTAACTGTCTTTGAATATATTTAGACCAGATCTAGAAAGTGACAGTGAGGCTGAAGATGTCGAGCATGCTGAAAAGCTTCGTCAAGTTAAAGCAGTTCTTGAGGAGGTTAGGCACTGGTTTCTCTTTATTATGCTTTGTATTATGAACCATTAGTAATTGAAATTTGAAAATTAAATTTCTTTTATTTTAAATTTAGTTTTTCTTGTAAGTTCTCTGCATTAACTAATGCCCTTGATTGAATTTTCTTTTAAATATTAAATGAAATTTCAGTTCTATATTAGCTGTCAGGTACAGTTCTATATGCAAAGTTTTCATAGACATAGCCATTTTGGATTGGATACATACTCTTATGAGCGTGTAAAAGAGTTCATTCTTCCTAGTTTTTGATAAAATTGATTAAGCTATATGGCAGAATGCAATACCCTTCATGGCTGAAGCCCATAACTTGTTGACTAAAAATTAGGCAAGAGTAAGGAAACGTGAAAACACTTTCCTACTTGGGTTGTCTCAAAAATTGAAGTTAATGATGTTTCTTTGTTGTGCATAATACAGGATGTTGTCTGTTAGCTGATACATGCCAAGCCATGCTGATACAGCATATACGCTTGCGTGTCGGTTTAAAGCCAGTAAAATTGCTATCTTTATTTCTTTTTTAATCAAAGTCGTAAATTATTTCATTTCTTTTCCTTTTCTATATATTATCAGGGAGGACATTTCTCTGGCATATATAGGAAAGTACAACTAAAGCCACTAAAGTGGGTAAAAGTGACAAAAAGCAATGGTGAAGTAGAAGAACGACCTGTTCAAGCTCTTATGATTCTTAAATATGGTGGTGTTCTTACACACGCAGGCAGAAAGCAGGTTCTGATTAACAAATATATGGGATACAAATGTTTCTACACCGTTTGAGGCTGAATTTCGTTATACTGTTATTATTGTTGGAATAAAAAGAATTTTTTAAAATCTTCTTTCATAGTTGTCAGAATTACTTTCTCTTTTTGCAGGCTGAAGAACTGGGAAGATATTTCCGGAATAAAATGTATCCAGGTAAAATTCAATTAGCTGATGTATTTGTGTGTTAATCTGTGTAAAATATCTTTCATACAGAATCATGCATTTTTTTTTTCCATATAACATCAACTTGACCTGACTTGTAATGTGTAAAGGCAAACCTTTGTGTGGTTTAAAATTGCAGGAGAAGGTACAGGGCTACTTCGCCTCCACAGTACATACCGTCATGATCTAAAGATTTACAGCTCTGACGAGGGTCGTGTGCAGGTATGGCTAAGTTGTGCTCCTCTTAATCAAGAAAGGCTAAGTGGTTTTCATTATTAGTCGCTACATTTATGCATTTTATACGTGTTTGATCAGACGCCCTGGCCTTGATAATAATCGTAATTTGTCATTTGGCATCGCATGTGAGCCATTTTTTCATGACCTATTTTAAACAGATGTCTGCAGCTGCTTTTGCCAAAGGTCTTCTTGACCTAGAAGGGCAGCTAACTCCAATCCTGGTTTGTGTTCTTTCCACTGAAGAAAGTATTTGATCTGGTTTTTTATTGATATGTTCCACTGATTTGGTTTTCTTTTTTTAAGGTTTCCCTTGTTAGCAAGGACTCCTCCATGTTGGATGGGCTGGAAAATGCCAGCTCTGAAATGGAAGAAGCCAAGGTTTTTAATCTCTTTGGTTATTTATATTACTTTCTACAAGTGGATTGTGATTGGAAACAAAGAACTTTGTTACTCAACATTTAAGGGATGGATGGATGGGAGAATATAAACGACATACCTTTACTGGAGAGTAACCGTGTAGTTAAATTTGATCAACAATTTTGTTCATGATATTTTTGGAACGATCGCGTGTTTTGATAGGATGTCATTAATATTATGTAGTGTGGAATGTTGAGAATAAAATAATTGTTAAATATCCTGTCTTTATCTATATGAAGAGGAAAAGTTTGAATTGTAATAACTATTATCTAGTGATAGTATCCTAATGTAATTAATTCTATTTTTTTGAATTGTGTCAACCAACTATAGTTATTGTTTAGAGATTCTAAGTCCTTGTATCCTTTTGTAAGTAATTCCATTAACAATTCTGAAATCATTTAATTATTATTACAATAATTATGCTAAAGAATTGGGGAGAAATCACGAGAGTTACCAGAGATCAATTAGAAGAATGAAGGGAGGGAATGTGTGATTAAACGTTTAGATTATTAGACCACAAGCTCCACAACTGTGTAAAGATTATGAAATTTGAAAGAAATATAACATCTTTGTATTTTAAGCCAAGCTTTTAATATTTATTGATTGACATATATATAACACTGTAAAAACTTTGGATCTTTTTCTTAAGTAGTTTACCGGTAAAGTAACTAGAGAAATGGCCAATCTGCAAGTAACAAAATGACCGGTCCAATTTTCTATTAACGGATCTATGGTGCTTAACCACTTCATGGTTCCTACATTTTAGTAATATTTTAGGGTACTGGGATGCTAATATATATCTTTTTTCTTATATTTTGTAGGCTCGGTTGAATGAAATTGTTACATCTAATGGTAAGACAGTTGATAGCAATGGATCACCTGAATTTCCTTGGACGGTTGATGGAGCTGGAGTGCCACCCAATTCATCAGAATTACTATCCAATTTGGTATGTTTTGTAAATCTTGCTCCCAAACTTAGTTCCTTAGAATTTGAATAATGTTGTTTAACAATATACAAACATCACATAAAAGGATTCAAACTACACTTTTGTAAACAAGAAAGAAACAAAGACTTGATGACACTACAAAAAAACACTGTAAAGAGGATGGCCAAGACTCTTGTGTTGAAGCCATATTTGTAGGTAGCGAATTCTGAACTTGATTGATGACTAGAAGAAAAAAAATTATGTTTCGTACTGCCTTTATCTTTTTCCTGCTGCAAACAGTATAACATGCCTTTATCATTCTCATGGTAAATAAAATGTCCGAATATTTGGTTTGGAAACAAGGTGAACTCTTCTTTGATTCAAAAAGATATAGAAGATTGGTTAAAAAACTTATCTAACCATTTCTAGACCTAATTTGTCTTTCGTAGTCGTGTTGTTAGCCAGTTCATGCATACTCTTTGTATTGACCATTGGAATGCCATCATTCGTATCTTAAGGTATCTAAAAAAGACTCCAGGACAACACTCAAATATTTGGGTATTGCTATGCTGATTGGGTTGGATCCCCTTTTGATAGATCCTTCACAAAAGAATATTGTATTTTCCTTGGAGGAAATAGTATTTCCTAGAAAAGCAAGAAACAGAATGTAGTGGCCCGATCATAATATAGGACAATAGCATCTCTTACTTGTGAACTTGTGTAGATGAAACAATTATTTCAAAAACTTAAATTCAGCGAGATTTATACCATAAAATGTACTGTGATAATCAAGTTGTGCTTCACATTGCCTCTAATCTAGTATTCCATAAGAGAACAAAACACGTTGAGATTGACTACATTCTATTGGGAAAAGTTGATGACTAAAGAAATTTGTATGGAGTTTATTGGATCTAATGATCAACTTGCAAATGTGTTAACAAAATTGTTAACGGGTCCTCAGATTTAGTTCATTGAGAGGGAGTGTTGGAATTATTAACCTAAGAGCTATATCTATCTCTGTACCTAGGTTTCTAGATTAACTTTAGTCCCTTGACTTTCCATCTATTCATTGTATTTGTACTTTATCATTATAAATAAAGGGATCATATGAGAAGTGTGATAGCATACCTTTTTTTTTTTTTTTTTTTTACTTCAAAGTCCAAAATCCAAGATTAGTGTTAATTGCTTCCCTGGATTCCTCAATCAAGACTACAACCGCAATGAGCATGCAATTTGGGATAATCTTTTGTATGTCTTTGATAAGCACGTCGAAGACTTGATTAAACAAGAAGTAAAGACCAAACCTTAATGTTATCCTGTATACCAATGAGAAAGTCCTAAGTTTAACCTCTTGGAATTCTCACACTGGAAGTTACCCCTCCGTACATGCCTTGCGTGGCTTGAACATAAGTGATGCACACACCTTTTTTCTCTAATGTCTTCCATAAAATTTCTTTTCAAATTTCTTCCTCTTTTTTGGGTTCCTAGCCCCTCCATCTTAGTACCCAAATCTTGTTCATCATTGAAAAGCTTATAGAAGTAATTCTCCCATCTCTCTTTGATATCCTGAGTTGTTACCAAAATTTTCCTTCTTCATCCTACTTAATGCATCTTACTGTGAAATCTTTTTATGATAGCTCTTTAGTTCCTTGGAAGTTAAGTAATAGTTTAATGGTTTAGAGTCCATTAGGGATATAAATTTCAGATTTTCTCATATTTTTTAGGGAGGTAAATAGGTGTGCTGATGGTTTAGCATCTTATGATTTGAGAACTTCTAGTTTTTTCTTGGTGGATAGTGTACCTTCTTGTATCTTATTTTTGTTGGAATAGGTGTGATTTTCTGCACTTACGTTTTTCTTGGTGGGTTTTGTTTGACCTCCACTTTTGTATTTCTTTTCTCTTTAATAATATAGCTTTGAATGCTGCATATGATTGATACAAGTTGTAAAACTAACTTAGTTTGCAAATTTATGGAGATGCATTAGAATTATTTCCTATATCTTTACCTTTTCTCTATATTTCGTGATATGTCATTGCAAAACTTTTTCAAATAGTTGAAGTCATGTTTTACTCAGAACTTTTCTTGTCTAGTTGCTAGCATTCCGATACCTTGACCGGTTATCAACATTGTTGCACCCTGGCAAGATTTTAAAGCATTTTTTTTGTTCTTAACCTAATTATCCCACCACCAAAATTCCTTATCTCTCTACCCAAAACCTTTTGATTCACCCAAATTTTCCATATCTTCTTAGACATCTCATCCCAGATTCGGTTTTCCTTTTCTCCTAGCTATCTCTTCCTATATATATCTTTCACGTATTTCTGGTCAATTTTGAATAAAAAAAGATAACTTCACCTAAATTTAGAAATACAATCCTAATTGATTCCATGATTAAGGGAACTATGAAAACTAAAATGATTGTCCTAATTACGGTAATTAGAAGAGAGTAAACCAGTCTCCTATATAATGTAATTAGGAAATCCTAAATCATTGTACTAATTATAGTACCTGGAAAGCTAATGATTACAAGAAATCGTACAAGCAAATCATAACCAATAGCCCCATTGCTAGAAGGTTCCTCGCTGTGCGAAGGTATGGGAGAAGGTCATTCATTATATGCAACATTATCCTACTACAAGCGTTAGAGGCTATTTCCAAATATGAACCAATGACCAACTGGTCTCCGTGGTGCAACTTTACCGTTACGCCAAGGCTCATCTTCTAAGCGAACTTTTTAATAAAGATATAATAAAAACTTTCCTCGTTAGTTCTCACCTTTAGTTATCGCATTCCAATTGCCTCTTCTTTTATCAATTGTGTTAAATTATTCTTGTGAAAATGCAATTAAAGCCTGTCTAGCAAAATAGCTAATTAGTACTCGGCGTATTTAATTTCTTAATTGCCCTGTGCACGTGTTGTCAATAGGTAAAGTTGACTAAGAAGGTTACGGAACAAGTAAGACTACTTGCAAAGGATGAAAATGAGAAACTTACAGAAAGAAACTTATACGATATAATTCCTCCTTATGACCAAGCAAATGCACTTGGTAAGACAAATATGGACGTTGACCGAATAGCTGCTGGATTACCTTGTGGTAGTGAAGGATTTCTATTAATGTATGCTCGATGGAAAAAGCTTGAAACGGACTTGTACAATGAACGCAAGGAGTAAGTATTTTCCTCTTTTTGGTTTAATCTTGTTGCTTTGTTTTTACCTTGTTTTATTTCTTATATTAGCTAGAAAAAATAGTTACATACATGACCAAAATCACTGGAATTTTTCGAAACTAATTATTTCTTATTTGAGAACTTAAAACTCAATACATAATTTATAATGACATTCTCTATATTTTTCCTTAATCCGTGGATGAAATTATTCTTGAATACGTACATAGTACTTTTAATGTTCGTTGTATCTTGTAGCACGTTAAAAAAGTGAAGAAAAGCTTTTAGTTAGAATTTTTACTTGCCTTTTGTTAGTTAAAATGTTTTTAAATGTTAATATGTTCATTTTTTTAAATAACATTTTCCAATAGCAATTTCACTAGCAATATCATGAATTCCAGTACCTTACATGTGTTACCAATGGGCTTCTGTTTTTCTTGTTGTGTAAGTGTTTTATAATGGCAGATACACTCTAACAGTATTTTTATACGCACAGACGCTATGATATCACCCAAATTCCTGATGTTTATGATTCATGCAAGTAAGTCGTTCCTTTTATCTTATGTTTTTATAATAGTAGTTCATTTCCAGCACTACAAATATTTATGCAACACTGCAGTTATGGAGATAGATTATGATTATTTGCTTGAACTCTATCATTGAGTGATGTAATTTAAATATAACAAATGTCTTCATGGCTATCTATTTCTGGGAGCTTGTTCATATTGATTTCAAGGAGTAATTATGTAATCGAAGAGTCTTTCGTTTCCTGATTGCTATTGTAGTACCTGCATTAAAACTTGCTTTTATTTTAATTTCCCCACCACTCTTGGATATTGTTTCTATCAAAAAACTGAAAATCCAAACTGTTTGATTAAACGTGGCAAAAGTTTTGTGAAGATTTAAACAAATATGAATCAAGGCAGATGATCTTCGCATTCAAGGGCACTTTTCAATTATTGAAGTTAAATCTTTGAAGTCACAACAATAACAGTCAATAACAATGCCTTATCCCACTCGATGCCCTGGAAGTTACATTTAAATTATGTATTTTTTATTCTTTTCTGATGGTAAGTTAATGTTGACTTTATTACAGATACGATCTCTTGCACAATGCACATCTTAATCTAGAAGGACTTGATGAGCTTTTCAAAGTTGCTCAGGTATGTAGAACTGTTAGGGAAAATGCTGCCCAACGAAAAAATGATTAGATTTAAAGTGAGATGAGATAGAATTAAATCTAGATCAGACGGAGGGAGAGATGAGAAGAAAACAATTTAGTACTAGAGGTTTTATCTATTTGTAATGGTGAGCATGAGAAAGAGAGAGAAGACAGAAAGAGTTCCGTGTGTATAATTCCCACAATGGAGGCTCTTATTTATACTGTGTTATAAATACAAGGTATAATGATTTTCTTAATTTGCATAAATATACAAATCACCTCTCATAAATATACGACAGTCATCATTGCAACTTCCCCAACCTCAATTCTTAGAGCAATTGTTCTAGGTAGATTAGGTCACAAGTGGCTTAGGCCATAGCCGGATGATTTGCTTCTGCATTTTATGTTGCAGTAAAACTATGTTCAGATTATTAGCAATAAGAATGAAGTAGCCATAAGAACCCAGTGGGAGCACTCATCGCATTAAACCTATATCAGGCAATTCTGAACAGTGTTGGGTTTTGGCTTTCGGAAAGGAATAACTAAAATTTATTACTTACAATATTCCCTGTACAGAAATAAAAACCCTAATACGTACTAGTTTCCTTTGTATATTGACTGATGAGTTCAATCTCATCACTTCACTAATTGCTTAGCCAATTTATTTGCAGATGCTTGCTGATGGTGTTATTCCAAATGAATATGGAATTAATCCAAAGCAGAAGCTGAAGATTGGCTCAAAGGTAACCTGCCGGTGTAAAGATAATCTCAATTGTTATTTTACATTACAAACCTCTAAACAGTAATCTTAGTCCTACCCTTCGACATAATCATACGACCAACCACCCAAGACAAGGAAATCAAAATCATATCATCATCATTGATATCCACTGAATCATATTAATCTCAAAAACCAGCAATGATTTTCTTTTTCTAAGAACTTCAGCATATCAGACACCTCCAGAGATCTCTCTCTTACGCCTAAAGACCCACGATTCACTTTTATATATTTTTTATATTCTTTGTGAATAATGTATTATGAATTCCAGGATCAGATTATCTGAGTCATGGCACTGCATTTCTTGTAACATGAAGCCTAAGTGTGTTTTGCAGCATTCTGTGTTTTATGCTTTCTATTTTGAAAAAGAAGAGGAAGAAACCAGAATTCATAATGTGTCATAAATCTTGTGGCATTGAGATAATTTGAATCTTTGAAATATGGTTGTACAAAATGTTCAGCTTCTGCTTTATGAGTATTATTGCCATACCATGTTGCCTCACCTTGATTATAAAAATTTACAGCCCCATGAATTTCTCTGGTCATATTATATCCACATTGATGATCAACATGCTACCATCCTCCAACCCCAAAGAGAAGAAACCTTTAATAATGTCTTCAGTTTCGTGCAGTTTATATTGTTTGATGATGGGCTGAACACAGTACTCAACTTAATTTTTCTGCATATGTTGTTAAAACTCCAGCCACCTAATTAATTTGCATTTTACTGTTTCAATTCAGATTGCTCGTCGGTTATTGGGGAAACTTTTAATTGATCTGAGAAACACTCGAGAGGAAGCCATTAATGTTATAAAGAATAACCAAGACCTTTCATTATCTGAAAAAATTAAGGAAGATGCAGAGGCCAAGTCAAAACTATTCCATAAGAATGATGAAATAGATCAAGATGATGATGCGGACAAAGAGACCAAATATCGTTTAGATCCAAAGTGAATATCAGGTCCTCGTGATTTTCTACATTATTATGATCTACTCTAATCTTTATTGTTTCGCACCAGGTATGCAAATGTGAAGACACCTGACCGCCATGTGCGAACACGCCTATACTTCACATCGGTGAGTGTTGTATTCCTCATGAAATAAATATAGAAAGCTAATTAGGAAATATTGCGGAGTATTTATAGGAGCTGTTTTGAAATATGAATAAAGAACTGATAATCTAAACAGCTAATAATATTCTATTAACATATTGTATTGATACATTATCATAACAAAAATACCAAAGCTCGAATGTCTAGTTTTAGTTGTCAGTGGTATTCTAGAGGGGATATTAATAAAACATTCAAGGAATTTACTTTCTGTAAGTCTTTGCAAAGTAATTTTGAACATGAAGAAGATAATTTGGGGGACTGAATTGTATACTTTTTTTATTATTCTTTATCCTCTTCTCTTTTTTTCTTTTCTTCTTTCATACATTTTGTGTTACACTCAATCTCCATTAAACATTTTATGACAACACATTATTCAAGTTCTCCCCATTAATGTGTCGTTCTTGACTCTTCCTTTTTCTTTTTATTGAGTTATCTAAGTTATGCTTATTTTGTACATCCACTTTGTAAGAATAACTTCTTTGTCATTTAGCTTCTCAATCAACTCCCATGTCTTTTTCATTTTAATTACATCATTCCTTTTTCTTTTTATTGAGTTATCTAAGTTATGCTTATTTTGTACATCCACTTTGTAAGAATAACTTCTTTGTCATTTAGCTTCTCAATCAACTCCCATGTCTTGTTCATTTTAATTACATCAGTTTCTTTCTGCATGATCTTCCTCCAAGTTTCTTCTTTCATTGCCTCTTCTAAGTTTTCTAGTTTTACAACACAATAATTGTACCTTGCATGAATGAATATCATTCAAACTTCTTATTTTCTGAGAAGTTGAGCTTTGGAGATGATGAAGTTGAACTTGAAAAATTTGATAGTGACGACAAATTTGGTATATTTGTGATTAATTCCTTATTTTTAGCTTTTAAATTTTGTTGCAGATACTGTTTTGTTCCTTACCTTTTTCTTCTTATCCATTCCAAAAAACCTTCTCTTCAAACTTGACATCACGACTAAAGATCACCATTTTAAACTTCAAGTTGTAAAATCTATAGTCCATTGACATGAAACTATAACCAATAAAGATGCATCTTATACTTGATTCTTCAAGCTTTGTTCTATTTTATTTGGGAACTTGATCATAGTAAACACATCCAAATTTTTTAAGATGGTTTACTGAAGCATGTTTCAAATGATGTCATATTCCAAATAGTTTTTGTTGGACATCTATTCAACAAGAAGACAGTTATATTATTAGCCTTTGGCCAAAATTCTTTGTGCATTTTTTCTCAAATAGCATGGATTTTGCCATCTCCAACAAAGTTTGGTTCTTCCTTTTTAGATACACCATTTTATCGAGGTGTATAGCCAATAATTGTCTGTCTAATCCTTCGTCTTTATAGAATCTTTTGAATTCATTGGAGGCTTTACTCATTTCTCCTATGACTTCTCAAGATTTTTATGAACTTGCCGTTTTGTTTCTCAACAAGTGCTTTAAACACATCAAATACTTCAAATTTTTTTCTCATGAAATAAACTCATGTCATTTAGTCAAGTCATCAATAAATAGAATAAATTACCTATTTTGACCATGAGGTAGCGTATTCACTGAGCCACATACTTTTATGTGCAACAATTATAACACTTCTTTGGCCCTCCTTGCTCTTTCTTTTCGGAATGGTTGAAGATGATGTTTGTCAAACTTACACCCTTCATATACTTCATTTTTCTTCTGAATTGTTGATAGCTCAAGATGATGTTTGTCAAACTTACACCCTTCATATACTTCATTTTCCTTCTAAATTGTTGATAGCTCAAGCACCATTTTTTTTTTTTTTGAGAAAGCAACATGAGACCATTGTAATTTAAGTGTCGAAGCCTCTTGTTAATAAGGGTCATATTCTTCTCTAGCCATCATGTTGAGTTTTCTCTCATAATTAAGAGAAACTAGAAAACTTTTGTTATTTGTCATTTCACCACAACAATTCTTCCTTTTGAATAAGAAACTTTGCACTCTCAATTCTCAAATTGAAGAGAATAATCATATTCTAAAAGTTGTCCAATACTCAATAAATTTTCATCTAATTTTGGCACTTATAGAATATCACAGATTTCCTTTCCTCCTCCAATATATCTTTTGCCTTTTACTTCCATATACTCTCCATTGCCTAATTTAACTTTCGAGGAAAATGAGGACTCCATGTTGGCAAAAGCTTCTCTATTTTCAGCTATATGATTATTACAATCATCATCCCAATACCACACATTCTTATTCTTTTAAGTTGTGTTCTGTGTTAGGATCAGAGTACCAGCACAAATACACACAACTAAAATAGAGACTAGAAAAATAACACTGACAATAGGCAAAAATTGAAATTTTATAATGACTACCCTTTCCTTTACAATTGGAAATTACCAATACTCGGAAAGTAAAAGAGAAAGAAGGAGAAATTTTTGGGATGTTGAAATAAGGAGGGAGGGGCTCCTTTTATAAGAAGGAGGAGAGCCCCCCAATTGAAGTTCCCACCGATGTGGGACTTCTTTCTTCACAATCTCCCACTTGAAGATTTTGATGAAATTAATCAAATCTTCACACTATGTCTTCTTCTCTCACATCCATGTTGCTTATGCTTTTGATAGGCCATAGAGGGATCGACTCCGTATAAACTTGTCAGCATTAACCGGCTTTGTCATTACATCTGCTAGGTTCTTCTCGATGTGGATCTTCTCGTAAATCTACACTTCCTTCTTCTACTACTTCTCGAACAAAATGATATCTTATTCCTATGTGTTTTGTCCTCGAATGAAAGGCTGGATTCCTTGCAATGTGTAAGGCACTTTGACTATCACAAGTACACAACAATTTGTTGTTGCTTGTGACCAAGTTCCCCCATTATTCTTTTAATCCGAGATAGCTTCTTTACATGCTTGGGTGACGACCATGTATTCAGCTTCCGTAGTAGACAGAGCTACCACATCTTGTAACTTGGATAACCAACTTATCGCCCCTCCATTGATGGTAAACACATAACCAGTAGTAGACTTCCTTTTATCCAGATCACCTGCAAAATCCGAATCAACATAGCCTCTAACAACCGCTTCGATCCTCCATAACATAATGCAACATTTGAGGTTCCTTTTATATACCTAAGGATCCTCTTCACATTTTGCCAATGCTCTCCACCAGGATTCCCCATGAATCTACTAACCACTCTCACCGCTTGTGCAATGTCCAGGTCTTGTACAAATCATGACATACATAAGACTTCCCACTACCGATGCATACGGTACTCGAGACATTTCAATCCTCTCCGCTTCACTGCTAGGACTCATACTTGAGGATAACTTACAGTTGACGGAAGTGGGGTAGAAATTGGCTTGCAATCTTGCATGTTGAAGCGCCGCAAGATCTTAAGTAAATAATTCTTTTGAGAAAGCCAAATCTTCCTATCTTTTCTGTCTCGGTGAATTTGCATCCCTAAAATCTTGTTTGCTTGGTCCCAAGTCCTTCATATCAAACTCCCTAGCCAATTGTGCCTTCAATTCTTGGATTCGAGCTTTGTTAGGGCCTACCACCAACATGTCATCCACATACAACAGACAATATGATGAAATCATTTTCTTCAAACCTATTGTGGTAAGTACAATGGTCCGAACTTAGTCCGTAGTATCCGAGGCTAATAATGAAGGAATCAAATCTCTTATACCAACACCTTGGCGCTCGCTTTAGACCGTATAGAGATTTGTTCAACCTGCAAACCAAGTTTTCTTGCTCTTTGAAGCCTTCCGGTTGAAGCATATATATTTCCTCTTCAAGTTCTCCATGAAGAAAAGCAGCTTTTACATCCAATTGCTCAAGATGTAAATCAAATGCAACACACATCGCCAGGACAATTCGATTGTTGTCAATCTAACAACCGGTGAGAATATCTCGTTGAAATCAATGCCTTCTTTCCGAGCATATCCTTTTACCACCAAGTCTAGCACGATATCTTTCCACTTGATCATTGACATCTCTCTTGATCTTATAGACCCATTTGCAACCAATGGCTCGCGACCTTTTGGAAGTTCCACAAGATGCCATGTCTTGTTTTTATAAAGAGCTTCTTCCATAGCAGCCATCCATAGAGGAGCTTCGAACCACTCACGGCCTCTTGAAAAGTTGAAGGTTCTCCTTCTTCACTTAGGAGACAATACGCATCATGACTTGCCATCACATATTGTGAATGCCAAGATGGTCCGACTCTTTCTCTTGTTGATCGTCGGAGTTCTCCTTCTTCCACCTCATTTGGCTCATGTTCTTCATGCTCCTCCTCCGACTCGGAGGAATGTTCCGAAGTCTTCTTCTCTATCTCGTACTATAGTCTTGTCCTTTTCCGAGCTGTCATTTATCTGCTTGCTTTGCAGTTCATTTTCTGCAAAGACGACATCTCTGCTAACAATAACTTTGTGGGCAGTGGGATCCCACAAGCGATACCCCTTCACATTGTCAGCATATCCCAAGAAGATGCATTTCCTGGATTTTGGATCCAACTTCGTCCTTTCTTGGGTGTTGTACATCACGTACGCGGGACAACCGAACACATGTAAGGAAGAATAATCGGTTGATTTTCCACTCCACATTTCCATAGGAGTTTTCAACCCAATTGTTGTTGATGGAGACCGATTTATCAAGTAACAGGCAGTATTCACGGCTTCTGCCCAAAAAGACTTTGTTATGCCTGCAGTTTGCAGCATAGCTCTGGTTCTCTCTAGAAGAGTTCTATTCATCCGCTCTGCTACACCATTCTGCCGAGGCGTGTGTGGAACGTAAAATTGTCTCACAATTCCTTCTTGCTTGCGTGAATGCTAGAAAATCTCCATCTACATATTCTCCTCCATTGTCTCGTCCTCAAACACTTGATTCTCCTTCCGGTCTCAAGTTCTACTTGTGCTTTGAAGTCTTTGAACCACGCAAATACTTCGGACTTCTTCTTGATAGGGTATACCTATAATCTCCTCGAGTAGTCATCGATGAACGACACAAAATATTTTGCTCCTCCGAGAGATAATTCCGGCGATTCCCAGACATCAGAATGGATCAAGTCCAAAGTTTGCTTACTCCTTGTGGTGGTTCTTGCAAACTTCAACCTCGTGTTGTTTGCTTGTCACACAATGCTCACGGAAGGGTAAATCGACCTTCTTGAGCCCGGTATGAGATCATATTCCGCAAGAATCTGCAGACCTCGCTCTGACATATGTCCAAGTCTACGGTGCCACTTTACCGCCGCTTCTTCTTGGTTTGTTGACGCAGTTGTTACATGATTTTCTTGCAAGGTGTCTCCCATAAGCACATACAAGTTTGCCATGATTTTCTTTGCTTTCATGACAACTATGTTTCCCCTCACTGCCTTTAAGATTCCTCCTTCAACATGGATCTTGCAGTCGAGGTCATCCAATTGCCCTATAGACAATATATTTTTCTTCAAGTCCTTCACATGTCGTACTTCTTGGATTGTACGAATAAGTACCGTCATACATTTTTAATTTGACAAGTACCAACTCCAAGCAATCTCTAATGCATGGTCATTTCCCATGAACACGGATCCACCCGAGATAGGCTCGTAGGTTTGAAACCAATCTCGGTGTGGGGTCATGTGCCAAGTTGCACTCGAATCCATTATCCACTTGTCATGAAATTTGTTTCCGCCATTAGAGCCGATTGCTGCTTCGCTACCGTAATTACTCCTTCCTCCGAAGTACTCGCAACGCAACCCCGTGAGGTTGATTCTTCATTCTTCCTCTTCCAACACTCTTTCTTCGTGTGCCCTTTCTTGCCACAAGTAGTAGCATTTAAATTTGAAAGTCTTCTTGTTTCGAGAGCTCGATCCGCCATGATCTTGACTCCCACTTGAGCCATGTTCCGTTGATCTTCCTCTCATCATCGTCAAAACTTCGCTTGTTTAGAACTTTCTACCTTATTCATTCGCCTGGATTCTTCTTCTAGAATAGCTCCGGCAACATCGTCAAAGTGTAGTTGTCCTTCAATATTATTATTTGTAATGTTGATGATGAGTTGATCATACGAGTCCGGGAAGCTTTGAAGTAAAAGCTCTGCACGCTCATTCTCAATTATGTTGAAATTTGCTCGCTCGCTAATTGGGCAAACAAGGTGTTCAGTTGGTTGATGTGGTCCGTCACCGATGTGGACTCACTCATCCGAAGAGTATAGAGTTTCCTCTTCAGGAATATCCTTGTGTGAAGTGACTTCACCTCATATAATTTAATGAGGGCATCCCAAATCTCCTTTGCGTAATCTTTCTCCGCAACACTCGGATAGAACCGAGTCTCGCCATTGCCAAGTGTAAATTTGCAATAGCGTTGCTTGTCAATTTTCTTCCAATCTTTATCTCGTCATTTCGCAGGTTTTCCCTCAATTGCTTCGCGCAATTGTCCTTTCTCAAGATTGCCTTCATCTTCAATTTCCACAACGAGAAATTATTCCCGTTGAACTTCTCTATCTCGTACTTTGCTCGCCATGGTTGTATACGGACTTATGCAACTATCACTTATAAATAGTATTGTCTACTGGAACAATAGTAGTAGACCGTGAACCAGTACACCAAGTAGGTTCCCAAGAAAGAGAGGTGGGTCACTAATGGACACACTTAAGTACCAAGTCTTTCCTAGCCAGAACTTTCCTCAATAGTACTTTCACACTACCACACCTTTTCCAGTAACAACTCCTTTCTGATGTGGAAGATCAGATTAAACTGCAACCACAGAGCATACTCAGAATTTTACCAACACTATTCTAGTGACTAGCGCAACGGGACTCGAACGCAGCTCTAATACCACTGTTAGGATCAGAGTACCAGCACAAATACACACAACTAAAATAGAGACTAGAAAAATAACACTGACAATAGGCAAAAATTGAAATTTTATAATGACTACCATTTCCTTTACAATTGGAAATTACCAATACTCGGAAAGTAAAAGAGAAAGAAAGAGAAATTTTTGGGATGTTGAAATAAGGAGGGAGGGGCTCCTTTTATAAGAAGGAGGAGAGCCCCCCAATTGAAGTTCCCACCGATGTGGGACTTCTTTCTTCACATTCTGATCAACAAATAAGTTCTGTTCATCATATTTTGCTTTAGCAAACAATTGTATTGTTGATTTGTAAAGTGACAATCTTTCTGAATGAGCCTAAAGTTTTTGCAATTATAGCATTGTGGTTTTCCTTTATTCCAACAATCTTTTTCTTCATAATTGTTCTTCTTACATGTTCCACACCATTAGTTTGATGCTCCATTATTTTCTCTTTCACCATATTGTTCTCTTCCTCTTCGTCATGTATTTTTTCCTTCAAATAAAAGAACATAAACATTGCTATAAATTGTGCTGCTAATGGTTGTCGTTTGTTTGCCTCCATTTTTCTTCACTTTTTTCATTTTCAAGAATCTACAACTAATACCACTTGTTTGCGGTATTCCACATATATAACACTCATAGAATTTACTTTCTATAAAATTATGTAAAAAAATTTCAAGTAAGAAGAAGATAAATATGGAAACCGGATTATTTTTCTGTTTTTAATTATTTTTTCTCTCTTTTTTTCTTTTTCTCTTTCTTCTTTCTTACATTTTTTTGTTAGACTTAGAGATATTATAAAGATTGAAAAATAACTCTTAGAATTCTATAACAGATATATATATATATAAAGACACATCAATACAAATCAATATTCTTAAATAGTCTTCAATATGTCTTCAATCTCTATTAAACATTTATGACAACACATTACTCAACAATAGTCATATTCAAACCCCAACTGCAAATATACATTTATCTAAAATTCTAAATAGATACATGCAAACGGACTTACTCATAAAATTTGTAGCTTAGAATTGCTCTGTAAATCTTATCTTCATACGCGGTTTCACTTGGCTAATTTTGTTGACAGGAATCACACATTCATTCTCTTATGAATGTTCTTCGTTACTGTAATTTGGATGAATCCCTTGAAGAAGAAGAGGGTCTTGTTTGTCATAATGCTCTTGAACGACTATCTAAAACAAAGGAGCTTGACTATATGAGCCACATTGTGCTTAGGATGTTTGAGAACACAGAGGTGAGTCATTTTGACCATTTACCTGTAGAATTACTAATTATTCCCAAATGTTTGGAGTTACAGGAATAGGTTAAATTATTGCAATTCCTTACTTTTTAGTGATAGCAAATTGGTCGTACGAGTATACTTTATCATGCCTGAGATGGACCTCTGGATGTCTTATGATTGATCCTAAGTGCATGGTTTATGACAATGATAATCTTTGAAGTGTTGCACTTAACTAACTGAACTATGTAATGTGATGAAATTCTGCTAAGTGCAGATGAGATTCTATAGAATCGAGTATACGTAACACATGGCATTGAAAATTGGCATATTTTGTCAAACTAATTACCTAGTTATCCAATTGAAAGCTATAATCATCGGAGTGTTAGCAGTTACAATACATTGACAGTTCATTACTGGTTGTCTGGTGTATGGAATGTGTAATATATATATATATATATAATAGATGTAGTCATCAAAGTTTCTTTTGACTTTAAAATCGCAGGTGGCTTTAGAAGATTCTAGAAGGTACCGCATAGAGCTGACCTACAGCCGTGGTGCCGATCTATCCCCCCTGGAGGTAATCATATTTGATTAAATATATTTTACGTTTTGTTTATTTATTGTTAACATGTGGGCCTTGTGGTATAAAATTAAAATCCCTCTTATCCAAAAAGAAAAATGAGATTGGAATCCCACTCGATGTCAATGCATGTTGTCTGAAGTATCATAGAAGTGGAAGCCTTTACCTGATAGCATCATTACAATATGTTAAAAGCTTCTTGAGTTTATTGTTATGAATATGGATGTGAATTCCGTATCGTTACGTTAAGTGAGGAATATATGCAAACATGCCGAATATTCAGTAGCTAATATACATAATTGTGTCACCTATGGTTGGCAGAAGGAAGGTAGTGAGTGTACTTCACTGCATCAGGAGCACACACTGCCGATCATGGGTCCAGAGAGGCTGCAAGGAATAGGATCATATCTGACATTAGAAACCATGGAAAACATGATTCGTCCATTTGCCATGCCTGCGGAAGACTTTCCTCCAACACCTGCAGGATTTTCTGGCTACTTCTCAAAAAGCGTGCTTGATCGTCTCGTCAACCTTTGGCCTTTCCATAGGCAATTCAGTAATCTTGGAAAATAGTCCAACACATTTAAAACGTCCTGCCTTATTTTTATTTTTTTACTTTCAAATATTTTTGTTTTTTGAAAATATAAATAATGTCCTTTTAAATTAGTTTTCTTTAAATTTTATTTGCTTTTAATTCTTAAAATTACAAAAATTATGTAATTTAAATTATATTTGTTTTTAATACTTAAAATTACAATTATTTCAGCTTTTTTTAAATGTAACGTTAACTTGATCCATGCATTTGGTGGCTCCTTTGCTAAAAATTGGAACTTTCGTGCCAGATTTTTTCAATTTGTTTTTAAGTCACAATAAAAGAAATATTTGGAATGAATATTACGAATAATATATTTTAAAAAAATATTATTCAAATAGAATATCTATTAATTTATTTATTTAATTAAACCTGATTATTGTTCATATACAATTTTCTTTTTTTATTTGTTCACTCCTTGTTTTTCTCTTTTTTAATATAGGCCTTTTATTTTCTTTTTTCTCCCATTTATTCTTTTAATTAAACTATTATATTAAAATTTAATAAAAATATATTAAAATAAATATTTCAAAATAAACATTGAAACTACAAATTATTAATTATTTATAATTATGATTACAATACATAATTTTATTTATTTTGATAATACATACATTTATTTACTATAACATAAATAATTAATTGAAAATTATTTTATCATAATAATAATTATTCATCTAATTAAAAAATATTAAAAAATTATGAATTAGATGTATTTTTTACTTAATAATATAATATAGTTATAATTAAATTGAGTTATGATAATTAGTTAATTTTAAAAAATTATTTGTTAAAAAATTATTTCAAAATAAATATTTTTTTAATAATTATAACATAATAATAATATTTATAACATTTCAACTTTATCCTATAATATTTTCTAAAAAAAAACACTAATTGAAGACAGAAAAAAAAAACAAAAAGTATTTTTCTCAATTTTATCTTACAATATTTTCTAAAAAAATACTATATAAAGACAGAAAAAAATAACAAAAAATTAAATAATGAGAGAAATAAAAAAAACAAAGAGAAAAATAATTATATTATATAAACTGAATTTATTTTTATTTATTGAATTTTGTGTATAAGGGTAAATAAATTTAGAGATATTATATTTAAATATTTTTTTAACTGTATTATTTATGAGATTGATTTAAAATATTTGTATATTTAAAAAATTAAATTTTTATTTTATTTTAACACTATTATATAAATATATTTTTAAAAAATAGGTGCAGCTTATCTTCGTGCATGGTTAAAACATTTTGTGTCCAAACCTCATGTTGACATTCGTTTTCTGCTGGACTTCTTTTATCGTCTTCCATTATAGTTCCTGTACTTCACATTACCTTCGTGTATTCATAATCACACTTATCTACGTCACTTTAAATTCATACTTTAATACGATAAGTTCACTCCTAAATCTATTTATTTATTTTAAATTTAATTTAATTAATAATTAGATATAGATTTGATATTTTTAGATTTAAAATATTAAAAATTAATATAGAGTATGAGACATTATTTGATCAAGATAATTTTTAATTGGATAATTTTTACTCGACCTCTTAAAAAGATATCTTAAGTTAAATATGTTCGAATAATCATACACTCAATCCTAACTAAAACATATTTATATAATTCTATTGAGAAATCTTTTAGCTCAATAATCTTTAGTTCACTGAGCCTTTTGCTTAAACTCCATCTATCTCGACATCATTCTATAAGTGACGTAATCTATTCATGATTAATTGTTTATTCATTATTTCTTTTTAAATATAATGAATTTTAAAATGTTAAATTAATGTATTCATGGTTAATTGTTATTCATTATTTCTTTTTAAATATAACGAATTTTATTTATAGTCTTGAGGTAGAAGCAAGATATACACTCCATCTAATATTCAACCATCTCTCTCTTTCCCAATTTTTATGTTTATTTTGTAATGGAAATGTTTAAGCATAATAGTTAGCACAAGATTATTTAAAAAGGATACACTAATGCTGGTAGCATAACAAAATCTTATCTGCAACATGACATAGGTGTTGACACAAAATGTTCAATTAGGTGTCGAATAAAGCCAAACTCAGATGAAATGTCTCAGTTTTTAAATTTTGAAGAAAATATATGCAAGATTTTTGATTTAGATGTATCCAATGCAAACCCTCCGTTCATAAAAAGCATTTGAAAAAAGGAAATGGAGAGCTACTTCCGTCCAACATGCATTTAGAGTTCAATCATGACTCATGATGGTGAAATTAACAGAAAGTTGGTGATACATTCATACTTGGCCCAACCTAACTTAACAGCTTCAGTATCATTATGTAGAACAAAACATAACTTGTTCTTTTCCATGTCTCTGGCTAAATCATAATCAACTCTAGCATCATAACTGCAGGGAGAGTAGAAGTTCACAATTTGAATGAATATTACAACTTGAATAAATTATTACTTGTTTATTTCTCAATTACAAATTCTTGAATTTCTATTCCTGGGTGCCTCCTTGTACTCTCACCAGAATTTCATCTCCAACTCCCTTGAGTGAGGTCACAGGAATGACTGTTTTGGACAGAGTACCTCTGTTGCTATGTTTTTTACAAGGATAAAATATAAAATTTGTATCACGGTTTTGAAATTGACCCTTATCAATAGGTAGAAATTAATAAAGTACTTAAATGTCAATTATTTTCAATTAAATATTTTTAATGTATAATTGCTTAATCAATGTCATAAAGGCTCATTATTTTAATTAATGTACACAAGAGTATGAGGAGGTGAATGAGTTTAATATTGAATTTGGATTTTACCGAGCTCTTAAGTTTCGTCAGAGGCAATTGTCATTTTGGAAAGCATTTTCATATTCTAACATGCGTATGAGAGTTCATCATGTGCTTTGATGAGGAGTATTTTGAAAGGAGAAAAAACAATATAGTAGAAGGTATAGTGCACAAAAAGACAAATTTCAAGTTAGATACCCTGTGGTTACCAATGCACAGATCATGGAATCAGAAAGAGCAAGAGAAAGAGAATATTAGGGAAGTGGTGTCAATCCCGGGTTGGATTCTTGTCTCATTGATGTGTTCTTCCTTATGAATCCCCTTGAAATATTCAACAAGTGGTATCAGAGTTGAAGGTTAATCAGAAGTGGGTTAGAGTGGTCTTTGTATTGAAAGTCTTTTTGACAAAGTAGGTCAGGTAAGCGTGTTCCGCTAGAGTGAACGACAGTACATGGAAGGACCACTAGTGAACTCGAGAGGATGCGTACCAATGTGGAGGAATTCACACTTGAGGGGGAGATTGTTATGAAATGCAAGTGTGATTCTAAGTCTCACATTGGATAAGAATAAGAATGTTGAGCAACATATAAGAAAGTATGACTCATAACTCAATACCTTAAGATTTTGGGTTAAGAGTGGTGTCAATCCTTATGTTGGTTGGACTCATGTCTCATTGATCTGTTCTCCCCTGTGAATCCCCCTTGAAAGACTCAACTAGTGTCTTCGAGGGAATATACCAATGTGAAAGAATTCACACTTGAGGGGGAGATTGTTAAGAAACACAAGTGTGATTCTAAGTCCCACATTGGATAAGAATGAGAATGTTGAGCAACATATAAGGAAGTGTGACGTATAACCTAATGTCTTAAGGTTTTGGGTTGAGAGTGATGTCAATCCCTTATGTGGGTTGGACTCTTATCTTATTGGTGTGTTTCTCCCCTGTGAATCTTCCCTCGAAAGACCCAACATTTCTCTTGTGTCTTGAACCCCTTTCTGAATTATTCCTTCTTCTAAGGTACAAAGGCAGCAGGGCAAACAATCCGGAATGTGTTCAAATTCGTAATTCCTTATAACATTATATCAAGTGTTTATTTTTCGTTGAGTGTTTACTATTGGGACCTTAATATCTTTGTTATTATTGATTGAAATTGGAGGGTATATATTATACTGAGACTATTTCAATCCATAATTAATTCCCAAATATATTTAGAATTATTTTAGTTCTTTCAATTCCTGCTTGCTTTCATTGACCATGGTTGATAATACACGGATGAAGACAATGAAAACACAGATAAAAAACTGTACCAACTTATGGCAAAAAATGTTGAGGCCTACCCGCTGAAATTGCTCAAATCAATGCAGTCAACCAGTGTAGATTCGAAGAAATTCAACAATATATAAGTAAGGTTTTGCATATTCATACCTCCAATATCGATTCTCCGTCCCATCATGACAACAACCATGGTGTGAACTCCAACCAAGGTAGCTTCAACAATTTTATTCAACCCATAATTTTGATGTTATGATAATGAGGGACATCTTCCTTTTGTGGATGTGTCAATGCAAGGACACTCTATTTGGGTTCCATATGTTTATGTTGGGTACCAGAAGGGAAAAGAACACCTACACACAAAACTCAACCAGTGGAAGCACACACCCACAACAAACAATTAAAAGCACACAAAATATTTTAACGTGGTTCAGCACCTCAAGGCTTACATCCACGAACACACTCAACAATATTTTATTACTCAACGTGCAATTTTTAGGACTGGAAAATTGCAAACCCGCATATACAATTTTTTCCCAAAAAAACTGTAAATCCTCTCTGACTCACAACTCACAACCCGGAATATTCTTCTTTTCCTTCATGTATTTCAAGTCCTCCTTGAATTCTGGACATTTGACTTGAATGTGACCAAACTCTCCACAGTAATGACACTTAACAGTACTCATATCTCTCAGCCGAAATCTTCTACCATGTTGATCACCATACTTCTTTCCTCGCTCGCTTTTAGCTAGCAGTATCTAACTGTCTTCAAAGGATTTATTACCACCCATCATTTGTTGACTCTCCTTCAACGTCGTTATCACCTCATCTAGTAGCAATATACTCTTCCCAGCTAGCAATGATTGCACTAGTGTTTTATAAGATTTGGGTAAAGAAGCCAACAATAATAATATATGTTTTTCATCTTTGTTAGTCTTCCCTGCATTCATCAGTCTGGATATCAGTTTATTAAACTTATTAATATGATCAAACACATTATCTTCATCTTCCATCTTCAGTGAGTACATATCCATTTTCATCATCAATCGATTGGTCAACGTCATTGATGCAAATTTTCTTTCCAACAAATTCCACAAATTCCTTGGAGAGGTTTCTTTCAACACAATAACTTTGATTTGTGGAGCTAGTGTCAATCGAATTGTGCTCACTGCCTTTTTCTGGATTGTACTCCATTCTGAATCTTTCATCTCAATTGGTTTTTCTTCTTCTAAGGCACAATCGAGACCTTGCTGGACTAAATAGTCTTGGATTGTGCATTGTCATAAGGAGAAGTCTATCCTCCCATCAAACAAAGGAACATATAACTTCATCATAGCCATAGTACCGTACGACTAGAGCATACTAAGAATTAAGAATCTCATAGAACCTACCACACCAACAGCTCTGATACCACTATTGGGTACCACAAGGGAAAAGAACACCTGCACACAAAACTCAACTAGCAGAAGCACACACCCACAACAAATAATTAAAAGCACACAAAATATTTTAACGTGGTTCAGCACCTCAAGGCCTACATCCACAAACACACTCAACAATATTTTATTACTCAACGTGCAATTTTTAGGACTAGAAAATTGAAAACTCGCACATACAATTTTTACCCAGAAAAACTGTAAACCCTCTCTGACTCACAACTCACTCTAGCCCCTTATATACAAAGGAAACTCTTTTAAATTGTGGTGTATAATACTCACCTCAATCCCTTATTTTTATAATGGTTTCCTTTCACTCCCTTCTTCAAACTACCCAATGTGAGACTTTGAAGGATACACACACACTGGCATAATAGTTTATGTGTTACAAGTGGCAGGAGGGGACTTGGTATTAGGAGTTACTTGGTATTAGGAGTTATGTGGTCGAAAACCCTTAAAGCACACATAGTTGATTATGACGCTTTGTTGAATAAATTTCTACATGAGATGAAATTTATCACTATCAGAGGAGATGAGGTAACAGGACAACAACAAGTTCAATTCAACCATATGAAATGGTTTTTCAATACGGATGTTATAGCAGAAGTCTTTTCATTACAACTAACTCAACCAGATTACCAGGAAATCAATCACCTCAAACTACCCGAGAGCATGGAACCAGAGTTAGTTATGTTATTAGCAAAGTATGTCATAGTTTTTGAAACACCCATAGGTCTACCGCCACCAAGGGATCATGATCATGGTATTCCTCTTATTAAAGGAGTTCAACCAATCAAATCATGATCATGATATTCCTCATATTAAAGGAGTTCAACCAATCAAAGGGAATCCATCTAGATATCCACATAGTCAGAAAGAGCAAATTGAGCTAATGATAAACTAAATGTTGGAGGAAGCATAATCCAATCAAGTAGGAGTCCATTTTCTTCTCCTATATTATTAGTAAAAGAAGAGATGGAACTTGGAGGCTTTGCATGCTATGACTTCGAAGGATTATTTTCCTATCCCTAATGTTGATGAATAGTTGGATGAGTTATATGACTCTAAATATTTTTCAAAATTGGATTTAAGATCTAGTTATCATCAAATACGAGTAAGACTAGAGAACAGACACAAAACAACCTTTAGGACATACCAAGGACATTATGAATGGTTAGTAATGTCATTTGAGTTAAATATGCCTCAGCCACCTTTCAAGACCTCATGAATGATATATTTTGGCCTTTTTTGTGAAAATTTGTGTTGGTAATTTTTTATGATAGTCTGATTTTCAATAATTCTTGGAATATTCACTTACATCATTTAGAACTAGTACTGCAAGTGTTACAAAAGGAAAGGTTGTGTGCCAAACTTTCCAAATGCTCATTTGGAACTAATGTGATTGACTATTTGGATCATACCATTACAACCGATGGGGTGCACGTGGACAAAGACAAGGTGAGAGAAGTATTAGAATGGTCACAACCAAAGACCATCAAACAATTAAGGGGATTCCTAGGTTTGACAGGTTATTATAGGCAATTCATTAAAGGTTATGTTTCGATTGCAACACAACTAACATAATTGCTAAAGAAGGAGGCTTTTCAATGGTCCTAAAAAAATGAAGAAGCTTTCTTGAAACTTAAACATGTTATTACTTCAACATCGGTGTTGGCCCTACCTAATTTTGAATTACCCTTTGAAATTGCAACTGACGCTTTTGGGATGGGTATCAATGTTGTCCTTACATAGGACAAACATCCTATAACATTCTTTTTGAAGAAAATGGCACCCCGTACATAACATCAATCAACTTATACATGTGAATTGTTTGTTATCACTGAAGTTATTACCAAATTTTGACACTATTTGTTGGGGTAAAAGTGTAAATAGAAGAATTAGATAATTGAAAGTTACAATAATCGAAAAGAGACAAGAAAATAATTGAAGATCAAAGTATTGAGGGTTCATCATAATTAAAAGGCAAATTGAGAGACAAGTTAGTAAGAATGGGTAATAATTAGTGGGAAATCAAAGACTTAGAGAGATAAATAAAAAATAAGAAAGATATCAAGAAAGAGTTATCAAGAAATAAATACTTATGAGAGAAAGAGTTATCAAGAAATAAATACTTATGAGAAATTGGGAAAGGTAAAAGAGATATTAAGAAGGATTCTACAATGGAGAAATATAAGAGATTGAAGAGAAGTGTGTAGAAGTCGTTATAACTACACTAAGTGGCATAAATGGTTACAAGCGCTACTGATGTTGGATTTGCTTTAGAAAGGAGGGAAAATGGATGATAGAGAAAAAAAACTTTTTATTTTATTTTTATTTTGATTGCAGTTATACAAAATAAAGTATAAATAGGATGAAAAATTGAACTAAGACTTACATTCTAAAAAACATTATGAAGAGAAGGTTATTTCAATAGAGTCTTTGGCAGTTTGGATTATCATATTTGTTGATTTGTTTTATCAATTTTTCTTTTATTCTTGGTAATGAGTTAGATTTACCTATTTGACACATTTACATTTTTTAGTACTTTATATTTCTAACACTTTTACATTTTTTACATCTTTATTCTAATCAAACATTGTACTTCAATGTCTAAACACATTGAAAATTTAGATTGGTGATCAAGAAAAATTTAAAAATATTTTTATTAAACTAATAATTGAAATAACTATGATAAGAGTTGACTTTATATTGATTGTCGAGTAAAACTTTGGTCAAAATATTTATATTCTAATTAGTTTGAAATAAAAGGAACCCATATAATGGTGAAGTGGTTCATATAAAAAAGTTGTGATATTTAATACTGCATAATCAAACGAAAAAAGTAAACCATTTTTCACTAGAAATAATTATAAAAATATTATTTTATTGAATCTTTGAATTCATATATTCATTAGTTGAGATACTTATCCAATTTTAAAAACATTCTTCAATCTGCATCAACACCATCCACCACATGAACAATTCAAATTAGTAATTCATTAACATTGTGACTCAGTCGACTTACCCAGATTGACAAAATGTACAAAATTTTTTAAAACTAGTAACAAAAAATATACAATTAAGTCAAATTAATCATTATGACTAATACAATTTATTCATATCACTCCATATGCATTAACTAATAACAATAACTTTTTATCATGAACCAAGATCGAGTTCTTATTCTGACAAGATGCAAAATACTATTTACATAAAAATTATACTTATATGAAATAAATCTTTATTACACATTATTCAAATTGATCAAATTCATACCTATAACAAAATAATAAAAAATCATGTAAATACTTGTTTTTCTTTATTCAAGTAGAACAGAAGTTGTGTTCATTGAGTTCATTTGCCATAAAAATAAAGATTGAATTAAACTATTAAACTCACTTATTCATCTAACCTGTCACTGATAATTTAAAGAAAAGTTGAAATATATGATAATGTTGAGATAATTATAATTAGTGGTAGATTTTGATAATTGATTTTAAAAAGGTGAAATAATATATTATCAATAAATAATAAATAAATATGAAAGGGTAAAAAAAATGAAAAGATAAAAAAATAAAATTGTAAATATACAAATAAATATATTTAATAATTATTAAGTTTAGAATGTCAAAAATCATAATTACAAAATTTTTATAGAAATTGTGGCCTTTTCAAGAATATCCAATAATTACAAGAGATCCAAGTGTTAGTTCTAAAAAGGATAGAAGATTTCACTCTTTTATAGATTTTAGAAATATTATATCTTTATTGTTAACATTTATTTACATTATTGGTTAAAACTATTTGTTAATATAACAGTGAATTACATTTTAAAAAATTTGCATTAATCAAGACGAATTATAATATACGTTTTTAGTGAAAAATGATTCCTTATGAATCACTTATAATTATTATTTGTGAGTTTTTTATTTATTTAGATTAATAAATAATAATTTTTTAATAATAATACAAGTCAACATTATCCTACTCAACGATTAACGATTAATATGAAGTAAATTCTTATAATACATCTTTCACATATTAACTTAAATATTTATAATGTTGTTTTGATTGTTAACTTGAACATTAATTATGAATTCAAACCCTGTTTAATTAATCAATAAAAATTAGTTTGAAAAGAAAATTGTTGAAAATGTAAATTAATGGAAGAAGTAAATTATTGAAAACATAAATCATTGAAAAATGTAAATTACTAAAGATAAAAAAATAAATAAAATTGATGACTCAAATTACATAAAATTTCATTAAAAATATTTCTCTCGTAGTATTTTTTTCAAAATATAAATTATCAATATTTTTTGCATTTATTTAATCTTATTTATATTTATTACAATTTGCAACTGCTAAATAAAATAAAATAAAAAAATATTTTTAAATTAACCATTTTTGTCCTTTTGATATGGTTTCACTGGTACACATAACGTTCCTGACAGCTTGTACAAAACCTTTTTAAAAGTTATAATTGCTTAACGTTGCTCTTTACTTGTACTTCATTTTTTACTTCTGAGATCTTTTGTTTTATTTTATTATTTTATTTTCTCTTCCTCTACTCACTTGAGTCATCGACTTTCCACTACTCTTAATATTCTATCATTTCTTTGTCTATTTTCTTCATCTCTAAACGCACCAATCCAGACAAAGGGTACATGATATCTTGATAAGTACGAAAAATTTTAAACAATACTTTGCCCATCACAAACTTTGAGTTGGGCCAAAACCGTGAGGTTTTGTTGTGAATCCAGGCTACAAACTTTATCACATCTAGGAATCAAAAATACTTATTTAATTAATACAATAAATTTTTGCTTCTTATCAATTGTTAAGTTCTAAAATTAACTTATCTACTTCAACTTGTACGAACGAATCTTAAGTATCGATAACCATTTCTATTGTCTCTGCGAATAATCAACTTCATGGTTTTTTCTTTTTTTAAAATTTAAGTTGCCACCACTTTCAAATTCTGACCCTGTTGTTCCTCCAAGAGACGCCTTTACGTTCGACATTTTAGCTACGTTCAATTTTATTAAGGTTTCATGTCTCCATCACCTGCATGAAATTTCACATGCCTCAATCTTCTCTCACCTTTCCTTCTCCCTCAAGCTAAAATATAAAGCAAAATCAATATACAATTATGAGATCACCAATATATATAAATATTACTTGTGTTTTATTAATTTAATATTAGCTTTCCCTCCCCATTATATTTTATCTTTAATATCTAGAAAACTTTATTTTAATTGCATGTTCTGGTAATAATATTTAAATAATAGTTATATATATTGAAGTTATTACGATGAAGATAATATTCATATAATACATTACTATCATGAAGATAATTAATAACCTCAACACACCAAGCCTTTGAATCGTGTGTCATTGGTCAGAATCATTTATATATCATATAATGAACATATTACACATGCTTAATCTTCATTCGTCAACATATTTTTCTCTTTCCACATTAGTTCTCGCCTGGGTTTTTGCATCAAACCCCCACTAAAAAATATAGATACTAAAAGCAATTCAAAAAGTTCGTATCAAGTTACTTCGTAATGTTCATATCCAAAATATTTCATGATATACTCTAAAAAAGAACCAGAAAGAGGCATTTCCTCCCATAGTATAATATTATAAGTACAAAATTTTAGGCAAGAATCTATTTAATGGCTATATAAAAAATATTGCCACCATTAAAAATACAAAAAAATACGTCCAAAAAAAACATTAATGTCTTTTATCTTTAGGAATTAGTCTCCTATTAAAAAAAATAAAAAAAAAACAATCAAACACAAAAATATAACATGAAAACTCTAAAATTGAAGAAAAAGACTATAATCGTTGCTAGAGAATATTATGTAAAAAAATTTACAACATATAAATTACTCTCTCATACCTACACTTACACTCTCTAAAGTAAAAATTTAAACTAAATTTTTCTACACTCTATTACAATAGTATATAAAAAAAAGTTAAATACAAATTTAAAGTATTTTTTCCTGTGATGTCAAAATATCATGGACTTTCAATCTATTACATAATTATTATTATCCTACTCTATTACTTGTCTAAGATAATACAAAATTTTTCAAAATATATTATTTTCATCAATCCAATAAAAAATAAAAAAAAAAAAGTACTAAAGACACTTTTTATAACTTTTTTTCCCAAATTATTTTGCAAAAAAGACAGGTAAATTTATAAAATCAAATTATGTAGCATATATTTTTCCCCGTTTATTTCCACAATTGTAGACAGGGCTATATAATAACAGCACAAAGCTTGGCATCTTCATCAGAAAAACGTGTATATATATGTCTTTGTTAGATGAAAATCCAAAAATCAGGCTTTACTCAAGCACATCATACCAAGTTATGAATACATCAATTGTGTATAAAGTGGCTACTTTAAATCATCCGAAAGTGATTAAATGAAATAACCAATTAGCCTACAAAACGAGGCTCGATAAGTTCATTGCATTGCACCTTCATTTCAAGATCAATTTCAGGTGCGTTTTGTCCTTTTCTGTTTCTTGATATGTACATAAAATAACTATAGACTGAAAACAGCACCAAGTGCATGGTAAGTGCCTCATGTTCCATAAAAGAAGACAAAAACACTAAGGAAACAAAAAAGGTACAAGAAGAACACAAGCGTTGTTTCTCTACTTGAAAGAAAGAAATTGATAGAAAATTTTTCTGTAAGGGTATTTGGTAGCAGCTGCAGCAACTGATCACATGAACTGAAAGATGGTGTATATGTGTTGTGTGAAGATAAGATTATTAGCAATTTAGCTCTCCACAATCTTTGGACCGTTGTACATTTTTCCATTTACTTCCAAGTCTTCAAGTTCCTCCCTCTCTTGTAGCCATTCATAAGAACTCTTTTCCTCTTCTGGTATGGATAATCCATCCACTGAAAATTCAAATTTTGTGTATCCATGAGTTAATAGAAATCATTAAACTAAGTCTAGGTAGTAATAATTGGTTTTAGTGCAAGTTATGCATAGACTGTGTAAAATCATTTACTCGATCAACCAATCAGAAGATAATCTTTAGCATGACTTTTAAAGTAGTTATTATAAGTTAACAAACTAATCCTAAATGATAGTTTGTGATTGGATGACAATGAATAGCCTGAATTTTCTTGAAAAGAATCATAAAACAGTGCATGCATGTATTAGTGTCAAGATACCTGAAAAGTTGGAAAAGGGAAAATTGTGGTAGTATGTGCAGTGTCTGCCTTCAGTATCAGAATATGGAGGACCAAGCACATCTAGAACTGCACATGCTGTCACTGCTGTGAAACAGTGCATGTTGCCCCCATCTTCTGGATATAAGATGGAGGGGTTGCATGGAGCAGTGAAATCAGCATCGACCTTAACTTTGGCTAACCTCATCACACGAGCTTGGTCTGCACGATTAGAATGTAAAGATTGATTTCTTTTTTCTTAGAGGAAAAGCTGTGCTCACAAAATAAATTTTAAAAATAAAAAATAAAAAAATACTATGAGTAGGTGCTAATTCACCAATTTCCCTTGTATGCTAATGCAAAAAGTGTCCTCTCTCACATTTTCCATAGAGAGGAGGGAATACATTTGTTAACAAACTCCTTTATTACTACTAAGTGAAATTTATGTGGGGTGGGGAAGGCATGTCCAAAAGTATGCGATTGACATTTCCCTTTCAGCATGAAAGGAAGGACTATTGGAGATATTGACTAACTACAGCAATCAACTGAGAAGATGTTTCATCAAGCAAGCATTTTGAACTCGGCTACAATAAAAGTTAACATAGACATGACCATCGATTACATCCATCCTGTAGCAATCAATCTTTCATTGGGAAATTATTCACATCATTCATGATTGGAGAAGTTTTTGTGGTATTTGATAGTTCTATTGGGGTTACTAAAGGAAGTTCTTAATGCACACACAGCATAGGTTTATCCAAAGATAATTCTAGTTGGCAACAAAACTCTTTCTAGGTACATTTCTTCATTACAAAAACAATTTCTTAAACCAAACAGTTTCTACAACACAGAAGGGTATGTATCAAAGGTTATACGCCACCCTATTCTATATATTTTATCAATATTCTCACAACTTTTAATCCATCTTGCTTTTCCACAGGTTTAACTTGAAGCATTAATATGTATTTTTCTTCCTTTTCCAAATGAATAAAGCATCACTGTAAATTCATGCTTCGAATATCGTTTTGAGTGTACATTTCGATACTGAAAGTACTTGTAGAAAAATATATTCTTTGCATTTTTTTTTTCTAAAAGCATGTTTCTGGAGAGGCGTGTAACAGTTATCGAAAAGCAGAATTGAAAAGTACAAGGATATGTTACAAAAATAGGGAAGCACTCACTTTCTGACGGATTGATGATGTTAGGAGATTCAGGAGGCAAGTCAACGACCCAATCATATGACTTGATGTGCATAGTGCCAAAAAGTAGCTTACTGAAAACCGTCATTCCAGGGTGATTATGAAGAGGGATAACCCCAGAAGGTGGCAAACAAAATATTCCCATCTGCAAAAATCACACAACAAAACAAGGTCATCATCATCCACACAAAAATAGCACTCACTCCCATACCATGAAATAATTTTCAGGTTCAGTATGTGCGTATACCGAGAACTTTTCACACTCATAAATGTGCAGATACTGTATTCTTGGCACTCTCTGAGTGGCACTTGACCTGAAATACGGCATATCAGGTCTCAAACCAACGTCTTTTGGCCTAATTCCATCTGCACAAAGAGAGACAACAATAGTTGCATTGCATGCTTTGCATGGCACATATATAATAGAACTCATTGAAAAAAATAAAGAAAGAAAGAAAGAAAGACAAGAACAGTTAACAACAATGGGTTCATAATTCTTGGCATCACTGTACAGCTACGTGTGGTCCAGGCAACTCATTAAGCAAGTTAGTGTTCCAAAGGAAGACATATACAACAAAAGTTCATTATATGCATTAATTACATTCAGACATAAAACCAGCTAAGAGTAGCATTCCTATGTTTCCACTGAACAATGAGAATTTTGTAATAGGCCTTCCAAAACATAATAAATTTTATTTTCCCTCTTTGGCAATCATCATCATACAAAAAACTTGCTACAAACTTTCAACTTGTCATCAAACCCACTGATTGGTTGTCTGTCTCCCACCTAATAATAGGATTGCAAGCCTTCATTAACCACTAATCTAGCTAATTTTATCACCTATATAGCCCAAAATTATGATATAGAGAATCAAAATTATCCACATGGACAAGTGAGAAAAGGAGGGAGGAGAGAGAAGCAAGGAATTTCACTATGCTTGATGTCTCATTCATATAAGAATTAAACACGTAGTAGTTGACATCACACTGTGAAATTAGTTCAACGTGAATATTTATCTCGTGGGGGCACAACAAGCACATGATAACAAGCATTTTTTATTTAATAGCCAATACAGAAACCTCGGAACATATATGCAAGACACATGCATGCACGTTAAAACACAAAATTAGAATATAAAAGAGGCAGAAACCCCACACAGGTTTGGTGCAATTTGTGAAATTGAAGCAATTGCCAAAACCATACACTTTAAAAACTCACATTATTTAATTGAATTGGGACATATAATAAATAAAAGACACCCACCCTTTTATCGATCCCTCCAACAATACAAACTAGATGACCAAACTAAACTATTATAATTCCAATAAGAAGAGAAAAATCCAATACCACACCAGAATTGAGATTACATTTTTCCAACAAGATGAAAAACACACAAATTGAAATATTTTCATTCCAGATCAAAAATTTAACACTCCAGAGGGGGGAAAGCAATCAATAACAAGCAACAACACATGACACAACCATAAACCAAAAAAAGAAATAAAAAGGGGAAAACAACATGGTATAGTACCTAGAACAGACCGCAACTTGCCAATGTCCTGAGGGGGAGGGACAAAGCCTGTCCCCCCAGAGGCAAAGACAAACTTGCAAGTCTCGAAGAGCATCTGAACCGGCGGTTTCTTCCTCTGCCGCCGCCGGTTCCGCCGTGAGTTGCTGCTGGCAATGGTTTCCCTCGAAAATCCACAAAATTCCCTTCCTTTTCTCTCAGCCAAGGTCTTCTCAATCCCCATCCAAAACCACCCCCACCAAATAAGGCCTCAACTTTCCCCACCAACTCAGTAACGCAATGCCAAAACACTCCCAAAACCTTAAATTCACCAAATGGGCACCCAAGAGCCTCTCCAAAATGCAAAACAAAGACACCCCAGAAGAAGAAACAGAGGAAAAAACAGGAAAAAGGGTATAGTGATATGATAAGTTAAAAAAAGAAATTAATAATATGAGATAAAGGGGTAGAGTCTGAATAACTGCATATGTGTATATGTGTATTCTTTGTACTTTTTTTTTTTTTCACACAGGTTGATGTTGTATTGTGTTGATGTGGAGGGTTAAAGGTGTATGACGATGCTTGTACTAACCATAATAGTAATAATTGGTGTGAAAATCTTACAACTTGACATTGAAAATTGTGAGGGTGAAGCAGTGGGTAAGGAATGTGGGTTGATCTTGATATAAAAGAGGTAGAAGAAGTGGTGGCAGGGTTAGTTGAGAGAGAAAAACAGTTGGTTTTTGGAAGCCAAATCAGAAAACCAGGGGCCATGTTTGGCATTCCAGTGGGCTGTTTCAACAGCGGATTTTTTTTATGTATAATTTATTTATTATATCCATTATTTAATATCATATATTTTATACTGAGTTGGTGGTTTAATCTTCTCTCTTAATACATTAATACGCTATGCTCCCCCACAATTTACTCAATATTTCCCACCATTATCTATCTATAGTTTCATTATTTTCTCCTCCACCTTTACAGTAACTGTAATTTAAGGGTTTTTTTTAATAGATAATAAACAAAAAAAATTAAAGTTTCAAAAACAACTAAAGACATCACCAAATTATAAAAAAATAAAATAAAATAAAAACAACTAAAATTACTGTTATTTTAGGATGAAGGAATACGTTATATAAATAATTGTTTAAATTTCTTGTACATACTAATAGCATGTTTGATCTTTTGTTTAATAATGAATCTCATATCAGTTAATTTTTTATTTTTTTTATAACTATCTTAAAAATTATATTCATATTATTTTCATTAGTTAACACAATGTTTTCTTATCATTCAAGCTTTTTTCTGAAGAAAATTATGTTTTTTATATAAGAAACAATCACTGATAAATTAAAACAACTTCTTTCTAATGCTTTTCTGTATTCTCCCTTGAAATTTATTAAAATTTATATTATCTACTTTAATGGCTCTTATTATTTTTTATTTAATGACTTGCCTCTCAGTTAAAAAATGAAATCTAACAAAATTATTAATTTAAAATAAATTTTAGCTATATAAAAATTATTAGAAAAAAATGTAACCAACATCTTCTTATAAACAACAAATCTAAATATATTTAAAACACTTATCTAGTGGAATAAATCCATTTTAAACCAGAAAACTCAAGGTTTCAATAATTAGCACAACTTAGCTAAAAAAACTCAAATCAACACCACTATTTTAGACGCAAGTGGGAAACTTGAATGGTTAATTGTTTAATGAATTTTTGGCACCTAGTTCTGCTTTTGTTCTTATTATATTAATTAAATCTGCACACATCTGAGGCACCATGGATGGTATCATGAGCTCAGATATGTTCTCTTAAGCTTAGAAATGGGAGAGTTCACATAATTTATTTGTTTTATAGCACCAAATAATATATAATAAATAAACAAATGTGTGAGTGTTTTTATAGTATATTTTACTGATAATTAATTTTTTTATGCCAGAAATAATAACTTCAAATTTTATAAATAAGATTAATATATTAAAAAATTTGTAAAATATTATTAATCAGATTTTTAAATATATGAATTTATGTGTGGATGGTAAAAATATTATGTTGAATTTTTTATTGTATTTCATCCCTTGAAATACTATGAATGAGATTAGTAATTTTCATATAAATTTAGAAAAAAAAACTCACAAAAATTATTTTTTAATAGTTATTAATAAAACTGATGAATATTTCGTATTTAAAACATAATTATGAAAAAATACTATATAATATCAATGTGATACTTGATGTATCTCAAATAGGAATTTCCTATCAAAAAAATTATTTAAAATAACTTTAATAATAAATTATTTCATTAAACAATTTTTTAAAATTAATTAATTAATTATTTCAAGTTTTATAATAAATTATTTAAATATGATATATACTATAAATTCATAGTTTATGTTTTTAATACAAAAAACAATTCATAAAAATAACTTATTAGAAATGTTCATATCTTTTTAGTATTTGATATAATTGTCTACTAAGACTGTTATTAAAAGAAAAATTGAAAAAAAAAAGTAGTTGCATTTGTTAATTTTTGTCTGTGAAATTGTTATTTTCTATTATTTTATTAACTGTGTTTCTCGTTCGATGATATTAAAAATAAGACTAAAATTAAAAATTATTTTACATTTTACAGATAAATCTTAATATTTTAAATTCCGTCTGTGCCCTTTTTTTAGTTACCTGTTTGGTTAATATAATATTTAAGGAAAACAAAAAACAAAATAAGTCTCTTTCGGGCATATTTTCTTGAACTTATCAAATCATACATATCAAATGTTTATAAGACTTTTATATATATCAATTATACCCATAAAATATTGATAATACAGTCAAAAAAATCTTAATGATTATTGTACTATTTATATTTAAACATTATTAGAAACTATTGAAAACAAATATGTTAAATATATACTGTAAAAATAATAAATAAATTTTTAAAATATTGATTTAATTTTATTTTATTCTTTAAATATATCTTTTTTTTATTTTATAATATTTTTATTAATTTTTAAATATATAAATTATAATAACTACTTTTCTAACTATAACATTTAAAAAAAAATATCCTTATATATATATATATATATATATATATATATATATAGAGAGAGAGAGAGAGAGAGAGAGAGAGAGAGGGGGAGAGAGATAAATTTATCTAGTGGAAAAAATTCACCAATCATTAATGCATACAATTATTTTTTACTAAAACACTGTAATTAATTTATGCAAATTAAAATTTATATCTAATTAATAGAAATAATGTATAAAATTAATGGCTAAATAAATAAAATTATAATTAAATAATTAAATATAAACTACTTATGAAAATAATAATATATTTTTATATAATTTTAAAAAAATAAATATAATAAAGTCAAATAAAATTGCTAGAAGTATTTAAAATTTAGTTTAAAAGAAAAATGCATTTGTTAAAGATTATTTATTTAAAACATTAACTAATTAAAACGATTTTTTATTGGAAAATTTTTATGAATGTCTTTTATAATAATTAAATAATTATAAAAACAGACAAAATAAAAAGAAGAAAAAATAGGAAAAAATAAATTTTTAAAATAAAATTAATAACAAATTACTTAAAAATATATAACATAATAAATTTATATTTATATTTTTTAATATAAAAGCAACTTATCGTATGTTATTAGTTTATCTTCATATATGTTTATATAAAAAATTACACTTACCAATACTAATAAAATAAATTTTTATTTATTGAAAAAGACATTATAGTATTATTAATTGATAATATAAAAATATTTGCGCCAATCAAAGTTGAACTGTGATAATACGAGATAAACTTTGGTAGAAAGCAAAAGCTTGCACTCTGATATTTTATTATTTGATTAAAAGGAAAAGTGAGACATCACGAATAAAATATTTGTCTGCTTTTTTCGTAAAGATGAAGTAAATGCATTTTTTTCAAAATAATTTTTTTTTATAAAAGAATGCATGACACCTTGACACCTTATAAAAAAAATAATTTAAAATTATGATTAGTGTAATTATAGTAGAAATCGTTACATGTTTTCATAAAATAGGAAATAATAACATTTATATTGCATTGTATTACTGTAATTGTAATATAAATTGAAATTCCGATTCATTAACTGAACCTCAAAACATAGTAACATAATTTATTTATATAGATACAAGCAAAAATAACTCCCACAAAGTTATCCCACTGAAATATTCATGTTGTCCAGTAGTCACATCTCCATCTCTCAACTTCTGCTCCCACATAAAAGTGATCATCACAATCTCATTCACATGGAAAAATAGGGATAAGTATTAAATCATTCGATATAATAAAACAAATATAGAAGTAATAATTACATATTATCATCAATTACAAATCATCAATACACTAAGACGTCTTCCGGAAATATACCCTAATTATGCCCGAACTCAGAGACTATCATCTGTGGGCACATTGTGAATGACACTAGTAATACTATTCTGACCACCCTCCACACAAAGTGAGATTATTGGCGCCCTTTATCACTCATTCTAGAGTACCCCTCTAAGCGCGCCACCAGTCATCCCCCTATCGACTTCTCACCACCTGATCTCGTAGTCTACCTGACATGACCAATCAATGAAGTCTGGGACCTCATACGAATCCTCCGACATAGTTAGTACACTAATATACTCTGTACCACCTCGGGTACCATTCAAACACAACAACAGTCATTCACATCTGTCGGATTCTGGACCACCTGTCTCTGGACCACCTGTCTTCACAGCTCATTTGGGTTAATAAATAATAGTACTTGACTGATTCTGCGCACCAACCCTCTGGCTCAATCTAGCCAATACATGACATCTCATGACTGATTCTGGGCATCATCCTTTGGGCTCAGTCTGACCCACATGTGTCACAACACATTGCTGATTCTTTAAAATTTCAAATTTCATTCTATATTTTAAATATTTTTCCTAACATACCTTTACTTTATTTCTAAAATTTCAATTATACCTTTAAACATTTTCTATTATTCATTTTCCATCCTGAAATCATTAAATTACTATTTTGCCCTTAATCTTTTCTTAAAATTCCATGTATGTCCCTAAATGACTATTTTACCCTTGGACATTTTTTAAAATTCCTTCCATATCCTAAAAATGACTATTTTACCCTTGGACTTTAAAATTCCTTCCATATCCCGAAAATGACTATTTTACTCTTGGACATTTTCGAAAATTCTTTCCAT